CTATACTAAACTTATTAACAGCCTAGAGATCGTTACTACTCTTACCTTATTATCTAACGCCTTTACTAGTATTTATCTCTTTACGTCCTTAACTAGTAAGTAATATTAGGGTATAACGTTATAAATAATAGTGTTAATAAAGTCTTTGTTAATAAAATTTAAAGTTACTACTAAGTCTACTAAAGCCTAGGCTAAGATGTCCTCTTTATCCTTCTCTTAAAATGTTATAAGGGTCGTAAAAAAATTCGAATTAATACTAGTTACGTTTAAAAACTAATCTTATTAATCTAACATAGCTTATAGAGTATCTATACTATCTAGTAAAGAAATAGATAGAGTAGCTATTTAGCTAATAAGTTCTATATCTTATAACCTAACAGAATTAAGATATTCTTTTATTAAGTAGAGTAAGGTAAGCGTAACTAATAATTCTACCTTTATACTAGGTATATTATAAGAAATAGTTATGTCTAAGTAATAATTGTCGTTATTATTAGCTATAAGTAAGTAATGTTGTATTAGGGCCGAGTCTTAGGTAAGGCCTAGAAACTCTCTTTTCTTTACTACCCTTAGTAAAAGGACTTGTCTTTTTCTAATTAATCTAGACAATTACTAATAAAGTAGCTACTCTTTTAATAGTAAAAACAAGTTTACTTAAGATAAGCCTTCTTCCTTGTTTTTACTAAGATGTCTAGATATAAAGAGTCCTTTCTCTTATTACTTACTAATTCTGTTAGTAGTTTTTATAAAGAGTCGTCTAACTTTATAAAAGTAACTAACTTCTTAGGCTTCTTTTTGTCTTTCTCTTTTTAAGAGAATAATTAGGACTTACTCTAGATCTACGCTTTTACGTTAAGAGCCGTGCGTTTTAATTCTGTATACGTTACTAAGAGGACGCTATTTAAGGATTTGTAAATATGCTTAAGTATAGGCTCTATAAGCTTTAGCTAGTAGGTAGATAATACTACCGCGTCTAATGTTGTCTATACTACATTCTATAATAGCGACTTAAAGTAATTAGTAAATTCTTATACTAACTAAGACTTAAACATCTTATACCTGTTTAATTTTAAGTCCCTTTTTAATAAGGTATTAGTAGGACTATACTCCTAATATAACTACGACTTTAGCTATACCTAGTCCTAAAATTTAGCTAATTCCTCTAGCTGTACGTAGAGTCGTACAAGTTATATATACGTCTTAATAGTATATAAAAGGTAATCTTAGTCTATAGCCGCCTAAAGCACTAGGTCTACTACTCTTTCTCTTATTAGGTAATCTTTAATCTCTAAGATCTATAGCTAGATATTGTCCTTCTTTAGATTAAATACTAGTAGCGCCTTTACTTTAGGATAGTCTTAGGAACAGCCCTCTTAAGGTTCTAGCTACTATAATAGCGTAGAGATTGTTAGTAGTCCTATAATACTTAAGGGCATAGGTCGTATAGCCTAGAGATAGGCGAATAAGTAGTAGTATAGTTGTCTTAAGAACAAGACATGTTATTATACTAGGTAAGGCTAGAAAGGCGGCTAGAAAGGTAAGTATAATAGTAGAAGCTAACTGTACAGGTCTAGGCCTCTAGACATTAGTAGTAGGTTCTGTTCTATTACGGCCGCCCTTTGTTACTTTATTTTCGTAATAAGTTCTTGTTACTCTTTAATTACCTAGGCTTAATCCTTAATAATACGTTAGGATTCTACTAAAATAGATTAGTAGGTTAAGGAGCGGTCTTAGTTTTGTTACTCTTAGCTAGTCTGTCTTAGGTTTACCCTAAGACTACCTTATAGGCTTAGCTCCTACTAGCTAGAGCGTATGTTTTTAGGGATTAATAATAGAGAGAAGGACGATCTGTTTATAATAACGTCGTCCTTATTTTACTTGTAAGATAGATTAATACTATTTAAGTCTTATGTAATAGCGTCTTTATAATCCTTACTGTTTACTAACATGTTAACTAGTCTACTGTCCCTTAATAGCGATCTAACATCTAGTATGTCCCTTCTTTACAATCTTTATAGTACCTTCTTTATACCTTTCTTTACTATATATTATTTACCTTATTAAGGACAAGGAGCTAAAATGCCTAGAGATAATTATATAAGAAATCTACTTTAGATTCTTAAGCTAATTAAGGAACTCGACCGTACGTCTACTATACGTTAGATAGTAAGTAGTTAAATTAACTAAAGAACAAAGTAAGGTAATATCGATCTTATAACTAGCTACCTGTTCTAAGTGTTAAATTAGTAAAACGTTTAGAATAGTAAGACTTTAAATAAAACAAATTTTACTATAACTTAATACTAGGCCGGACTTAAGAGGGGAAGAATAAGACTATAACAGACTTAGGCTGTCTAGGGTAGTATTAGTTTTAAAGGATTTCTTATTCTTAAGGATTATTAAAAGGACGGCTACTAACAAGAGCTGTATACAGGTTTGCTTTAGTAAGCGCTTAGTAATGGGTGCCCTAGGCATCTCCTAGGTGCACCCTATAACAGCTTTAGCGTAATTAGATAAGAGAAGTAACTTGTTAAGCTTAGCTATAAACTCTTATAAGATCTTATAACAAGCTTTACGCTTAGTAGTACATTAGTTATACTTAGTCTAACCTGCCTAAGTAATATAAGTAAGCCTAGGCTTAGCTACTTATGTCTTTATATAGTAGACATAGTAAGCGTAAGAGAGGTACAAGAGTATACTCTATAAGTATAAGGGTAAGTAAGGTTAGCTATAGTAAGGTAGTATTATATAAGGTAAAGAAGAGTTAAAGAGAGAATAAGAAAAGGTATAAGGTATAAGGTAATAGCTTAAGAAAAAAGGCTTAGAAAGAAGGTAGTACTAAAGAGACATAAAAGGTAAGGTTACTTAATTTAGAAAGAGAGAAAAAGAAAGGTAAGAGAGAGAAAGTTTGTCTCTTTATATATTCTTTTTTAGTAGCGTATTATAAGACACTTACTAATAATATAATATAAACATTTAGTAAGGCTTTATAAATAATTCTTTACGTTAAACAAATTCTTATGTAAACAAGATACTATAAGTAAGGAGTAGCTAAAGCCTTTATTATATAGCTTATTAAGAACGCGCTAGCGCGAATCTAGCGCGATAGGCGCGCTACTATAAGTATAGATAAGGATAGAAAGTAGATAAAAGAAAGAGATATTCTTTTTTTTTTATATTTATACTATATTGTTTTAAGGTTTTAAGGTAAGAATAGTCTATATATAAGGTAAGAGCTATAAGAAGAGGTATAAGGCTTACCTAGTATAGCCTTTATATATCTTAGGTACACACTACAAAAGAAAAGCTTAGCTATATCTAGTATAGGTTTTACGTAACTCTAGAGAGGCGTTATATCTAGCGTAGCTTATACGACTCTAGAATAGAGCTATAAGAGAGAGAGGTAATATTAAGGACTTAAAAAGGGTAAGATTAAGAATATACAGGCCTTACGTACCTATAAGTACGCTAGGGCTACTTAAGGTTCTTAAGTAGTATATATATATCTTAGAAAGTAAAGAGAAAGATAAAGGTAAGAATTAGTTTAGATTTAAATTAAAGTATACTACGACTTACTAGCTACTTGACTATAATTCTCTACTGTATTACCTGTAATACTAATCTCTAACAAGAGTATAGAGTTTTGTTATATATTGTATCTATAACAAGCGCGATTACTATTAAGTTAGCTTACGTTACTATATAAATTACTATAGTAACGTGAGTTTAATAGGTGTACGCTGTAAACTCGCTAACTATTCCTGATTAGGTCTAGCGCGTACATTTAGACAAGTCATTAGTATATTTAGGTAGGCCCTACTTTAAGTACCTTAAATCGTAGAATTATTTTCCGTGGCCCTTTTCTCTTTAATAGCTCTTTTAGAGGCAAGCTATACACCGGCGCCCCCCTCTCGATACACCGGCGCCCCCCTCCCTACTATATACCCTTTTAGGATTTCTGCTACTAAGGAACACTAATTTAGTTATTAGTCCTTTACGATCTTTACCTACAGTAGGTATTTACACGCGATTTGTGTACTATAGAAGACCTGTAACATGATATTTTTTTTTACCTAATAAACAGTATTTAATTAACAGCTTAATTAATAGTAAGAAAACTATAAAAAAAAGGGTAAGAAAACAGTTAAAAAACAGTTAGAAAACAGTCGAAAAACAGTCGAAAAACAGCCTAAATAATCGCCTAAAAGAGTACTTAAAACAATAGATTTTAAGGCTATAGAAAGCTCTCTTTGTAGCCTATGTTACACGGGATATTTGATCTATTGTTGTGTTATAAGAACTAATAAATTAAATTGACTAAGTAAGAAGTAATTATATAGAGTACCTATATAGCAATAGTAAACAACTAACTTTTAGCGGGTTGCTAACCCTGATTAGGTTAGACTTAAGGCTCTAGACCTCCTAGTCCCGTAACTACTAACCTTACGTAATTAGGCTAGTAGTTTCTTATAATACACCTCTAAATCTACGCCTATAACGTCCTATCTATCTATCTAGCCTAAACTCTATACTGCCTACTGTTCTACTAAGTAAGATACTAAAAGAGGAAATAAAAACAGTAGACTAGTAAGATTCTGCCGCTACTATTACTAAAAAGGGAAATAAAAATAGTAAACTAGTGAGTTTTCTACTGTCTTATTACTATAAAGGGAAATAGAAACAAGGAATTGTCCTAATTAGGTAATTAGGATAGCTATAGTGTATAGATTTAACAGCTTTAAGAACTTAGCGTGTTTAGGTCCTTTTAGAGCTTTAGTAAGCCTATCTACTACTATATCCTTTATATACTTAAACTAGACCTCTATTTTGCCTAGCGCGACTTACTCTTAAATATAGTAGTACTATACATTAATATACTTAGTTCTCTAGTAGATAACTAGGTTATCTATTAGTACTAGAGATCCTTAGTTATTACTATATATTTAGATTGTTTTAGTATCTTTTAAGTTAATACCTAACTTATAGAATAGCTATCTTAGCTAAGCGGCTTCTCTTATAGCGTTAGAGAGCCTATAGTACTCTATTTCTATAAAGGAGAGTGCTACTACTTGTAAGCGCTTTAATCTAAAGGATATTACGCTACTATAGTAGCTAAATAAATATCTAATAGTTAATCTTTGTATTTCTATATAACTAGCGTAATCTAAGTTACTATATTTATATAACCTTTCTAATACTCCCTTACTTATCCTATATATAATTCCTAAGTTAGGTATACCTTATAAGTAACGTAAAGCGTGTTTTATAGTACTTATATAGTTAGTAAAAGGATTTGTAAGATAGTGTAATAACATAGACATTAAGTAGTATAGATCCGGGCGTGTTTACGTTAACAGGTATATAAGAAAGCTAACAATCTACTAATATAGTTTAATCTAATCTACTATAGCGTGTTTTAGGTTTAAAACTATAAGCTTTATATAAGCTAGATCTAATAGTGTCTTAGAGGCTTTATAATTATTTATCTTAAAGCGTTTAAGTACCTTATTAATATAAGCGTCTTATATAAGAGATATAGTTCTGTTTTCTCTATCTCTAACGATCCTAATACTTATAAAGTAGTAGTAAAGACCTAGATCCTTTATCTTAAAAGCGTTCTATAAGGCTACTTTTAGATTAGCTAGTTCCTTTTCTTTTAGGCCGACTAGTAGAAAGTCGTCTATATAGGTTATAACGATTAATCTACTCTTAGGGTGTTAGTATATATAATCGTTAGCTATTAGAGGCTTAAAACCTAGCTTAATAAGTACTTAGCGTAGCTTTAGCTATTATAACTATAAAGCCTACTTTAGACTATATAAGGCCTTATTAAGTTTGTAGACGTAAGTATTACCCTTACTAGACCTAGTTAGAAGTTTAACATATATATCCTTATTAGCTTTCTTGTTTAAGAACGCTATAACGTAGTCTATTTATTCTACTTCTTAATCCTCTTTAGCTACTAAGGCTAGGATTACCTTTTAAGTCATGCTTTTAGCTATACTAGCGTAAGTTTAATCGTAATCGCGTCTATAATACTACTTATATCTCTTAACTACTTAGCGTGCCTTATAACAGATTATAGAGCTATTAACACTAGTTTTCTTCTTAAATACCTACTTACTACCTAGAACCTTAGTTCTCTTTTAAAGGCTTAATCTCTTAACTAAAGTCTATATATCGTTCTTTATAAGTAAGTTAAGCTTGTTCTAAATAGCCTTTTTCTATTACTTAGATTTAGTACTACTAACGGCCTTCTTGTATATAATTAGAACGTTCTCTAGATCGTCTTTAACTATAGTCTAGTAAGTAGTATAGAACGCTATAGCTATAGCTAAATAAGCTAATTACTATACTTTCTACTTAGTATTATCTCTTATATCCTCTTCTTTAGTTATATAACGTAATTAAGATTAAGTTACTTAAGTAGATTTAAGGTTAATAGAACGTATAGAGTCTTAAGATTAAGCTAGAGCTTAAGCTACTGTCTTTAGCTTATTCTTTAAGCCTTTTAGGCGCCCCTAGCCGCGCTTAATAGCTACTAAATCAGGTAAGGCAGTAGTCGACTAATCTTAGATCTGTTTTATAGTAGAGTTAGTATTAGCTAGTAGATTAATATTAGTAGTAGTAAAGGGCGGTTTCTTAGCTATTTTAGCTACTTTAGCTAGATCTTAATCTTTAGCTAGCTCTTAATCTTTAGCTTTATTTATACCTTTAGTGTTTGTTAAATCTATAAGTAGATTAGTTAGTAAGTATAGTTTAGTTAGTAGTAACTATATCTTATTATCTAATACTTCTAATATAAAACCTCTTTTATTAAATCTTACGTTTAATAATCTAACGATCTTATAAGCTCTTAAGGGTACGTAATAGTAGTATATTTAGTAGCCTTTAAAACTAAGAAAGATCCCTTTTTTAGTATACTTATTAAACTTTCCTAACTTAACCTATCTCTAATCTAGGATATAGATATATACCTTATAGCTAAGTACTTATAAGTAGGCTATAGATAGCTTGTTGTCTTGATTTAGGTATAGCTAATCTATAAAGGCTTAATATAAGGTTTTGCTCTTAATAGCTAATGTAGCTATTCTGTTAATAACATAAATTGTCTCTTCTAGTAACTCTAGCTATAGCTCTTTAAGGACGTTCTAGTTAATTATAGTAGATTATAGCTGTCTAGCTATAATCTTGTTTATAATCTTAGACACGCCTAGTTACTTAAGGGTATATAGTATAGTCTCTTTAACTTAAATCCCCTTTACCTTATAGATACTAGTTAACGCGATACTACTATATTCGTTACTACTATTAACTATTAATATAAGGATCTTAAAAAGGGCAAACTAACGCTCTATTATATTAATAAAGCTAAGGATCTTATTATAAGCCTCCCTTTTTTTCTTATAAGAGTAGCCTTATCTAGTATAAGTTACTATATCTATTATAATAGTAGCGTAGTACTTACTATAAAATCTAATTAAGGTAACCTCTACTACGTCTATACTTACCTCTTAGAGTATAATAGTAGGCTAGTGTTTAATAGAGCGTCTAACTAAGTATAGTAGCTTAGATAGCTTGTAAGGCTTATATAAAACTATAACACTAAGATCTATATCTATAGGCTTATCTATAATCTATATACTAGTAGTAATTTCTATAGTCTTTTAGACGTTATTAAAGCCTAGGTACCCTAATCTCTTATACTATAGTTTAATACTTAGTTTGCCTTATTAAAGAGTAGCTAGTAGTACTATAATATAGTAGCTAGGCGTATCTAACTATAGATATACCCTTATATTATTAACCTTATAAAGTGTAAGCGTCTCTTCTTCTCTATCTAAAAAGGCTCTCTTTATAATAGATCTACTATAGTATAATAGCTTAATACCTAATAAGAGATTAATAAGAAAGGTTAAGATAAACAAAACTCCTTCTAGCTATAGTTTATAATACTAATCGCCTCTTACCTTAGCCTTTAGAACGATATTACTATAACCCTCTAGTTAGATTAACCTAGCGCCTATTAGAACAGGTTATAACTACTTAGTTACTTTAAAGCTATAAAAGATTAACTTATCGTTATATATATAGTAAGTTACCCTTATATCTAGGCACTAGTTCTTCTTTTAAAACTCCTTTTAAGTAGCTAATCTAAGCGCTACTTTTAACGCCCTTAGGCCTAGTACACTATTAATCTACGGCTACTAATTACCTACTATATAAAGTAATATAGTGCTCTTTAAAGAGTCCTTTTAGTCCTTCTTTAGACGCTTCTCTAGAAACGTAGTCTAATAGTTATCTTTATCCTTTATAATATAAAGCTTACTATAGTAGTAGTACTACTTTCTCTTAAGCTTCTTCTTATCCTTATCCTTACCCTTACCCTTCTCTTTATCCTTATTATCTAGCTTACTACTATATAGTAATACTAATAATAGTACTAATCTACTATCTTTTACCTAAGCTTTATCTCTAATCTCTATAATTAACGTATTAAGTAATAAGGTACTCTTTTTGCCGCTCTTTTATAGGTTTTAAAAGGATTAGTATCTCTTAGCCTATTAAGAAAAGGCTTTTGTAAGTCGATTAATAAAGATAATAGTATATAAGTAGTTACTCTTAGGCGCTATATCTAGTTAAGTAGCTCGTTTAAGTCGAGTTATAAAGGCGTTAATAAACTTCTCTATATTATTATAATCCTTATATCTAAGTAACTAGAACTTATCTACTACTTAGTACTATTAAGTAAACCTTTTACCCTTATAGTAATTAGCTAGCTTAGTCTATATAGCCTCTACTAAGTCTACTTTAGCTATAAGATTAAGTATAAGAACTAATAAGATATTCTTCTTAATAACCTAGTACGTTACTATATTACTAGCTCTCTATTCGCTATATTATTCTTGTTCCTCCTTTATAGCTTTAGCGTTACTATACTTAACAACCTTTAGAATAGGGTAGTTCTTAGATATATATCTGTCGAGTCTATTAGCTTCTAATATATTAAATACATTAGATTTTTAAGTATAGTAGTTACTCTTACTCTATAGCCTCTTACTACTTGTAAGCGTAGTTAAGTTAGATATCGTGATTAGTCTAGGGTTCTGTAATATAGCTATTATCCTCTAGGCTCTGTAATCTAGTCTAGAGCTTAGTTCGATCTTTAGGCGTACTATAATTAAAAACAGGCCTTACTACAAATCTTAATAGATTAATAGATTAAACGATTTAAATTTAAATTTAGTATTAGAGGAGATCGAATAGTATTACTACTATATTACACAGGATATTCGATCTATCGTCGTATCGTAGGAACTAATAAATTAAATTGACTAAGTAAGAAGTAATCATATAGAGTGCCTGTATAGTAATAGTAAACAACTAACTTTTGGCGGGTTGCTAACCCCGATTAGGTTAGACTTGAGGCTCCGGACCTCCTAGTCCCGTGACTACTAACCCCACGTGATCAGGCCAGTGGTTTCTTGCAACAGCCTATAAGAACAGAATAAAGGGGGATAATAGAGAGGGAGTAATAGTAAGGTAGCGACAGTAAGGTAGGCGACGGCGAGGTTAAGGAAGGACAGGCGCTTACCGCCTACGAATATAGCTAGTATAGTGGGGAGGGGGGTGCCGATGTATCGAGAGGGGGGCGCCGGTGTATAGCTAGCCCTTTTAGACACCAAAATTGTTAGAAATCAACCCTAAGGCACGTGGTATTATTATGCCGAAGGCTGGCTGGCTACCGACCTTAGTCCCTTTGATGCCGTTCCTTCAACACTTGGTTCTCTCAACCTTCCTGTATTCACAGGCCGTTTGTAGGCAGATACCACAAGCACATGCCCGAGAAGGGCGACTACACCTGCGCGAGATGCGACGCGGCCGTTTGTAAGCAGATACGACAAGCACATGCCCGAGAAGGGCGACTACACCTGCGCGGGATGTGACGCGCCAACAGACAGCCCCTCCTGCTCTCAAATCAAGAAACCAAGACTCTCTGAATACCTGGATATCCGTCCAACAGATACTAAAATAACGAGCCTCTTTTGTATCAGGAATGGCAAACAAAGGAAGGTTGGGGCCCTGGGGGGTGTTCTGGGGGCGGAGGAGGGGGTTGCTGTGAACTCGGCGAATCGCTCAGCTTTCCCACTAGTACTGTAGATCAATCACCAAGCATTCTCCTCTCATCTTCTAAACCCCATTCTATTCTTCTATGGCAATGAATCTATCATGTCTATCTATTTCTATCTATTCACTATCCCCTTTCAAGAAGGTGTGTGACCCTCCGATCTCGAAAGCACAGCTTTCCGCATCCTCCGAGAGTGTTCTTGAACCCGTTGTGCAGGGTGTACCGTACCCGCGGTCTATTGCCATTGATTTCCGCTTTTATTCCATGTCATGCGAATGTATTCTATATGTTTCATTGACCCCCTCTTCATCTCACCCACCGCGCTTTCGCCGCAGCCTGCATACCCCTCACGCTCTGCGAGATAGCGTGACGACCATCATAGATCGGATAGATGACGACCAAAATAACAGCGAGGAACTGCCAGATGATAGCGACGACGATCCAGGACTTGAAGAAGGGTTTCGTAAAGATCCAGTCGCGGTACAGCGGCATGGGCCACACGACGAAGGTAATGAGGATGACGAAGATCAGGAAGGCCCAGGCGATCTTGTACCAGCGGCGTAGGTAGGCGAGCGTTTCGTCGTCGAAGGGGTGGCGGAGCTCGTCGAGTGGGATCTGGGAGCTGGGGATGCCAGGGGAAGGGGGGGAGGCGAGGATCGTAGGAGAGGTGCCTTTCTCGTTGCTGCCCTTCTCATCGTCGCTGGAGTTAAGGGCGGGGACGGAGGTGTTCGGAGTGCTGGTTACGCCGGTTCCGGGGTTCGAGGTGTCTTCGATGAGATCGATGCGCAGGAACTCGCGGAAGTCAAAGGTCGATGGTTTGATGTAGGATATGATGAGGGAGTAGAGGATGGGAGAGAAGAGTGAGCCGCATGACCCGTAGAGGGAAGGCGCTTGCATCTGCGTGGTCTCGATTGAGATGCTTCCGTAGATGGCTTGAGCCGTACCAATCCAGATACCGATGCCCGTGATCAGGCCGAGGATCGGGGATATGATAGCCGCAGCTTTGGTCTGTCCTGACCACATAAGGGTGAAGAGGAGAGGGAAGATGCCCGGACAAGTGAGGATAGGGCTGAAATAGTTGACCCAGGTCATGTTTGCACCACCGTAGTTGAGCATGAGTGCGAACCCGGTGATGAAAACCCCATGGAAGGCGACACCAAGATGGCTCACGCTGACAACTTTCTTATCTGTCGCTTTCGGATTGATGTATGTGCGATACATATCGAACGATATGATACTGCTGACTGCAATCATAGACGAAGAAACGGTACTGGTAACTGCCATGAAGAGGAGGAGTAACATGCCAGCCGCCCCACCAGTGCCAAGAAGGGCTTTGATGACATATGGCATGACGAAACCGGCGCCGACTTCTGCTGAGGTGAATGGACCTGGGTAGGTTGGGAAGATTGGAAGAGTCTCAATCACCCTGGCTGAGAGACCGAGGATCGAACCCAAGGCCCAAGGGACGGAGAAGATCGCTATAGCAGCGAGATTATATCCCGGAACAACAGAGTGTACCTCGGATGCAAATGACTTCTGCCAGAAAGCAGTGTCCTAAAATTGTCAGTAAGATCCTGACCATTGGGGCAGGGATCCATACCATGATGACAAGCGCGATATTTACGAACTTCTGAACAAGACCGAACATGATAGCGCCTTTGGACTTGAACGACAAGAGAGACCCGGCATAATTCCCAGGAATATTGAAATTGGCAGCCTGAACTTTATCGTAGAGCCCGGACAGACCGCCAATATGTTCATTGGTGAGGACGGCCAGAGTGAAGTAGATGATCAAAATAAGAGCGATAGTGGTATGGAGGAAGTCAGTCAAGAAGGTTGCTTTCAACCCGCCTACAGCAGTGTATAGGACGACTATAAGGTGGCGCGTATCAGATCAGGACCCTAGATGCTAGGAGACGACAGGGGTGGTGGGCTTACCTCCAAAGGGTAGCAGGATGGTTGCAGCAACAATATGCATCCCGCTGATACCAACGACTAATTGGGACCCGGCGAGAATCATACTCGAACAGCCGAAGATGTTGTTGATGAGATTCAAGCATGTGAAGACCACATGTCCAACATTGCCATAGCGTCTGCGGACGATTTCCAACGACGTGTGTGCATGCGGCACCCTCAGTTTGCTCAGCACCCCTAGCATGGCCATCGTGGCTACCTGGAACGAGAGGGCCGTGCCGTACCACATGGGGGCGGCAATGCCGTAGTTGTAGCACATAACACAAGAGAAGACGGTCTCGTTGATCCACATCCAGGCTTTGGTCTCCATGTCAGCCCCGGAATAACCCCAAAGGGAGGCGGAGCGGGAGGCTGAACTTACAAGAAAACACGGCTGAACAGGTCAGGCCAGTGCCCACAGTCCGATTGGCGGTCATGAACATCTCAGTCTTCCCCGAATCCTCCATCAGGAAGGTCTTCTGCACCTTGACGGCAGCCAAGATGAGGATGGCGAACAAAAAGCCCAGGCCGACGATAATGCCATAGCCAGTGCCCTGGTTAACGAGGGAGATGCCATGGCCGATGTCAACCATCTTGGTAGATTTCCGAGGGCAGGTCTGAACAGCAGGAGGTTCGGAGGGGGTGAGGGGAGAGGGGAGAGGGGAGAGGGGAGAGGGGGTCCGAGGGAGGTCGATACTTGTACTCGAGCGCATCCTGTATCCTGATGATGATGTGCTCGACCTCACCCCGGCACGGGTCTGCATTAGGTGTGTCTCTCCCGCAGCAGCGGGTCCCCAGCGTTGATCTGCCATCGGCATCCACAGACCATGTCAGGATGGGGCATGCTTACAGAACAACGGACGAGGATGCACAGGCAGCCCTGGCGGGACGATGCATGCAATTCAACAGGCGAGGGGAGATATCAGTGGGGTGAAGAAGAGCCAAGTCCAAGTCACTGCGACCACATCGGGCCTCGAACTGTCCCCAGCGGCGCTTATCAGAACGGCATTGAGTGTAAGCCTAACTATGTCTCTGCTGAATGTCGACCACAGAGATGGGGTGGCTCTAGGCAGGGAAGCCAATGCGATGCGATGCCAGGAGAAGCTTTTCTCTCGCGCTGCTCCCGTGGTGTTTTGGGCCGCGGGTCTGAGGAGAGTGGATCACGGGTAATAACGTGCGCCCGCCCCCGAATAACGTGCTTGGACCACCACCTCTCGCCATCCGTGAGGAGAAGCCTGCTTCTTGCTTCTTTATCATGAAGACGAGCGCGCAAGAGGGAAAATAAGATAAAACAAACAAATAAATAAATAGATAAATAAATAAATAAAATAAAATCAAGTGGAGAAGTAAAGAAGAATACTGGACAAGAAAGGGATGTACACATGATGATGATGAGGATGCTCACTCGGTATTCCTGTGCTGTTTCTCTCACTCGAGAATCACAGCTGCAATTCGTCACCAGGGGTCTCAATAACGCAATCGGCAGCCTTGTATATCACACTTCAGAGATCTTCATAGAGGCGCGACATCGCTGAGAAAGTAGACAAAAAAAAAAAAAAAACTATGGGTTCGTCTCAATGCATCCATCCGATCGTCAATCCTTGATATCGGATGCCGGTTTCCAACCTACTACTCCATTGACTTGATGCCGGGTTCTGGGAGAGTGGTCCACCTTTGAGTCCATGAAGATCAACAGGATACGGGAATCGTCCAAGAAGCGTGCTATTCCCGGCTCTCCAACTGGCCAAAGACAGGACCACCAGAAGCCTCAGCGCCTTCGCCATGAACTCTTCCTACTCCAGTAGTGCATCTCGCAGCAGGCCTCTGGAAGCATCCACTTTACATCGACCTCATGCTCCGTACTCCATACCCCAGACTCGCATTCGAATTCTAGACCGGCGTAGCCCAGCGCTTCGATGAGCCCAGCCTTCGTCCCCCTTCGCTGGCGTGCTACTGGAGTCTGGGTCCATGCAACACGGAGGAGGACCGTATCAAGAGAGCGGCGGGGTCCATGATCATCTTCTCCGTGAGTACACCGGAGAAAGCGTGAAATGATGGGGTGAGCTTATATTATCACACCATGATAGAGCACTCGCCCTCTTCGGCTCTCCCCACTTACGACACCAACAAAGGTTCCAAGTTCATCGAGGTAGACTGCGACCCCTCCAAAGCATCATGCGTACAGCCAGACCTCTCATCTCCGACGGCTCTGAAGCGAAGATTGTCGCGAGGGAAAAGACCGGCCCTCTTGGCCGACATCGTCGAGGGGAATGGGACTCGATCCTGCTCCCATCAAAGAACCCCAGCTCTGAATTGATCCATCTCGAACCCAGATATGTCAGCCCGTGAGTTCTTGAAACAGGAGACAAGAAGGGCGCGGGTGGCCATCGCAGCGAGAGAGTCTTCCTGTATACAATACAGGAAAGTCCTCACTTGCGTAGTAGGGCGGCGAGGCGTCTTTAAAGAGCGCTCTGAGGGATTTTCGCCTCGTGCCAGAAGAGGATATCCCTCATCGCCCCAGAGAGGAATCAAAAGTCCTAATCCCTCTATCGAGCAAACCGGAGTCGTAAAAGTTGGGGAACTCGGGTTGTTAATAAGGCAAGAGAGATCAAGATGGAGGGATAATTGTCAGTTGGGCGAGGCGACGCTAGAAACGAGGCTGAACACCCCGCTGGATCCGTAACGAAAGACTTGAATGCGTTCGCAGCAAGTCTGGATAAATCGTCCACATTGATGCTCTTTGCCGATGGTGTTTTACAGACCCTTCGCGTATGTGATAAGTCTGAGCGGGCTTCTTGACGGATGTGTGCGTGGTCGAGGGCCTTCTGAAGACACAACTCCCATGTTCTCGAGAAGGGAGATAGCTCTCCTTAATTCTAATATCACGATAAAGACTAGGCATGGGATAGAGAAGGTAACGCCGTCAAGAAAGCAGTTCATTCAAAGATAACCTACCTTATGCATTGCTGCATCTCCCTCGTGGCGCTATAGCTCAGCTTCCAACACCACGCCCTCGCTCTAGGATAAAGAAACACAGCTCTTAGGCTTAATTGCAGCAAAACCGTATCATTCCAGACGTCTGTCTAAGACTTTCAATTCATCATCATCATCAGGCAAGCAAGCATGCATGTCCTTCTATCCACCCCATGGGTATCCACCCCCCCTGTCATTCAATTCAATTCAAGTCATTCCAAATCGTTGCATTCCCTTCCAATCCATTACACTTCTCCGCCATCCCCAGAATCCACCTCCGATTCAGTTTATTAGGCATCCACAATCTCCACACTCTTACTCTCCCCATCCGCCTCGCCAGAGTTGACCTTCTTGCCCGTCTTCTGGATCGTCTTCAAGACCGTTTCGTACGGTAGCGTCGGCTCGGCGATCACGGTCGCGGTCTGGGTGTCGAGGGAGACGTCGTAGGATTTGACTCCTGTGGTATACAAATCGGTCATTTGTGTTCCTCAAAAAAAAAAAGAAAAAAAAAGAAAAGAGAAGAAAACAACCCGAGGGCGGAAGGTAAAGCAAGGGAGGGAGGGAGGACCAACCATCGAGTTTCCCAAGGACGCGGTTCACGGCGCCGGAGCAGCCGCCGCAGGACATGCTGACGTTGAACTTGTACGTGTGTTCCGCGGACATGATGCTGGGCACTGGGACGCAGATAGTTGTAGCGGGGTCGCGGCGTTGATTAGATAGATAGATCGGTAGATCTCGGAATGCAGGACGAGAGCTAGTAGTTCAGGTTCACGAAGTTGATCTTTGAAAGCGAGAGCGAGAGCGAGAGAGAGAGAGAGGGAGGGACGGAAGCGAAAGCGCGGGGGGATTCGTAGAGTATTTATCTGGGTTGAAAGAGTCGTGGTCGCAATTGTATCACTCAGCTTAGAAATGCACCTTGTCGCTTTTCCGTTGCGTGATGCCCTGGTTTGGGACCGCACTACCCCAGGAACGGTTTCGAGTGGCGGCTGAAACTTGCTCACTCATGACTCTCTCCCTGCGAAGGGCCTACTACTACACCGATACGGCTTGCCTCCCGGCTCGGGCCACGGCCTGATAAAGCGGTGGAGATTTGCAGAACTGGAACTATTGTGCTTGGACTCTGCGGGTTTCATGTGGCGCTTCATGCTGCGTTTGGAAAGGTTGCTCTATGCGGTCACGTGGTCATGGAGGGGGGGAGATGTTTGGCGAATGGGAAAGTTGGCAATAGGGGGGTTTTATTGGGCGGGGTCTCTATATCTACTGTATCCTCCTTACCTGTAAAGCCTAATGTCCCGCTGAATCAGGCAACTCATCGTCAGAATGCCCCTCCAGGTCTGGCACCTGGGCATCACTATGACTATGCTCCTCCAGATACTCCTCCAGATGCTCGTCCGAATGCTCCTCCACCCCCGTCGTCCGCCGCCAAAGCAGATTCAAGAAGTTTCTTGCTATAGAGGGAGCTTCCCGTGTCCCCTCCTCCGCCTCCTCCTCCTCCTCTCCCTCCTCATCAGGAGCCTCTGCATCTGCATCCCCATCCTCCCCCCGAAATCTCGGCAATATAGGGATGAGTTGTCTCAGAGCGGCAAGGGGATTGTTGAATACATCCAGGTCATTCCAAGGAGCCTCTCGTTCTTGGAGAGCAATACGCTGCGACTCGTAGGAGATAACGTTGTTGTCCGGTGGGAGGGGATCGCTATCTGAGTTATTGCTTCTGTGTAGTATAGCCGAAGGTACCAGGGACATGAGTGCAGGTGTATTATCCAAGTATATAAAGCGCACCACATCGCGTGTCATTTCATCGTTGCCAAGTTTAGGAATGGCGTCCGTATCAACTTTGGGGATCGTGTGGGCAATTTCCATCAATAGTGCTGTGGCTTCCGGAGTGTTCCAGAGGTCTTTGGTTTGTTTGACATACAAAGAAGTGAACAATTCTTCCGGGCTGCTTCGTGGGAGGGCGCCCCAGATTGAACTAGGTGCGTCCAGGTTGAGTTCGGTGAAGAGGCGGACAAAGAGCCAAGGTACTTGTTGCATAGCTTTAGTCAAGATCTCCCTGCTCTTCTTGCCATCTCCAAGCTGCTGAGCTGCCAATGCCAGTGATGGGGCATTGTGATCACGGTACGCTCCAGAGTTGTTCATCTTAATGAGAGGCTCTTTCCCCTCAGTCTCGTTCTGAGGATCGCAGATATCTAGCAGCCACTTGAATTGATGGGCTCGAAGTGCAAGATGATGAATCATAAGACGCATGCAATATGGGTCTCCTTCCGGATCTAGACTTAGCAAGAGCTTAGCCCATTCGAATGCTGTTCTGTACGTTCCCTTCATAACAAGACTTTTGATGTATTGGTATCCAGCGAGCCAGAGCTCTCGATTCTCTGGTCGGTGGAAATCTAAACGGGCCTTGCCTTCTGCTAGCTTCGTGCTGAATAGGGACGAAGCTGCTCGGCCAAAGGTGAACAGGGCTCGCTCAACGAGATCTGATGCCACTGCATGATCACCTTGGTCTTTGGCAATAATGCTGACTTGAAGGAGGAGAGAGATGTGGTAGGCTGAGACTGTTAGTACAAAGCAGCCAGAAAGATTAGAAGACTTACGATTTCTCGTCAGGAGCCCTATCAAGTTCTGAGGATCTCCCATTTCCACGTATCCATGAAACGCCTGCTGCAGAGATTGATATGTCTTATCGTGTACATATCTAAATTCTACCGTTCCATCGACCAATCTCATATCATCAACGACTTCCATCGTGAGCCCACCAGTAGTCCCTTTAGGCCAATCATCTTTCCCTTGTATGAGACAGTTGTGTCGTAGTGTAAGCGCCGAAAGGCCTTTTCCAGGAGGGTGATGTCCTTTGAGGGCCGTCCCGAGGTCCACCATTTGGTTCTGCCCTCTCTGTCTTCTCCTGGCTCCTCGACCAATTGGGCCTCCAGCATCGTCATGATTTTCTATAGCTGTCTTCCCAAACAGATTTCGCATCTCATTTGCCACCTTGAGGTGCTGTTTTTGAATACCTAGCAAGGCGCATACCCTTTCGTATTCAGGATCGAATGAGGGTGCCGTATCTTGCCCCTGGGAGTCGCCGGAAGGTTTCTTCAGATTGAGCTCTTGTAGTGCCGCCTCAATTTCGTCCTCGTTTTCTTGCTTGTCGACCGGCGCTGCCTTCGCCTTGTTCTTTGCTTTCTTCTTCTTCTTGGACTTCTTTGCCTTCGGTGCGGGGGCGGGGCTTGGCTCTGGTTCGCTCAGGTCTTCCTTTGCGCTTTCAGCCTCCTGCTCGTCCTCATCCTCATCCCCTTCACCTTCATCCTCGAGAGCAGCTAGGCTAGCAAATAGGCTGGGTTTTGCTTTCTGCGGTAGAAAATCTGGTTCTTCTTCTGAATCCTCCTCTGCTTCTGCTTGTAGTTTTGCCTGCTCCAGCTCTTTCTGCTGTTGCAGCTTTCGAAGCTGTCTGCTCGACATTCTCGAATATCAATAAGGAAGCGCAGAACTTTCTGCTCATCTGCCAGTCTTGCAAGTTGTCGAATTTTTATCTGTTTAAGCAGTTGGGGTTGGACGAAGTATATGACCGGAGGATGGATTTTTGCCGAATGACGCATTCGGGACTTCGCGTAGGCACGCGCCATCACGCCGCTTGAGATCTCGATCATCCAACGTCCAACGCTTCTCATGAACTGAATTTGAAGGGAAATCCATTTCTTTCATTATGCGACTGTAACAACAACTCTCATTTGAAAACCCCCATCATTCTTTTTCGAGTTCACCTCGCCGCGATCTCGTTCCTTGCGACGGTGACTAGCGCCTCACCTCTCCCGCCACCAGGTCTCCAGTCTATTCCCACCTCATCCGATGCGTCGAGCAGCAATACAAGTGTTTCGGACTTCGCGTCTTGCACCATCACGAAGCCTCGCTCTTCGCAGTCGCAGCGGTTTTCAACGATCGAATTATGTGCTAGGAATACGATACGCCTCTGGAGGGAGTGGACCAGCATCCAAAAACCACACCTCAAAGCTCGCTGCATCCGCTAAGGGAGCGCAATCGATGTACCTGCGAAGATTCTCCGTCGCTGTGGTGTCGGGCCTTGTTGGATACGGGGCTTGGTATGCTTACAAGGGCAACGGGACAGATTTGCAGCAGGCGCCCGGATTCTCAACCTCTGCAATCAACTCCCTGCAGAACCCCCAGGCAACTGAAATTGCGAGGAAGGCTGTGATTGTTGGAGCCGATTCTCTCTACACCGGCCCAATTACAGGAGAGGGTCCTATATCGAAGGATACGGATGGCGCTGGGAGGAAAGTACTGGAGATGTTGACACCGGAACAAGCTACACAGAAGTTGAGACGAAATGAGGAGTCCTACCTGGTGGGACGAGGCAAGGGTGTTGTGAGATATGATGTCGTGCAGGTACCGAGCAATGATCCTATCGAGGATGATCACGCAGAAAAGATAATCGAATTGCCGTCAGCATTGTCTACCGCCACAGCTGATGGGAACCCTACGAGTGACTGGATGTTCTGGGGGGTCTTCGATGGGCATGCGTATGTATAACATGAATGCGAGTCTATAAATCACTAATGATTGGCAGAGGCTGGACTACATCCGCGAAATTACGACAGGTTCTCATCTCCTTCGTCGCTCGAGAATTAAACAACACCTACAAAGCAGCATTAACCAATCCCTCCTCTAAAGCTCCCTCTCATGAAGCAATTGAAACCGCTATCAAGACGGGCTTCACAAGACTTGACCATGAAATCGTGCACGAAAGCGTTGAGAAGGTCTTGAAAGCCAACTCCAAATTGGTGGCGGCGGAACTCCTTGCCCCGGCCCTCTCAGGCTCTTGCGCTCTCCTCTCATTCTACGACACCAACACCAATCTCCTCCGTGTGGCCTGCACAGGCGATTCGCGGGCAGTGCTGGGCCGTCGGGGCGAAAGTGGAAAATGGATCGCGACTCCCCTCTCTGTTGATCAAACTGGCAGTAACCCGGATGAAGAAGCAAGGATGCGCAAACTTCACCCTGGTGAGGATGGCGTGATCCGTAACGGTCGAGTTCTCGGCGGACTCGAACCATCGCGAGCTTTCGGTGATGCAACATATAAATGGACACGGGAAGTCTCCGAAAAGCTCAAACGATCTTTCTTCGGGCGCACGCCCTCACCTAACCTCCGCACCCCTCCTTACGTGACCGCTGAACCTGTCATCACAACCACAAAGATCGAGCCAGATAAGGGAGATTTCTTGGTGATGGCCACAGACGGTCTGTGGGAGATGCTTACTAACGAGGAGGTCGTCGGGCTCGTCGGGCAATGGATCGAGAAGCAGTCTTCCGATACAAAGGGTAATATGGGGTCCAGTTGGGTGAAGATGTTTTCCAATGAGAAGAAAGGACTCCCGGTTGAACATGTGAAAGGGAATGAGAGGAGGGGCAGAGATGGCCAAAAACAGCCCATCAGACAACAGCAGTGGGGCGTTAAAGGAGGGGAGAATGAGCGGTTCGTCGTTGAGGATAAGAACGTTGCGACACATTTGGTGAGGAACGCACTGGGTGGAAAGGATAGGGATATGGTCTGCGCATTGTTGACTCTGCCAGCCCCATACTCGAGGAGATATCGGTGAATTCATTCCCTCATCCGAAATCCATCTCCATTGATTTACTGACATGATGGCAGGGATGATTTGACGGTCGAGGTTATCTTCTTTGGCAACTCTGATAAGAGCGGTGATGTAGTGGTGAACAACGAGGCGAGCGCGTCCGGTCATGAGGTCAAGGCAAAATTATGAGGTGTTTTCAGATGATCGCTGAATCCGTGTAGTATTGATTGACAGTTGCAAGTTCTTCAGTGGGTTTCGCTAGATAACGATGGCAATGGCTGTTTTCATACCCGTGTTATGATTTACAAAGGGGCTCAGGCACGACTTGATCATATAGCTCTGTAGTGTACGATTAAAAACTCAATTTCTTGGTATCTTGTTCTGCATAAAGCCAATTAAATCAGTTGACGCCTTAGCCACCATTGAGACCATCTCCAATCGGCATCTCATTAGCTCAAGTGATGTATCTCAAGACTCCGAGATTCCGCAACCAGAAGCTCCTTGTTCCCTATCCACCCTCTCTAGGACCGCCAACCCACTCAACAAAACCGCCTTATCCCACTCCTCGACATAAAGACCATGTTTCCAGAAATCCCTAAAGATTACAAACTTGCCTCTCCTGCTCATCTCCCCCTGCGCATTCGCATCATGCCCGACCAACTCGGGATGCACAAACATCGCGACCGTCTCGCCATCATTGCGGTCCACCAACTTGAAGTTCCGGGGCTTGGCTTTCTTCTCCGCGAGACTCCAGGAATGAGTGCGTGCGGCGTGTTCGGGGATGCCCCCGCTGGGCGTCCTGCCAGGGGAAGATTTACCCTGCGCGTGTTTCTCGGTGGCGGGTGAGAGCGTGGCAGGTGGTGCAGTGAGGGTATTGTGACAGGCTTGCCATTCGAATCCGCGGCGTAGGTCGTCGCCGAGGCCGAGGCCAAATTCGTGGGTGGTGCGAGAGCCGGGTTTGACGAGTATATCTTCCCAGACGGAGTTGTCGCTCTTGGAGAAATCCTCGGGGTCGCCAAAGGCCATGTTCATAGTGTCGCAGCCGTGGTACATGCGTACTACCCCGGCAATGGGGTCGGGGGAAGAGGGGCAATATAGGGTGATGGAGTTGGGGTGTTGCATGTCGATTATGGGCTCGACGGCGGTGGTGTAGATAGCAGAGGAGGAACCTTCCGGGAGGATGGAGAGGTCTCTCGAGTTCGCACCGCCGCTGTGGAGGAGGGTGTAGGTGCGGAGAATGGGCGGTGAAGGTGCCTCTTTCTCAGTGGTTGTGCCATGTGTCCTGGACCTTGTCTGGGACTGGTAAAACGTCCTTAGAACGGAAAATAGAGAAAACATATCGAGAGTTAGAAGGGATATCTTTGATAGACAGAACAGTAGAAAGACACAAACGGAGGTAAGAGAGAGGCGCCGGATAGTAAGAACCTGAACGATATAGAATCTTGATATGTGGGGGTATGGCACTCAGATTTAAGTTATCAGCTTATACTCCGCAATTTGGAAAAGGCACAGCTCTCAACCAATCGACTCTCACGACGCTGTACAAAGCTGTGATGCAGCTTATGGAGAATGGAAAGAGGGTGGTGGGCAAGCTTTCTGATTTGGTGATGATACCCCATGAGCTATCAGGGGGGCGATCAGGGGAGGGCCAACATGTTGGTTGGTTTCTCAAGAAGCTGATGTTGGATTGTGGAGGCACATGAGGATGGAAACGAAACGAAGCAATGCTTTTGCCGCGAGAACTCCAACTGACACAGCCTTGCTATAGTGCAACCCCCAATGCCAACATAAGCAAAAGACGAAACAGCCCGATTGGACCCGACCAAACAACGCACGATAAGCCGAATGGCGTAAAAACGTGGTTTGGGGTGGAAGACTGGAAATTGAAAAAGCACAGCCTCTTGTTGTTGGTGATCAGGACCAGGGCGTGCGATATGCAGACTTCAGCCCAGTTAACCAACAATGAATTCCAAGCCACAAGAGAGAAATCCATGCCTTAGCCCCGTCCACACATCCCCTTCCCATGCGATGGAAGGTTGCCACGAGGATCTTTCCCGTCTCTGGGTTCCCCGACTGCAACCTGGTACGGTGAATCGGTGATGGCGCTCTTTGCTAGAGCAGTCTCAAAACACAAAATGGACACAGAATATATGAAGGTTCTTCATGTTCGTACGAAATAAAATAAAGAGCCTAAAGCGATACTGTCGCAGTGGTTGTCAAGGATATCAAGGGCGGTACGGAGGGTGTTCTCAGCTAGGAAAAAATACTGCAAGGCTCTTAGACGATGTGGCGGATCTAAATAGCCAGAGCAACATTATGATGCTTTTCCTTCAGTGGCAGGAATTACTTTCGAAGACAGAATGATGCTAATTACCATTGCTGATGGATGATGATTCTTAAATGCTGTGAAAATGCAGACACGCATAAGGTACCTAACAAAACCGGAGCCCCGCGCCATAGTTTCCCCGAAGATGCACTCTCATATGAACCCAAAGCCGTCAAAAACCGAAAGCCGACCACTACCCCACCAAAACCGATCCGTCAAACACCGCTCCTTGCACGTAAACAAAACGCTTTCTGGCCCAAGATTGGTGGCTTTAAAGCCATATGGCCTCGTTTCCCGTTGAGTTGCATGGATTCATGGATTCCGGGACAATTTGGTAAGGGTTTAGTGGAGTTGGCACCCAGAGCTTACCCCGCCATGCCCTGCGGACCTGCGGTATCGAGAAGCGGTGATTTCTTCTGGATCATAGTCTTTTCCCTTCTCTTTATCTCTGGTCTTTCTCTTGAATGTTCTTTTCTATCTCTAGTTTTTTTCAGAAAGGCATTGATACCCTAGTGTAATCATATCTTCAAGACCCTCTACATCCCGAACTGCAGACGCTCCGACCTCATCAGCAGTCATGTCCAGACCTACGGTGCTGTTAATTGGCGGCATTACACATGTGCAGAAAGAATGGCAAGAATGCTCTAGCTTTGCGGAGCTGAAGGTTAGTTTAGCTGGACTCGTTCTTGAAGGAATGGGCTGACTAGTATGTTGTGCAGACATTCGCTGGTACCACGCGAGGAGAGTTCTTGAAGCAGTGTGAAGATGGAAGTTATAATGATGTGGTTGCTCTTTACAGAAGTAACGAATCAACATCTGTAAGTAAGATAAAATTATCACTCGGAAAATTCGGGTGTTGATTGCACGACAGTTAACTGGCCCATTTGATGCGGAGCTCGTGGGAAAACTCCCACAATCGTTGAAATATATCTGTCATAATGGAGCAGGATATGATAACATAGATATCACTGCATGCACTTCTCGAGGTTAGTCTCCCCTTCTACGTGTCTTCTACGACATCAATTACCAATACTGGAACAGCCTACTGACTCCCTTCAGGTATCCAAGTCTCTAGCACACCTGTCGCGGTAAATAATGCCACAGCTGATATTGCCATATTCCTCCTTCTCGGAGCCCTACGACGCATTCACCAGCCATACGCATCTATCCGGTCTTCCCAATGGCGAGGACCATCTTTCCAGCTTGGATACGACCCCCAGAACAAAATCCTAGGAATATTAGGCATGGGAGGCATCGGCCGAGAGGTGGCAGCTCGCGCTCGAGCTTTTGGGATGACGATCCATTACCACAACCGCAGCCGCTTATCTCCCGATTTAGAAAAAGGTGCGAAGTATGTGAGCTTTGAGGAGTTGATAAGAACCAGTGATGTTTTGAGTTTGAACTGCAGTTTGAGGAAAGAGACCGTTGGGATAATTGGGAAACGAGAATTCGAGATGATGAAGCAGGGCGTGATCCTCATCAATACTGCCCGAGGAAGATTAATCGATGAAGCAGCATTGGTGGAGGCTCTCGATTCGGGGAAAGTGTTCAGTGCCGGGCTGGATGTTTATGAAGAGGAACCGAAAGTCCACGAGGGATTATTGAATAATCCGAACGTGGTGTTGCTACCGCACATTGGAACAGCAACTTTCGAGACGCAGGCAAGTCGGGAATTCTCTACTTTGGTCTCGTGGCTAACCGTCCAACCTCTAGAGAAACATGGAGTTGCTGGTATTGGAGAATATCAAGAGTGCTGTGGAGAAGGGATCTCTGATTACGCAGGTTCCGGAGCAGACATCGAAAGAGGGCCGGTAGTAGCAGTGTCATGCAAGTGCACCACTGCAGGACCACCACCACTTAGGATACACAGACCCTGAGCACATCTCTTGTTATTTGCCGCACAGATACAGAATTCTCTTCAACTCCAACTAGTCTGTTGACTTCAACTGATCTTCTGTAATTTTTGATTCGCTCCGGAGCTTCACGCGAGCCGGTTAAAGGTTGATCCCTCGACGACCCCGCGATGCTCTCCCCACAGTTCGTCTCCTCCCCGATCCCGTTCATCCCGATGTCGACTCCCCGGACACAAGGGATCCTCCCCACACCGCCAAATAATTCTGCAGATTAAACGCGAATTGCAAAATGGAAATTTGCGCACATAAAAGGTTTACGTGTCCCACTCTACCGACCTTGGAATGTTGATGTTGTGAGAAGTTTTGCCAAATTTCCTGTCACGATGCAGTCTCTCCAGTCCCTCCTCTTTGCTTTAGGGCTCAGCAACACTTCAAACCAAGCCCTCGAGTGCACGGCTTCGGCCTTTTCTTCAATCCTCCCCTCGCATGCGACACTCTCGTACGCTGTCTCCGTCCCAGCTAATGGCTCCTTTGCTGATCCCTCTCCGGAATTCCCAGTAAACGACACTGGTCTACCAGCACTGTGTGCCATATCCGTCAATGTCCTCTCTTCATCCAATTCCTCGTTCAATTTCGGTCTCTTCCTTCCTGAGGACTGGAATTCACGTCTCCTCACCTCTGGAAATGGCGGCTTCGGCGGTGGGATAAACTGGAACGACATGGAGTCTTCCGTTTTATCTGGTTTTGCAGCGATGTCTACCGATACGGGACATCTCTCTACCCCATTTGACGCCAGCTGGGCATTGAATAATTCTGAGAGTCAAGTGGACTGGGCATATAGGGCTATGCACGGCTCTGTTATTCTCGCCAAGCAGATTGTGCAGAAATATTACGGGAGAGAGATCGTGAAGTCGTATTATTCTGCCTGTTCGACGGGCGGAAGACAGGGTCTGAAGGAAATCCAAATGTATCCTGAGGATTTTGATGGAATATTGGTGGGTGCGCCGGCCTGGTGGACCACGCATTTGCAAACTTGGACCTTGGAGGTCGGGCTTTGGAACCTCCCAGTCAATGGCGCGAATCACATCCCATCTGCATTGTTCCCCGTCATCGAAAAAGAGGTCATGAAGCAATGTGACCCCCAGGATGGGTTGGTGGATGGGATTATTTCAGACCCGCTAGGTTGCGACTTCATGCCTGAAGCCCTCCTCTGCAGGCCGGGCTCCGACAAAACCTCCTGTCTCACGGCACCCCAAATCGGGACCGTGTATAAAATCTATAACGACTGGATAGAAACGAACAACACATTTGTCTTCCCGCACTTCTTTCTTGGTTCCGAAGCCGAGTATACTGCCCTCACCAATACCGATTCCGGTGTCCCAGCGCCTCTCGGAACATCTTGGATCCAGAATTTCCTGCGCAACGACTCATCAGACGTGACCGACTGGGCGAGCGAATTCTCTTATGCTACCGTACAGCTAGCGGACAAGCTGAACCCTGGTAACGCAAACGCAGATAATTTCGATCTCTCCCCCTTCGCGGCAAGGGGCGGGAAACTCATCCATTACCACGGAATGTCCGACGGGCTCATCGCCGCCGGGTCCAGCACCTATTTCTACAAACAGGTTCTCGCAACGCTCATTCCGAAGGGTGTTACTGTTTCGGATTTCTACAGATATTACCTGGTTCCGGGAATGCAACACTGCAGCTTTTCTTCGGTAGACGCGCCGTGGTATATCGGGGGCGGGAACCAGCCGTTTGCGTTAGGGCCTACCGTTTATGGGGTGCCGGGATTCAGGGATGCGAAGCATGATGCGATGCTGGCGTTGGTGGAGTGGGTTGAGAATGGCAAGGCACCAGAGGAAATTGTGGCTACAAAATATGTGGATGATGATGTGAATCTGGGAGTGAGGAGGCAGCGGCCTATATGTCCCTATCCCGAGAGAGCGAAATACGATGGAACTGGGGATCCGGACTTGGCGGAGAGCTGGGTGTGCGAATCACCGTATAGTACATAGAGCACTGTAGAAGCCGAATCTTGAGATTCTGTTCTCTAGGAACATTTTGAAAAGCCCCTTCCCATCCTAATTGCTCTCCTCAACCTCCTATATCTATCTTCATTGTTTACTATTGCAATTAATGGCGCACATATACCGTAGGTAAAGTTGTATCCGTACAATGCATCTAGGCTCCCCAAAGGGTGCACACAGGTACTCTCGCTTGTTACCTACCCCCCTTTTCCCTTTCACCCTCCTCCTATCTTTAGGTAAAGTCTAGACCCTGCTTCAACTCTTTCCAACCACCTTTGCGCACCAATCTCTATCCTCCAAGCTCCTTATTCTATCCTGTTCTTAATATCCATAGTTGAGATTATGCCACAAGACACTACGGCGTTCGGCGCCAACCCTCCCCGCTCTGTACCTACCTTACCATAAGGCAAGGTACCTACCTAGGTCAGGTAGGTACGGTAGGGGTTAGCGTGACATCCGGTTGGGGTAGTGGCAGGTTACCTCGCTTATATCATGAATATAGCAACGTGCTCTGAATAGCTTCTTGGATCCTCAGACTTTCACACACATAAAACGATCAAGGATTGATAGACACATCCTCAGGCAAACTCGGTTCGACAAGCGACCATCACTCCTTCTAAGGAGCGGAAGTAGCAATGGCTTCTTCAGTATGTTGACTTTAAACCAGGCTGCAGCCACTTCACTTTTCTTCTTTTCCCGCTGACTTGCATTGTTTAAGGATTCCATTAGTGTTACAGTAGGTTTTGATCGTGTATTGTGAGACTTCTCTCTACGTTTAGTCCTAAGTGTATGATAAGTATTAACGCATTCAAATTCAGGGCCGCTCGATTTGGGGAACAGAAGTACTTGCTACCACAATATCGCTTTAGATCCGAACACTCCTACTAATGTGTCACAGGATGGCTATCATGGTCTTTACTCCAGGTCTCAGTGGCATCGATGGCAGAATTCTTGATCCTATTTGTCGCGATCCAGCAAATTTGCACCGCGTCTCAGATGAAATCTTGCGGTGGCATTTTCGGCAGACACATCAAGTCCACGACCACAACTACCCTCGATACATCTTGACGAGGACCTGGCTACCATGTCGAGCGCAATCAATTAAACGGCAGTTTCACGGTTATCTTACAAGGGGATAAGCAACTGCCATCAGGTTGGTTCTGCGACAGCAAAGGAACCCACAGGCATGGCCCACGACACACGTCCTATTTCCCTTTGACGCGTCCAGCAGCAGCGAAACCCGCAGCTCTTTGCCTAGTAATATCAGTTTCAGCCCCCACAATTCGTCCGATACGCACCCAGTGCGTCCCAACCTCTACAGCAATCTCAGTAACACACCGGGCGTTACCAGATCGATCCGGAGATCCACGCTGAGCTGTCTTCTCGCTTTCCAGAGCATCATACACTTCACTACGCGGAATTGATCTCATCCGCATGATCGCATCGGCACCATCTTTGAGATCCGCCAGCAGGTATCCAGAGAATGAAGCAATTATACAACAGGCACAGGACCAATTGATCCAGGACCAATTATTGCAGGAGAACGAATGGGATGACGAACCCCAGAGCCCCCCGCAAGGAAGCGCCTGAATCTAGCCCGGGTACCTGTCAGATCATCAATCCTTGATCGTTTTATGTGTGTGAAAGTCTGTGGATTGATGAAGCTATCCAGGTGTGCTACAGAATGTCAGTATATACATGATTATGCGAGGTCCAGACCCTAACAAAGCTCCAGTGCAGAAACGTTCTCCGTCAAGCACCTATCCTGTTTGGCGGTGCCGCAACCATCGCCCATGGAGAGCTACGTCGAAAGACGAAAGATGTTGACATTATTGTCAGCAAAGAGGCTCTGTCATTCCTAGAAGATGCGATTGCAAATCGGCGGGGGGGCTTCCACAAAGACTGTGATGAACAGTAGCATGGGATAAATGCGACACCGACAATAAATATCAATTACGAGTGACGGTTGAGCTCATTCTGATCGGGGGACCATTTGTCCCATCAATTCCGGAAACGGTCCCTTATGGGAACGGGTTTCTTGCAACCCTCCCGGAGCTGGTCCGTCTACGGGCGGCGACACTTGTGGGCAGGGGTGATGACCAAGATTATAAAGACTTCTACTTTTTTCTGTGCATGATGTCAAAAGGGAGGAGGCTGAGGCTACCCCACATTGGAGAGGAGGAGTTAGAGTTGATGATGGAGGCAGTAGTGAGTTCAAAAGTATGGACGTTCAGGAGTCAGGACTATCTTAATAATTGACTGTCCTATTTAAAGGACTGTTCTACCTCCTGTAGTATTATAGTACTCAACACTCAAATTCTATGAGTATTAAAATCGATAGATCACACGTTGACACTGCGGCATCCGGCGCTACCTAACCATCCGCCGCTCCATAGGGTCTAGCGTCTAGAGTAGCGTTCCATCCTCAGGCAAGCTCAGGCCGCTATCTCTAATCTTAGCGTGAAGTGCCCCCGACTTAAGTCCTCCGATCTCTCTAAAAATAATAGATATTGTAGCTCTAAATTAGAGCAGCTACCCGTACTAATAAGATTTCTTATCGGAGCATTGTGTCGTGAGATATTGCGTATTGAAAGTGGATTGAAAGGTTTTGTTGCATATCGCAAACCTCGAATTCATAGCAAGTGGCTTAGCGTGTAAAGTAGTGCCATTTCCCCGGATTATGCTAGGCTGGAAATAGGATAGCTCCCTGTTGGTCGGTCTTCGGATCTGGCTCTGGATCACACCCGCCAAGTAGGGGAAAGGGATCAGGACGAAGGTATAGCTTCTCCCTTCCCGTCAGTACCATACCCTTGCTATAAGTTACTATAGAGGGGGATTGCTAAATGTATAACTAGTAATCGGTTTAAGGGGCAAATTATGATGAACTGATGAATTTATGGTATATATAATATGGTTGGTCCTTAGCTAAGGTAAGGTACGTTTCACTGGGGAGTAGACTATAAAAAACTATATTCGAAAATAAAATATGGGCTCGGGATTGTGAAAGGTAGAGCAGGCATGTCAAAAGTTCTATCGTATTAAACTAAAAGCCATCTACAGGATCAGAGCTTGTCAGCTTGATACTTGCCCTCACCCTCAGGGCAATAATGTAAGCCATGTGAACAAGCTTATTAACTCCGCTGGTTCCCTTCCTAATTTGGTTTCCTCTCCCAATCTGCCTCATCTGAGGGATGTCTCCTCTAGAATCCATCTAATAAAGAGTAATAGAGTATAGAACATACAAGCAACCAAGGTTTTTCCTGCCCGACCGAATATACCAGCTGGTTGATTATAAACCCCATTATCATCATATATCTTGCGTGCTCTTGCCAAAATTGACAATAGCTTTGGATCTATCAGGATTAGGGAATTTAGGATAACATGACGCATACGAAGGTCCTGAGTCAATGATTTGTTCCGCAAGGTGTAGAAACTCCGGCCTGATGGGCCGCTCCCACGGCATGATATGGTATGCTTTTTTCGTAATAGGATCCAGTTGTACAATGGGCTTTCTCTGATACTTGTCTAATTTTTGGGTCATTAATTCCAGATTTCGTTCTCGAATTTTAGTGCTCAAGAGCCAATTTCGCGTAGGAATCCAGTCGAGATAGAGATAACGAATGTAGTTTCTAATTTGCCCTTCAGGATCTCCTCCGTTACGACGTTCCGACTTGCGTTGTTCTCGTGTTTGATCTAGGAGCGCGTTAATATGGTCTTCAATAGTCGGAATAAAGATAGGGATATCCCGTCTCATGATTTTGGCTCGTTGTTGTATAGGTGGTAACAAAGGAATGTTGCATTCTTCGTAGCGTCGTAGTAGTGGAGGTCCAAATCGTTGACATGGGTCCCGGTAGTATTCTTCCTCCAGCACCACATAATTCCGTATAGAGACATCTGGGACCTCGACCTTATTGCAATCCACTGTGAGGTGGTAGAGCTCCTCTGGCCAAAATCGGAGGTATTCAAAAGCGGGGTCCAAAAAGCAGGCTTTTAGCCAGACGTCGCGGATCGGAGTTTCGTTGACCATGCTGTCATAAAGTAACCAATCCTTAATATCCACATAGTTTCTAGAAACTTTCCACTCTCCAGATCCAACGATATCATCCACAAGCGCCTGCAAATGAGACGACCGCACAAGCACATCAATTTCTTTTTGTGGAGAATTATTCCCACCACTCCATCTCATCGCCAGGGTGCTGACCAAGATAAAAGGGTGATTGTGGCGTTGGAAAATCGAGAGAACGGTGTCTAAGTATCCGGGGCATGTTGCCCACTGTGGCTTAATAAACTCTGGTTTCAGTGTACTAATGTCGAGTAGTGGGGATCGTGCTGATAGAGACGGCAACTCCATGGCAACGTTTTAGAGGGCGTGATGATAAGAGACCAAGAGTTGTAGTAATGTAGCGCAACGTGCTTCGTGATGGTGAGAATCTCTGGGAGAAGACGAGAAGTCATGGGAAAGGCACGCCTAAAATACCGTACGCAGTAGCTTTAATGACCCACTAGCTCAGTCCAAATACTATCTACGTACCGCGTTTTCTGACTCTTAGCCTTTCATTAGAGTGATATTGTAACCGGCTTTCAGCTATAGCTAGGATATTGAATAGGCTAAGAGTGGTTAGCCAGTGAGTCAGTAAGGTATCTAGGTATTTCTATGACTTAACTAGAGCTTAGGGAATTAGTGAGACTTTCCGTTACTTGGTTAGGTTATAGAACAAATACGTGCGTATCTACTACTACGGATATACCTGGAAAAGGTCTCAAGCTTAGCGTTCCATAAATATATAAAACTGGAAGGCTATAGCCCAAACGGTAAACCTACCTATACATGCCACCTCTCTCTGACCACCTTTTACCACGATAATCCACTGCCTTCGGGAGTTCGCCTGAATTCAGCACCAATAATTTTTTGGGATCTCTAGGCACGGCGTACCGACGACATTCATCGTTGGCTTCAATTCTTATTATTCAGTTGTTTTAGCAAACAGCATATGGCCCTTAAGATATATTTTCCCAGGCCTCTCACTGCCATTAGGGAGTTCACCAGCTACGGATCTTCAAGAATTAGGCCTCAAATATATCGTTCGAGTCCCTACCAAGGCATAGATCCAAGGGAGACAGGAATGAAAGAGCCAAGTGGATGATACTCTTCTGTCATTCCCGGAAGACGAGTGAGAGTGAGGTAGGTAGACTCTGAGGAGACCAGCTTGATTTCGGGGAGGATAATTGGAAATTATATGCGGGATTCGGGAGATGTTTTCGGTCATAAACTGTTCCGAACTATCTCTGAAAGTGCTGCAAGGCATTATACCTTACGCAGTATTTATGTGCTACACTAACACTGAGTTCAAAATGCAGTTCATTGCCAAGCACCTCTGCCCAATTCATCTTGGAGAAATAACAGGCATTCGCAAAGTGTGCTAAGCCCTTTCCCTCAATAATGAGGTCGGTTCATCTGCGTGGTATTCCTACGAAATGCTTGTATCCTCTGTGTCTATCCCTCTCATATAATTGTTCGCTCTGTCTACTCCTCCGGCGGCCAAAAACTTAAAAGACGGACAATCGTTACCGCCGTTGCCACATCCACTACACCTCTGTCACCTCTCCACTTTGATGCTCCAACGTGCAGATACGATGATGTCGCCTGGGAGCGCAGCGACGAGATCTACAGTAGGAGGCATGAAAATCCAAACTGTCCGAGCCCGACACTCAGCAGGCCGCCGCGCCATTTGTCGCCGGCGATCCCCTCGAGATTCGTTCTCCCATCGTCGGCGCACTGAATCGTCTATCAAGTCATCAAGTCATGTTCCGAGATAGTGGCCCGTCTGCCATTATTAGAGTCGCACAACCTGGAATTGCCATGTTCCCTGAGAAAAGGGCCAGGAATGTGCTGCTATGAAATACTTACAAGAGCATACGTCCATTCCGCTGCCACTCATCTTGTATTTGGGGCACGAAAGAGGAGAGGCCATATGAGCTGGGCCCTTTCCTAATCATGGAGTACATCGAGCATGAAACCAATCTGGGCGCCGCTCTGAATTTGCCAGAGTTCAGTCCAGGACTCCAGGTGGTCGCCCGGCTCTAGTCTCCAGACCCTAACATCGACCAAGACAGATTCGAAAAGCTGTACGGCCAAAAGCCGACATCCTCCTTGAATTATCTAGAAGACCCCCTCCCGAGAATTGGGTATATCACTGAGACCCAAGAAGACACGTTTAATGTCGCGGCACAACCTCTTCTTACCTTGCCTATGAACGAACTCATTCGTCTTGCACCCTCCCCGCTCAAGGAGTCAAGGCTCCCACAACCAACTTTCTCAACGCTCATTGATCTCGTCCTACATTTCCACCCTCGCAGACCTCTACAAAGCTCACCTCCTATACTCGCCTACGAGCGCTCCCTCGCCTCATCCGCCTCCGATACTGGTCTCTTCAGGATCTGGTGCAACGACTTACGCCCTGCCCTACCAACGTTCTACTCAATGCAAGCCTGCAAATCATCGACGTCGTCGACTGGGAGTTTACCTATGCGCCCCCTGTTGAGTTTGCATATGCCCCGCCCTGGTAGCTACTGATTGAGTAAGCTGAGTTCTGGGAAGGTGGTTTGGACGCCTGGAGTCGAGAGTATAAGGAACGGGTTACTACCTTTTTGAAGGCCATGCGGGAGCGGGAGGATAAGAGTATCAAGCCCGGCACATTGACGGATGACCAGAAATTGACGGGTCGTATGCGGGACAGTTGGGAGAGGGGCGATTTTTGGATCGAGAGCTTTACCTTTGATGCTCTATATTGGACCAGAGGCATTTTCAGAGTTTAGGTGATGCAGGATGGGAGAAGAGGATTGAGATGTTGACAGAAGATGAGAGGCAAGCAATAGAAGAGTTCGTGAGGAGCAGGGTTTAGGAGATGGAGACTCGAGTTTTGGCCTGGGAACCCGATGAGAACTGAGGAACGCTCCTCTATCACAATGTAAGGCACGTATACTTATGCACGCCAATCACAGTCAGCGGGTAAGTCTGCACAGATCTTACAAGTTACAGTACAAGCACAAGCTTCCAACGAGAGATGTTGATTGGCCCGCTCGCCATTTCTTCCCAGAGCGGCGTGGAAACTGCGGCACGGTCCGACTACTACTTGGCTTCGCTTTGTACACCGCCACATGCGATGATTCCGGGAATCTGTTGTGATATGTGATATGTTGGAGTGGAGCATGATCTGCAGTGGTTGATGGGGCGACAATAATAGCATTCAGAACTGAGATCGATCGCCTCTTTCTTCTTGAGACCGCAGGGGACCACGCCGCAAGCTACCAACCATGTTACATTTCCATGCTTCCATGGAGACCACAGCATGCGGTCCATGAGGGACCGAGACATGTCAGATATACTTACCCCGGTGCTGCTCACACGTGACAGCGAAGAGCGGTTTCCGACGGCGTGACAATAGCAATCTCCAAATGCCCCCCTTTTCTGACACAGCCCGCGGAGCCCAGGCCCTGTGCCCCCTCCTCACGGCGTCTGGCTTACGGCCATGCTATCGATTAAAAGTCCGACTCCCGGCGGTACCTGATCGAGACCGTTGTGTGGATGGGTCTCGAAGTTTGCTGTATGCGCCGCAAAGCAAGTATCTCACTTTTCGTCATACGGTCTCACGGTTTCCAAACGCGCGTGATAGTAAGATACTGGGTTTAAGCTGAAGCTATCTCTACGTCTTCCTGAAAAAAAAAATCTCCTGCTCGTCATATTTATATGTCTATCTGAGGGGCTTTAATTGGAACTCTTTTGGAATTACTCCTACTTGTTTCTGAATCCTAACCCATCCCTTACATCCATCATGAGGAACTCATTCTTCATATTCTCTTCTCTGCTCCTGAGCTCTGTATATGAGGCATGGGCACAAATCCCACCATGCGCTGTAAGATATCTCTTTTCCACCCCGTAGCTCTTGCATCAAATCCAATTCACTAACACCTCTTCTCCCAGGCAAGCTGCCTGACCTCTCTCCCCGCCGGATGTCAATCCAGCGACATCTCATGCATCTGTAAAGATTCATCCTTCTCCATCGGAATCTACTGCTGCGCCGTTCCGAGATGCAGCCCCGGCGATCTCGAAGGTATTCTTTCTTTCCCTCGTTGCCCCTCCCCCAAGCTCTCCAGCCTACGAAGGAAGGCCGTCCACCTCTCTCCATCCCACTAACACACCTTCCCACCAGCCGTGAGCACCTTCGCCGAAAGCCTCTGCTCATCAGCCGGCGTCCCCGTCGTATCCAATCCAGTCTGCCCGGCTACGAAAGCTGCCAGTACCGCAGCCTCCAGCAGCACCGCGCAATCCAGCAGCAGCACCGTCCAAGCATCCTCAACCACCAGTTCCAAGCCCCTATCCACCACTTCAACCCGTACGCTCCAACTCCCCCTTCCTAACTACGCCCCTTGAAACGCAGATCAAAATGAGAACTAACCGAACACCTCTCAAGAAACCACAGTCACAAGACTCACAGCAAGTTCAGCAAGTACCACGAGTGTCCCCAGTTCCACAAGCGCGACGGCGTCCACGACGTCTACGCCGTCCGCCGCAGCCGCAGCGCGGAGCGGCCCAACAATGCCGGGTCTGAGAGCTGGTGCGGCCATTGCAGCGATTGCGCTGTTTGCAGCTCTGTAGTACTAGCTGGCTGTTGATGGGAGTCTGAGGATATATATCTGAACTAAGATAGACATAGAAGGCTTATATAATGAATAGATTTGATTGCTTCTTTCGTGGTAAAGATTCGGTTTATTGTAAAGTATAGAAAGGATGCGTGATGTGATATCAATCTCACCCTGTCGGATGATCGGAATCATCTTGCTCCTGCTAGAGTTCGGACCCTGTGATAGTTTAGATGTCCTATTCTGATTTGGATTTGGCCTGATTCTTTCTGGCTAGATATTTTACACCAGTGTGTCAAGACTCAAGATGACTCCTCATTTATATCCATACTGTCTCAGCTTTACAAGTGATTTTTACTTGAGTTCTTCAAATCGGATTGCATTCTAGTTGAGGTTTGTTGACTATAGACGGTCGTTTGTTTGACCCATAATATCTTACAGAACGAGTTCCTTTCGGTATGTAAGGTATGTATGTATTTCTTGATTTATGTGTATATACATACATACATATATATACTAATATTCCAGTACTATTACGTACCAAGGAAGGAATCTCCCAATTTCCTCCTCCTTGCTCATAAAAGGAGAAAAACAAATCAAGGGTATATATAAATAGCGAGCGATTGCAAAACAGCTAAACAAGTGAGAGAGGGGGAGTTGACCATTTACTCCATCCCCAGAGAGTAATCTCAGATACCATGCATGTTATACTTATGAAAAAGAAAAAAACCAAATCGCACAACCTCGTGCCCTGAACGCCCTATACCCAATCGTGATTTTCTCTCTTGGGATTCGGATCATAATGATCGTAAACCTGAAATGATATTAGCATTTATGTAAAAGAAATTGCGCGGATGACTTACCCGCTCAGATGTAGAGTAGATGTGGTGTTGCACCTGTATTGACTTCTGCAGTTGTGCGTGCTGGGAAAGCGGCCAGGCATCCTCGGTCTCCTCTTCGAGGGCCTCGCTCTGCATGATTTTCGACGCGCCCATGCGCGACATGTTCAACGTTCTCCCGCGACCATTGATGAAGGTTCGGATACCGGTCATGGTCCCACGAGGGATTTGTGGAAGCTCTTTACCCTTGTGAAGACTTCCGTCGCTGAACGAGTCGCTACTGTCGCTGGGGTCTTCGCTCTGTCTGCTTCTCTTCGTGCTCCATCTGCTCGGGGTGATGATCAAGCGGAGGAGATTCCGGGTTCGGGTGCTGAGACTTCGGTTCGGGTTGTGGCCTGGCATTTCATCCTTGTGCTGGCTGCGGGAGATAAAGAATGTGCGGAAGGCGGCGCCGGTGGTCATGATGATGCCGACCTCTCCGGCCATGATGTTCCAGTAGACTTCCCAAGCGGGGTCGAAACCTGCTTCATGGCGCAGCCCTGAAACACGTACGATGGTAAGTGCGATCATTACGATTGTAAGTGACAGGGAAGATCCCAGGGCAATCTTTTGAGTCCATCTGATCTTGATCTGCCAGACGAGCCGAATTGGAATCACCAAGACTGTTTGTTCGAGTCAGGCTTTTCTGCGTCCACTGTGTTTAACAAGAATGACTTACTCAGTAGGTCTGAAAGGATATCAAGAACCATTTGCGATTCAGCATAATGGATGACCTGCTTCGACCTTGACCCAGAAGAGCATTGTACTACAGCTCAAACGTTAGGAAGGATCCAAAGTGTTGGAAACATGGCGGTCGACTTACAAACTTTCTCGTTGTTGAAGTGCGGGCACGCAAGGATATAGATGGCTAATCCATAGCCTGCAATCGCAATATTGATGAAGAGAACAGCCCACCAGTACCTCGTCATGGACTGGATGCGATCAATCAGTTTCTTGAAAAAGAACAAGAAGCTGAACTTGACGCAGACAATGGCAGACCAAGCGAGCATAAGGCTGACAGTTGATCTCTCTTGATAGTCGTAGATCCGCTGCAGCCAGTCCTCTGGGAGGAGAGGGAAAACCGCCGCCCCATCATCGTTCATTGCCTCCACCATGTACATGTTGTCGATGTAGCTGATGGTCAAGCCCACAGAGACGGAGATACAACACAGGCCGAAGATGAGGAACCCATCGTCGACACCGAATTGCTTTTGAATTCGGAATCGAATCCAAAAGCGCACCAATGCACCTAGCACCGCAACGACCATGAAGGTTATCATCGATGCCTTCCACAATCATTAGTTTACTCCCAACATTGGATGTCGCAGTGACTTACCAGCATCGCCTGCTTTGGGATGCGGCCAGCATGATCAAAAGCTGGCAAGCCCATCTTGAGCGGGTTTGTTGCGCTTGGTTTTGAATAGAGATCCCTGGGAAGTAGCTGTCCTAACTCTGCTCTTGGAGAGTGAAGGAGCCAGAGATGTGCGAAGTTGGGGATATAGGATGGGGGTGGGGATTACCCAAGAGCAGTAGATGTGACATCTTACATACTCGGGCTTGATGTGCGTCGTGCCTCATTCTGTCTCCATTGGACCCCTCCATCTCCTGCGCCCTCCAGCCCCCTCGTCGATAGCACATGGTTCGTGAGGGGAGATCTGGAACTTGGAAGAGCGGAGAGGTCGTGGAGACAAGGCTCCATGCGTGCCTCGTGGTTGCATGGGAGTAGTCGCAGCTATGCCCCAAACCCATTCGGTCCATGTCGCGACAGTGAGCTACGCCATGGGACGACGACTGGACGATGTTGATGAAGTTGAAGTAGTGCGGTGTCAAGGGAGTTTCAGTGCGGCGGTATTATCCACTGCCCAGGTCCCCTGTAAGTTGTAACAGACCGAGTAAACGGAAAGTGGCTAAATACCGGGATAATAGTAAGCTCCGCGGGCTACTGCACTCTACAAGCTTACCCGAAAGTGCCAGATACGGCGAGGATCGTAGGATACAAGGTAAAAGACTAAAAATAAACACGAAATATACGGTAATTTACATACCCCCCTTCCCCCTAAAAATAAACAGATTTTTTGATTGGTCGATGCCGAAAAGCATGTCCGATTATCATTGGTTCCCCCCCCTTTTCCCGCTTACAAGGTCGGATTAAGCCTCTTCTGACCTCACCTCAGACCGTAAGGTACGTACAATATCCAAATCAACCGAGTAACAGATATGCAAATCTACTGTCCTATCGCAACATCCCAAGTGCCCAGCTGACTCGATATAGTCTGGGATTGTTCCCAAGTGCCATGTGTGGCGGGTACTGCGCCGCATCTCTGCACGACACAGCCAGATACTGATCCAGAGTTCCATAACTCTATGAGGGGGGCCCACTCATCCTGTCACCCGACCGATCATTGCCAAACGCCCGCAGCTGCTTGATGGTGGACCGGTGGTTATATTCAGATCTTTAGCGTCTTGCCCACGGGCACGTCCTGACCCCAGGATGCTGACCCAGTGGCACTGCCCGGTCAGCGAACGGATGTGATGGACGCGTGAGGGGTGCATGGCAGCATGGCAGCATGGAATTCGCAGTAGTGCACTAGCAAGCTGCGGCGGGGCCAGCATCACCTCAGACTGCAGTGCAGTAAGTCAACACCAAGCTCCGATGTCAAGGTACTTTGTACGGCTGTAAGCTTCTGGCGCCCGGCACCCGAGCTTCTGATACTACTCAGGCACGGTGACGGAGGGCCTGCTCAGTTGGGAAGCTTGGACTCAGGAAACATTGTGCCCCGGGGGGAAGAAACGGTGCATGGGGTTCCCTCATCGAATGTCCAGGACTCTATCAAGCTGGTCTTGCCCACCTCTACCATTCTTGGAATCTGAATATCTTTATATTTCAACGATAAGCTCTCTTTCTGTCTATCTCTCTTTCTACTTTACCCTCTTATCTCATCATCTTACCTCAATCCACCTCACTTCACCCCACCACATCTACACAACATCATCACATCCCGCCACCACCACCACCAAAATGTCCACCCTCAACCTCCTCACCAACCTCTCCATGCCCCTCGACCTCGCCTCTTTCCCCACCCCCCAAACGGCCTCCCCCTCCCTCCCGCTCAACCTCCCCCCCACCCCATCAGGACTCAGCACCCTCCCCCTCACCATCCGCGTGCTCATCCTCCTCCTGCCCATCATCCTCCCCTTCCTCGCCCCCTACATCTTCAGCTACTTTGCCTTCCCCAAGGGCTTCATCGAGGTGCGCAACGAGGATCTCGAGGACTATGACCCTGCTGTCTATTGGGCAGCTCTGGCCGAACGCTTCGTCGAGCCGAATTAAGTTCTTTTGAAAAAGGGACTTTATTGCACGTTTGCTTTTTTGATAGGTAGCGTTAGCCGTTAGCTAGCTACCAGGGGGAGAGGAGTGAGGGAGTCCATCTAAAGTTGGACGCTGGATCTATGATAGATTGTTAGTAATAAAATTCCCCTTCCTTGCTCGAAGCGTGACGGCCGGAGCTGATTCTTCAAGATTGGGAAGACTTCGATTCCTCGGATCTTGCGCAGGGACGCCTTTCAGATTCTTGGTGTTTTGGGGAGGATCTAGGGAGTCATTCTTTACTGGGCTTTCTCCTTTTTGTCCCCCTTATGTTTGCGAACTCTATTGGTATTATTCATGGGTATTGTCGGATGGAAGAGAAGACTTATTATGAGTTATGAATTGTGCTACGGAATGGAGTCTTTTTGGCTTTGGTTTATAGACTTACAAACATGAACTGGAGAATCGAGACTTTCTTTTTTATATTCAAATTTTGGAGACGTAGACATAAAGTGTGACAATAACTATATATATGTGTGTCATAGTGTGTGTGTGCGTGTGCTCTATTGTGGATACTGGTATATACAAGTGGCTGCTAATATGGACCCCAAGTCTTCTTTTTCCCTCGTTGACCTGGCACGTAAATACGGTGCGAGATCTTATTATAAGACAGGAGTTTAAATCTATTTCCCATTCTTCATGATCGGCTTCTTAGGGACTCTGAACAGCCAATACAAACCCAAGGCCAATGCTATATTGATAGCACTATAAGCCAACGTGATACCAAAATCCCTCCACCTATGCTCAAAAAATATGCCCACGCCTGCCAGAAGCGTATTTGTATCTGAGACCGGGCAGAATTGGCACTGTTGTGTCGCGGTGGGATTCAACAGACTGCCTCCTGCGTAACTTAAGTAATCCGTTAAGTATTGCGAGCAAGTCTGGCCCGTGGGCGGATCGAATTTGACAAGTTCGTTAGCCGCACAGACGATAGGGACGCCGCCAACGCCTGTAGAGATCATGGAGCTGACTAGATAGGTAACGGGCGTTGCGCGGTACATAAAGATCCAGAAGCGGGGAAGCGAGGTGGATGGCACGAGGACGCTACACGAGAAAAGGATTAGCGATTGTGGACAATGCAGATTGGAAAAGGAAACACAGAGCGTGCAGTGAGACATACCCGCAGAATAGCAACGACAGGGTGTATAGAAGTGCTGAGATGTTGATCCCTGTAGCCGCATCGGGCATGATCGTTCCCAGCATCTGCGAGAAGGTCGATGAGAATAAAAAGAAGGATACGTTGACAAGGAACATCAATGCGCCTCTTTCGTTAAGCTGGTCTGTTGCAATTGCGTTCTTATACATTCCTAGCGGGTAGTACCAGGTCACGAATTGAATAACGGCGAGAAGTGTTACCCAAGGTAGCTCGGAGATGATATTTGACAAGACAAATACTACCCAGGAATATGTTCGGGATGGCCGTTCCCGAATCTCGTAGAGTTTACGACTATCAAGGAAGTGCGGCATTACTAGCTGGACGAGGTTGCCATGGAGCGTGAGGAGAAGGAATGTTGAGAATATTTGGTTTTGAACTCCTTGTAGGCTGTTTGGTGAATGGTAAAAGGAGAAGCCATTGAACAAGCCCTAGATGGTTTCACTTAGTCGTAGGGCAGTTGTAGGAGTTGGAATATCACTTACTGCTCCCAGAGTGAGGAAAAGCTTCGAATACAAATATTCAGGTGTGCGCCAATCTAATTCAAAGTTCCTCCAAGTGACCATGTAGAGTTGGTAAAAGAAAGACGTAGCAAATTCCGTCGAGGCTTCATTGGGTTTCTCATCCGACCTTGACAAGTCTTGCTTCATTCTCTCGAGGTCATTCTTGATGAGCTGTCTCTCTTCGGAGGTCCGCCATATCGCTGCCCACGGAATGTTTGATTTACCGGTAATGTCAAGTAACCATTCCGCTGGATTTTCGCCAACCCCACATCGTCGAGCTCCATGCCTCTCGAAGTAGTCGATTAGAGTTCGAGATCCAGGCCCGAGCTCCCCAAAATAAACAGACTTGCCCTCATTTAGGAATAGAAGCCTGTCGAACATTTCAAATAAAGTGCCCGATGGTTGATGAATGGTGCAGAGAATGTCTTGTCCTTCACTTGCGAGCTTCTTCAGCAGAGTGCAAATAGACCAGGCGGTATTGCTATCGAGTCCGGAAGTGGGTTCATCTAAAATCAGAGACATCAGCAATGCTACACTAAAGACTTTCATGGTGGGCCTTACCCAAAAAGAGAAGAAGCTCCGGTCTGGCAGCGAGCTCAACCCCGATAGTTACACGCTTCCGTTGCTCAACATTTAGGCCTTCTCCCGGAACCCCAATGACAGCCTCAGCAAAGCTGGACATATCAAGGGTCTCAATTAGTTGATCGACCCAATCTAGCTTCTCCCTATCGGAATATGACTTGGGCTGACGCAGGCGAGCACTGAAAATCAAAGCCTCGCGGACTGTCGACGTCGAAAGATGTAGATCTTGCTGCTGGGCGTATCCAATCTTGCGTGCAAATCCTTGATCTTGGTACTTGGCATCAACAAGTTTCTCACCTCCAATTACACCGGTTGTTGTTCTGTTCGCAAGAACATTCAGGAGTGTCGTCTTTCCTGCCCCGGATGGGCCCATCAAAGCCGTCAAAGTTCCAGGTTTGATCCATCCCTCGACATCATCAAGGATCCTTTTGCTGCTACCTCCGACATTCACATCATAGCAGAGCTTATCCCAAATAAATGTGGCAGCATGCCTGTCGACTTTTGCTTCAATGATAGTTGTAACAGCGCTGTGTTTGCGATCTTTCTTGGGGGTATGTGTTTCGTATGAGACTTGTTCTTCTTCATCACCTTTCATCTTCCGCTCAGGCAAATGGCCTCGGCGAAAGACAAGAACTTCACCCTTCGATCGAGAAGCCGAGATGTACTCTGTTGCAAGCAAATACAACCCGCAAAACAGAGCCCCAAAAGCAAGGATCACACCCAGATTCCTCCATAGGTGTTTACGTTGGATTCTGAAAGCCCTAGCAAGATATGCATCTCCATTTACAACTGTTGCTCCGGGGAGAGCTCCAACAGTTGAGCACATTCTCCCACTTGGCTCGACGTCCCCATATCCGGGTCCTTCGGGAACAAATTTGGCACATGGAAACTGCCTACCGGAAAACTCATTGATCATTAAGCTCTCAAAGGTATAGCCTACTGGATCAACATAGCTGAACCATCGGAACCATGGGTGCATCATAGGAGCCGGCAAGACAAATCCGGTGTATATCATCAATAGCAGAATAAAATCTGCCCCTGGAGCAATGGATCCTGTCAAGGTCTTTGACATGGCTCCAATTGCCCGAAACAGCATCGAGCCGGTCACAAGACTGCAAAACGCAAAAATGTAAAATGTAAAAAATGCACCTGGTGTTCTCCGCATGTTTGCCAGGAAATAGAAAGGGATATTGAAGAAGGTCGTCAAGAGAAGCTTATTAGGCATATCGCAAAGAATTGACGCGATTGCTTCTGCAGATGGGTGATATAACGCATATTGAAAATGTTTTTCGACAATCGGCCGTTGGTCCCACAGCTGAACGCCTTCGAAAGCACCTAAAAAGGTATTGGTCAAAACGGTAAAGAATATTAAAACCCCGCGGCCGTAGAAGCTGCTCGTGTCTTCAGGCATGTTATAGAACATGCTGCCAAGAATTATGGATATGATCGCATTACCAGCAATACTTGATATTGGTGGTGCCAGGTCGTTGACCAGCCTTTGAAAGCCTCGAGTAAAACACAAAGCGATTTGGTCTGGAAACAATATGGTATAAGGAGATCGACTGCGCTGTCCATCCGCCTTATAACTCTTCTGATCAATTCTTATTTTTCGGAGATGTTCTTGCCCGAGAGGGAACTCTTCGTCGTACAGCCTAATCTCCTCCATGAGCTTTGCCCGCTCCGGACTGTTTTTCCACCTCGCTGCAAACTCATCCGGAGTGCGAGGTACCCTGGCTTCAAAGCCCGGTCTTGTAAGTTGTACCCTTTCTGCCGGGTTGGTCAACGAAGTTAAGAAATCACTGGTTGTAGCGCGTTCGGGGCATTTGAAGCCGAGATCAGTGAAATATGCCTTCGCTGCCGTGGCACTGCCAAAATATACCTGACGACCTTCGTACAAGAGGACGACTTTGTCAAAAAGATCATAGATATCCTGGGAAGCTTGATACATCGTAACAAGATGGGTGGAACCAGTGGCTGCTGCAGATGCCCGCAGGACCTTGACAAAGTTCAGCGCATTTGCACTATCCAAGCCCCGAGTACTGTTGTCCCAGCATTGGAGGGAGGTGCCAGAAACCAGAACCTCGGCAAGGGTTGTCCTCTGTCGTTCCCCGCCACTGATTCCTCGTATGAAATCATTCCCTATCTTCGAACCCAATGTGTGCGACAGACCAAGAGCTGCGGCGGTTGCATCCGTAGTCTGTTTAGCATACGATTGACGGCCAGACTTGCCCGCCGCATTCGCAGGTGTCCTAGCCTGTGCTGCAACGGCCAGCGTCTGGGCGACAGTCAAATGGGGGAAATGAACATCTGATTCTGCTTGATAATTGCATTCGCCGCGGAATTCGGAGTGCATCACATCGCTGGGAGTACCTAATGCTCATTAGACCACCGTTCAGCTCCCATTGATTTGTGCATACCTTGATAATTCAAACGCGATCCTGAATCGACAAAGAACCCATGAGTTTGCCCTGCTAATGTTTTCAGGAATGTCGTGCACCCACTTCCTGGCTTCCCAAGTACCATGAGCATTTCCCCATTTCTCACGAGCCCCTCGAAGTCCCTCAGGATCTCGATTCGCAGCTTTCGCTGCTGGCCAAAAAGTTGACGAAGCCCACTGGCTACGACAAACACGTAATTGCCGATTGTCTTCTGGTAGTCGGTGGGTTTACCAAAACCATACACGTTCAGGTTTTGAAAAGCGACCCCGATATCAAACCTCCGGCACCTTGCTGGATCGTGAAACCGCTCCGCGAGCCATTTCTCGTAATTGAACTCCTGCCCTGGTGTGTAAGACTGGGAGCACTCCTCGTCTGAGCTGTTAAGAGATTGGGCAAGTCCCTCGGTAGAGATTGTTGTTCCCTTCTTCTCCATGGCAGCGGTCGCGTGTCCACAGGGCGCGTTTGAGATGTCCACGGCACGATGGGAGAGCTCTACATCGTGGTCCACGACATCTGAGATGGTGGTTACGATGACGTCCTCTTTCGGCATCGTCAGAGTGGTCAAGTCAATTCCGACTCTACCTCGTAAACTCTGGAGCTCAGGTCCAATCAGCACATGGGGCGCGTACGTGAGTAAGTGAGAGCTTCGATCCGCCGTCCAAGCTGCCTGATCACGCACAGCTGTGTGTGGGGCCTGGCGTGGATGAGCGGCGCAGACATGCAGAACAGTGTGGATTGACTTGACAGAGCAGGCGCTTGCTTCGTATCACGTCTAGTAGGCTGAGAGGGTTGAGAGAAGAGTTCCGGAAACCTGAAAGCTTGAAGGAAGCAGGGAGAGTTGGGCATGACAGGGGAGGGCGGGATATCGCATGTGCCACCGTAGGTACAGTACAGAGTATGCGATGCGTGTAGCCCGGTCCCTGCAGACAACCCGTAAGTGCCAGAGAATCGAGACCCCAGACAGATGAGACCCTTGAACACCTTGGGACAGCCTGTGCTGACACTCGTCTTCCCTGCATCGCGCATATCTGCCACCTGCGATGGTCGCCCTGGCGGAGTAAGGTAGTATTACAGTTTGCCCCGGCTCGTCGTCTCCATGTCCCTTTCGCCTGGGTGAGGTAAGGTTAAGAATCACGATACTTTATAATTACCTAATTGAATTATAACAAGGTAAGGTATTGCTATAAGAGGAACTTGGTGATCTAACCAATCAAAAAATAAAAATAAAAATAAAAATAAATCAAATGAATAAATAAAAATCCCCCCCTCCTTTACTGAGGCTTGGTATGGTTTATGCTACCTAGGAACCTACGTCCCTAGGCAGGGCAGGTTTCCTCAAGTTGTCTATCCATATACCCGAATTTTGTCTACTCGATGCTTGCCGGCCTTGGTCAAACAGAATCCAGAGTTCAAACAGACCTCTGCATGGGGAAGAAGACACCCCAAAGCAGCATGTTCCGCGAACAGACAAATCCGAGTCCACGCTCACAGCCTCAAACAAAGAACATGGAACTAGTACTTGCACGCCGCGATTATGGTCCTTATCCTGTGCCTCCGCCGCACGTCGCGCGGGAAAGATGTGATCAGCTTTGCCAACCTTCTGTTACTGGTCCCTCTTGGACGGTAGCCTCCCTGCTAGTGCAGTGATGACAGGTACATGGTACATCAGAGGGGCGGAGGGCATGGTCAATGTGTGCCATGGAGAGGCTAAGGAGGGGTGAAGGTCGACGTCAACGTCAACGGTCGAACTGGGCCTCTACGGAGTAGTTTGACGTCTCAGCCAGTGTCATCAGACAGCTCTGATCTCAGCCAAGCTATGCAGGCAACTGAGTAGTGCTTGAGAGGCGCTGTTCCGGTGAGAATGTCATGTTCACGTTCCCACGCTGCTGTTTGGATAGCTGCGAGCAGCTATGCTTGCTGACACCTGTCGTAAGATCCTGGGGTGCTTGGAGAGCTCCTGTATATGTTCCCAGGCCTCCTCATACCCCTATTCTCTTATGTTCCTTTGTGGCAAGTTGGATTTGCTCAACTCAGTACTCCCGCCTTCGATTCAAGATGATTTCGTCAAACTTTTCGGACGTGTATGATCTGTGCACAACGACTTACAATGTTACTCCAATCCTTCCTGGAAAAGCATTGTCTCCTCCACAGCTGTCTTTACTATCAACTTTATCTTTAGCTGCGAAGTCTCTCGATACCCCTCAGATTTTGCTACCAATTATCGAATCCCCAAATGCCCAATGGACACTTCTGTCTCTTATCCTCCTTGCCACGCCTTTCGTCCTTGTCTACATCACAACATACCTATCATACACTGCTCAGGTCTCAAGCAATGAGCCCATCAAATCGCCACCAACTGTTCCCTACATAACACCGTTTCTCGGAAGTGCAGTCGATTTTGTGCTCAATCCTAAGAAATACGTTACCGGCATGAAGTAAGATCCAATGCTCATTGCAGAGCAAATCTGTGTGCTAATTCAGATCACTAGAAACCTAGATGTCTATGGCATCAAACTCGCGAATTACAAGATCTTCCTTTTACGTGGGCCTGAGCTGATTCAAGCAATATGGAGATACAAGGGGGTTATAACGTCGCCTGCTCATCAGGCATTCGTCCTTATCGGGGTATTTGGAATGAACCCCAAAGCAGTTCAACCTTACCACCTCGACGATTCGGGATTACAAGTAAACCCCCATCCGAAGAGCAATGTAGCACCTCACAACCGCATCGACCACTTAACCCACGTTGGTTTCATGAAACTTCTCACCGGAGATGGTCTTTCCAAGCTCTACCAACGCTGGGCTCAAGAGTTCAACCGTCGTCTCCAAGCTCTGGCTATTGGAGACGAGTGGGGCCCCGAAATTCCGGATATCATGGACTACTGGCAAATGCCATTGACGGCTTCTATGAACGTGGCTTTGGCTGGTCCACTCCTGGAATGTATAAATCCCGATTTCACAAGGGAATTCAACGAGTTCCTTACCTACGTCCACCCACTCATCAAGCGTGTGCCTCGCTGGTTGATCCCCAGAGCATTTAGACTCCGCAAAAAGCTCGTTGGGAACGTTATGACATGGCAGAACATCGCGAGATCCAGAGCCAGCCCCTCAGATATCGACACTGAGAGGGATTACGACCCTTGGTGGGGTTCAGAATGCTTCCGAGAGCGTCAGAAATACCTCTCAAAAGTTGACGGTTGGGATCACGACTCCCTTGCCATTTCCGATTTTGGGCTTCTGTGGGGGTATGTACACTCTTCCATTCCTCCTAGGTTTCCCAGTCATCAAATACTGACCTTTTTTACGGCATAGAGCGAACATCAATGTGCACGCCGCCGCCATCTGGACCATCATCGAGATCTTCTCCGACGCCACCTTGCTCTCACGCGTACGTGCCGAGCTGCGCGCGGCCGACTTCCAATCCTTCACCACCAACGCCGCCGTCGACAAACTGATCTCCCTCCCCCTGCTGCAGTCCATCTACTCCGAGGTGCTGCGCCTGCGCGTCGAGGTCCAGCACGTGCTCTACAGCAACCACGACGAGATCCAACTCAACGAGTATCGCTTCCCGCGCCGGCAAATCATCATGGTGCCTTCGGGCCCCGCGCACATGAACGCCGACGCCTGGAACACGCGCGATGGCGAACACCCTCTCGACACCTTCTGGGCGGATCGATTCCTGGTGTATCCAAACGATCCCCTCAGCGGGCCGGCTCGCAAGTCCCCCTCCTCGCCTCCCTCCCCAACGTCGCCTACCTCCCCGACGACGACTAGCGATCCTGGAAAACCGAAGTTCAAGGACTCGTCCGTCTCGGATTCTTTCATCCCGTATGGCGTCGGCGAGCGCACGTGCCCGGGCCGCTTCTTCTCTAAGCGCGAGATCATCGCCTTCTGCGCTACTATCGTGAACGATTATGATGTGGATCTTCTGACGAAGCAGAAGAAATTCGAACACAGCCCGACTTTCTACGGCTTTGGGACGCAGCGGCCTGCGAGCCGGATCCCGTTCAGGATCAGGAAGAGGAAGGAATAGACTTGGCTGCTGCTGCTTGTCCGGGGAGAACTTCACACCTCAGATTTTTTTTTGTTTGCCTTTTTTCCCTTTTTATTTTTATTTTCTACTTTTTTTGATCCTCATTGATTGGTATATATCCTGGGGTGCGGCTAGAGCACCTACAAGTTCCTCACATATCTCTTTCTCGGGACGGAGTTTATCAATTAGGGACTTTTGAGGTTTCCGGTATATAGGATACCGCTGGTTTCTTGTACATGGCGGGGGAGGGCGTCCGGTCTATGATGATTCACGATCTACTTTTATCTTATATCCACGCCCGTCCAGCGGCCCGCTCACTCAAATCAAATTCAATCAAATATACTTATCATTAAAAGTCATAGCTACGACACAGTACCGGTTTTCCAAATTCTGCCTGCCTCGTCCGTGCGACATCCTCCCTATAGGTACCTAGGCAGGAAATCCTGAAGCTCGGCCTGATGGTGAAAATAGAGTTCGTTCCCCCCACCCATCGATCGGCAACGTCGTTTCCCATACGGCATAGTGCCCGCTGTCCAGGCACATCTAGACCCTAGTTCAGATCCGTCCGAGAGACGGGCCGAGGCTCTGTAATAAGCTGACGGGCGGCCCAGCAGCAGCTTACCTTAGCTTAGGCGGTTCTACACCGCGTTGATTGATTGTTTTGGGGGCGGGATTTGTCGTACCTTACCTGACCCTATACCTAGGTAGGTACCATTATCACAGAATAATATTATTCCATGCATAAATACCCTGTGCTGCTGCGCCACATGCACGCTTTGCCACTCGGCCGTATTCTCCGTGTGCTATATATAGTCGCGGCGGCAGGCGAACGCGCAGTCGTTTGACACTGACAGGGGTTGGGAATTAATTGTCTGTGTAGCGAATGTAATGTAAAATGGAGGTAGAATTGAGTGAACTGAGTACACTGTACCTGTACTCGGTGTAATTCTTGGTCAACGTGAGCCCCGGCCACCTACCTATTAGTCCTCCCTCTCGAAGCAGGCGCTGCTTTTCCCGTCCCGGCTCATGCGTGTGTAAGAGGCGATGAAGAATTCCCATGGCAGGGAAGCATCGCTATCGTGAACCCTAACGGCAGGACATGGAGTGTGGCGCTGCACAGACTATGGCGTCTTCGTCTCGCCGCACAGGCGGTAGAGCGGTTAGCCCTGACAGAGAGAAAAGGTCGGCATGGCTATACGTCAACTTCTGGAGGTATAGTAGTAGATGTTAGTCGGGATGCGATTGTGAGGCAAAGTACCTACCTATGCTTTGCGGCAAAGCATCAGAGTGAAAGTCCCCGGCTTATCTAAGGTTTCGTAGGTAGGTAGTGCCGGGCTATCGGGTTATCGGTTTACCCGGGGGCCGGTGCTGTGTCCCTTTGTCTGTGCTTACCCGACGCTACCTACCCCGTATTGGTAAAGTGTCAGTGTAATTTAACTACTCACCTTACCTCTCTAGGAAAGTGTTGCATGTGGTAGTTCGGGACTAAGACCCTGGCCTAAGCTCTTTCCAGCGTAGCAGCAGGAAACCCCTCGCTCTACCTAGTGCGGTCAGCTCTCCAGCTTCCCAGCTCCAATGAATTATTCGACCAACTGTTGGATCTTGGCCAGAATTAAGGTATTGTTCAGAGTATCTTATCCAAGCTCCATGAAGTCCAGCGCACATAGGAACAGATCTTAGGACTGCAATTGGCACACCTCGTCCCTTCTCGGCCTGATTGCTAGCATATCGCCGCATCGCGTCTCCCCCCACGCGTTGAGTAGAGCTTCACCAGCTTCTCTACGGCTTCATCGCAGCTTTTCCACCGTTTTGCTACAGCTTCACCCCAGCTTCCCCAGCTACATTCCCCCCTTCTCAATCCACAGACATCGCCGCCATGGACACAATCCAGGCAAGGCCGCTTCTCACCTCTGCGGCCGTCGCCATTGCCAGTCTGCTTGGGTATTTCTTCACCCGTCTGTACAAGGCACGAATGTTGATGGCTGATCTGAAAAAGATGGGAGTGGTAAGACACGTTCACCCGCCCACCGCCAGCCGCGCTGACATCCCACAGCCAATTGCTCCGCGCCATAATTTCCTCTTCGGCCACCTGCTCCTCCTCAAGGAGATGCAGGAGAGGCTACCAGCCGATGCCCACTATCAATACATGTTCGGTGAGATCTACCGGGATAGCTTCGAGAAGACCGGCGTGTACTACCTGGATCTATGGCCTATGGCGGGGATTTTCATGGTCATCCACTCCCCGACCACAGCCATCTCAGTCACGCAGACCAATACCCTCATCTCAATGCGAAAGGCGGATTTGCTTCCTCGATTCTTCAAACCCATTGCTGGAGGTCCGAACTTATTCGACATGCCCGAATCTGAATGGAAACCGTGGCGAGCGGTGTTCAATAAGGGCTTCAACAATGAGCACTTTCTCAAGCTTGTTCCTGGTATGGTTAAGGAGATCAATGTGTACCGAGAGACCTTGAGGAACCATGCCAAGAAGGGAGATATGTTCTATCTAGATACCACCACCCTTCGTTTTACAATGGATTTGATTGGGAAGACAATCCTGTATGTATCTTCCCCCTGCCATGGTTGAATCGAACTGATGTGGCAGGAATTCTGAATTGCATGCCCAAACCGGATACAACACCCTGGCCGATTGCATGATCAGCCAAATCCGATGGCATGAACCAAGTGCAGCTGTCAACCCATTCAGTTCCATCAATGTGGCTCGTTGGTACATGGAATGGTCGAACGGGCGTAAGATGGACCGCTACATCAGCGACGAGCTAGACAGGCGGTACAACGAGTACAAGGCCGATTCGAACGATACGCGGAGCAAAGCCGTCATTGATCTCATTCTCCAAGCACACATCCCACAAGACACCAAAGTCAAGCCCGAGAAGCTAGATCCCGACTTCAAAGCGTTCGCCATCCGCCAGATCCGCCTTTTCGTCTTCGCTGGCCACGATTCCACCAGCAGCACCATCTGCTACTGCTTCCACCTGCTCTCCAAGCACCCGGAGGCACTGGCCCGCATCCGCGCCGAGCACGACTCCATCTTCGGCCCCGACATCTCCACCGTCTCTGAAACTCTCACCAGCAAACCCCACCTCGCGAATGACCTCCCCTACACCACCGCCATCATCAAAGAGACGCTCCGACTCTACCCACCCGCCAGTTCCAGCCGCCAAGGCTTCAAAGGCGTCTCTTTGGTCGACGACGAAGGCACTATCTGCCCCACCGACCACGTCGTCTGCTTCATGGACCACAGCGGCATGCACCGCGCTCCCAAATACTGGGTGCGACCGGACGACTTCCTTCCCGAACGCTGGCTCGTCGAGCCCGGCCACGAGCTCTATCCCATGAAAGGCGCGTGGCGCCCCTTCGAAAACGGGCCCCGCAATTGCATAGCGCAGGGCCTGGTGATGACGGAGCTGCGTGTCTTGCTGGCCTGCACGGTGCGCGAGTTCGACTTTCGCGATTGCTATGACGAGTGGGATCGTGCGCATCCTAGGAAGGGGCTGCAGACTTATCGCGGCGATCGCGCGTATCAGATTGAGGAGGCGGCAGCGCATCCGTCGGCGCACTATCCGTGCCGGGTGAGTTTGAGGGCGCAGTAGAGGGAATGTGAAAGATCTGCAGGCTAGGAGTAATAGAAATGGGAATGTGTCATGAGATACTACAAGTAGTACCTCCCCCATAGAATAATTAGAAAACGCTTTCATACTAGATATATGCACTGACCAAATCCCCGGTTTTTCATCCTTTGACACTAGGCATTCAAAGGGAATGTCTCGTACCATCATAGGCATATGTATCAAAAGCGCGCGTAAAAAGCAGTCGTCCACCCCCCTCCCGATCTTTAAACCCAAAGGGCTCTATATCTAAAGAGACACCTGTCTCTCCTATACCATACCATATGCAACCCCTTATCAACTAACTCACGCTTCAAAGAAAGAAATAAATAAATAATTATACAACCCCCCAGAGCTATTGTTGAAGATCAGAGACTCGTTCTTAGGACAGTAAGGAAGGGAGGGGCGTTGGGGCTTGTCTGTGAGGTGAGTCAAGGGAGCAGGAATTGAGAGATGGATTGGACTGGATTGGATTGGCTTTTGCGCAGTAGGTAGAGGGAAAGAATAAAGAGACTCTCTTGATTACTCTTTCACACTGAGATTCTTTTCTCCCGATTTTTTGAGATATTCTGTTCGGATCACCACCTAGGTGAATCACGCATGATATCTATCTGGATCCACTGGGTAGAATTAGGGAGAAGGTCCCTGGGCAGAGAATAAAGCCCTGTGGACGCTGGAAGGTAAGGTAAGGTGTGGAATTCGCTTCTGTATCTTTTGTGGGCTGGCTCTCTTGTGCTTCTTTTCTTGTGTTAGGGTACAGAGGCATGTATATGGTAGCACACTCTGAATAACTTCAATCTTCGCACTTTCAGAGGCTGGCTCCCTTATATCTTGGCCTTTTTTGATGGGGTTTCAGCCCCACTTGTCAAGTACCGAGAGATGGGTCTTGTCTGCGTGGTCTCCAGAACGAGGTGAAGAAATGGTGAGGGAACTAGGCCGTAAAAACTTGAGAACCTATGAGTAGTTCAACTCTGCTGCATATTCGGCAATCAGTGTCCTAGCGGAGATGGCATTTGATGTGGTGCCAGTTTGTCCAAGGGTTGTGGTAACTCGGCTTCAGAACTCGATGGCAAAATCCCCGTCGGGCTTTGAGATTAACTCGATGATTAGGGAAGTGTTTTGACCAGTTGCACTATGTATCTGATCGGATCTGGGCAGGCCATAAGGCATTTTGAATTTGAATTCGAAGCATTAGTCCAATAACGACTTGCAGGAGTGTGTGTTGAATGTATAGAAGTTGCAATCTGTCCTTGAGATTGAAGCTGTCCTGCATGCCCTTGAGGGGGGGAAATGTGCTCATAAAGACTGGTCTCGACAGATCCGGATAGAGAGCGGCTAATGTCATTAGTCCCATGCAAATCATATCTATCTACCAGATTCAAATCGCCTCCTGAGTGGAGAAACGGGCTGACCGCGTCAAGCGGAACGCGGCTATAAGAGCATTCCCCGACACTACCCAGGGGCCACGCATCTGAATTCTGATTACACGTGCAAACGGTGATTCGCCGGGAAGACCAGTGACTGGATTCCGGCCTCACTAAAGGGTCGGCTATGTTGTCGAAACCCCTATGACCCTATGACTACCGGGCTTGAATTCCAGCCCCATGGGGCACATTATTGAACTCAAGAGGTGTCAGAGGACTGAAAAGGGTAAAGGCAGTCAGCCCAACAGAGCGCCACCGCGATACTTGGAGTAGGTAGAATCTGATGTCTGGCCATCGCGCCATCTCCTTGAACAGCACGTAATGAATTCATTCATCTGAAGACGCCCATGGAGGGACTCGCTGTCCTCTGCTCAATAGGCGGATACTATGTGATCTCTCAAGCAGAAACAAATTTAGAAGAAACAGGCAAGGCTACATGCCTCCAAGTCTGCAGTGGATTCAGAGCCAGAAGGGGTAATGCAATGCTCGCGATGGAGTTGTCAGAGCCGAACCGGGCTTTGAGATGAGAATAGCCGCCCGTAGCCGGACCGGGGCCGTTGGCGAAATGCCGAGGATGGCCGAAGGAAGTGCGAGAGCGACATCGCAGCCTGACGGGCACCGGATTACTATTCGTGCCTCAGCATTAACAAGAGCAACAAACACAATTACCTACACAAGCACGGAGCACAGTACCCGGCACAGTACAGCCTTGCTGAATCAGCCTCGGCTAAGTGTCACTGTCGCGACGGACTTCGGGAATACGGACGACGCTAGAGCAGCTCCGGAAAGGGCCGGCCAGCAGTGCTCTTCAGACTTCAACATCAGCAAAAACAGCCGACGGGATGGGCCTATCAGCGCGCAGCATGGTCCCAAGGACGATGGCACACTAGGGACGACCCTTGAAACCAAGCCATCGGGATCTGGTCCGTTGATCAGCGATCCTCTCTCGTGGATTTTGGTGGCGTGGACAGTCGAGACTCGCGACTCGCGATACGACCAGAGGCGGGCGGCTATGCCAAAGCGAGGGCGCGAAGAGACAGAAGAGGCGCAATGGACGGACGAGACGAGACCAGACGGGACCACCAGACGAGACCAGACGAGACGAACGAGAGGGAGGGGGAGAGGGAGAGGGAGAGAGAGAGGCGCGCGGGCACGGTGAAGGGAGGCGCGGCGCGGCGGGGATCATCGATGGAGCATGTTATACATCAGGTACGTCCACGGCCTTGACGACAGAAGAATGCAGGGAGAAGAAAATTCAATAATCATACTGTTAACAGCCTCTCATCGCCATCTCACGCTCGACGCCGTTGCGGAGGTTATTGGCCATTGTCTCCTCCATAGCCCTCGACGACTCGAATGCAGCGCGGAGACGGGCTCTGCCCCGGCGCACCTGATCTCTCTCTCCTCTCCCCGTCAGGACCTGGACGTCTCGTGGGCTCTTACGGAGTAGTAGTTCTCTTAGAGCATTCTAAGGAACTCTAGGGGTCTGCCCCGCCCATACCTTTCCCTTTCAGGCCGCGCCGTTGATTTCGCAGAGGCCTTTGTCTCTCGACTCTTCGACCAGACGACCGCTTCTCTGACTTGTATTCTCTGAAAGACTCCTCTTGAGAGCCTGAACCTGCTTTAAGGGCTCTTTTCTGCCCTCCATTGTCCCTTCATGTCCATAAGTATAATTACATCACGTACGCATCGACCCCCCCTACCGCGTCTCCGGCCCTGGGACGAGAGGAAGCGCATCATCGAGGCCCCTTGCTGACGTCTACGCCGCCTTTTGCAATAACGGGATGGGAAGAGCAGCTTCAATCGATCAATCATAGACTTCGCACGCTTTCGAATATAACTTGGGCCAGCCTACGGGGCACGCACGACATTTTCAGCGGAGACGCATTGCTGTCACTCCCCCTCCACCCCTCCCTCTTCTCCCTCCTCCCTCTTCACCGTTCCCCCCCCCCCTCCCTCCTACCCCCCCGTTCGCCCCACACCATTGGGTAGATGCACACCACCCACGATAGCCGGCGGGTAATCGCGACGGGACGAGGCTGAAGAGCCTTGGACAAAGCCAACTGCGCAGACAACAACACAATGTCTCCTCCCAACGTTATCATTCCCCGGCCGATCTTACCCAAGCTCGAGCCCAACTCCTCTTCTGCATCCCCGTCGCTGGACGCCCTCCCTGATGGCGAGACTGCGCCTAAGCGACGATGCATCTCGAGCGCCTGTATGCCGTGTCGCAAACGTAAGTCGAAGGTCAGTTCTGTTCTTGCGCGCCGTCCTGCATTCCTATCATCGCATTCTCTGCTACGAGGCATCTCGTCTGGTGTGCGACGATAACTAACTCCAACAATCAAATTGCAGTGTGATGGAGAAAAACCATCATGCAACGCATGTACCTCCGTTTATGACACCAAGTGCGAGTATGATATCGATAGCGACCACAGGCGAAAAGGCGCCCTGAAACGAGATATCAAATCTCTGACCGACCAGAAAGGAACTCTCAACAGCATCCTCGACGCTATCAGAAATGGATCAGACTCCGACGTCGACGACATCATCCAGATGATGCGCTCCAGCCCGGACGAAAGTTACGAGTCGATATCGCAAAGTATCCAAAAAATGAGCCTCACCCCCAAGAAGACCGAGCCTGCTACGCTTGAAGGAGAGCTTGCGGAATTTGCTGGCAAATCTTCACTAGACAAGTCCGGCGAGACACGGCACTACGGCCATACATCGAATCTTTCCTTCACCGTATCTGATGACGAGCCACCTGTGATTGCCGTAGAGCAAACTGGAACGTGGACAACTGTGACGGACGATGTCCATCTCGTCAAACATCTTTTCGATCTCTACTTCACCTGGTCGCATCCATTCTACGTGCTCTTCTCAGAGGAGGTGTTCTATCATGGTTTGAACGGCAAGAAGCTGAAGTACTGCACTCCGTTGCTGGTTAATGCCATCCTAGCGGTCGGCTGCAATTACTCGGATCGACCCGAAGCGCGAGCAGACCCCAATAACCCCAGCACCGTCGGAGATCATTTCTTTGCTGAAGCAAAGCGACTCTTGGAGGCGGATGATCGATCATGCCTGACGACGGTGGCGGCCCTGGGCCTCATGGCAATTCGACAGGCGTTGAATAACCACGACAGCAGCAGTTGGAAGTATGCTGGTCGAATGATGTCGATGGCTATTGAATTAGGGCTGCATTTGTCTTATAATGTACAGCCCAACGGAAAGGTGACTGCTACAGAGATTGAAGCTCGCAGGATTACATTCTGGGGGTGCTATACGCTCGAGACAATATGGTCAGTGTGCCTAGGACGTATATCGTGTCTCCCTAGAACCGCAATCAAACTAGAGAAGCCGTTCCTGAGGAGTAATCTGGAGAGCAAGATCTGGAAGCCTCACGGCCACCCGCAGTTCCCACACGCTTCAGCCAGATTGGAGCAGGCCAGTTTTACCTACAACCTGTCCTTACAGCTAAGCCTTCTTACCGAGATCGTAAATGATACTGTTCACATGTTCTATGCTCCCCGGGATCGAATGACCAGCCGGAAGTTACTACAGCATCACGCTCGATATAAGGCATGGTATAAGGATCTGCCTGAATGTCTCGCCGTCAAAGAGAACAGTGCAACATTACCTCAGGTACTATGTCTTCAGTAAGTTTCCCACGGCGCCCCTGTTGTAATCCATCTCTGACGCGTTCGTATAGTATATACTACCAAAATTGCCTTATACACCTCTTCCGGCCGTTTCTCAAGGTCTCATTCGTTCAGGCTGCCAAACCCCCTCGAGTAGTATGCACAGAAGCGGCAGTCGCGTTATCCGATCTCGTGTCTCTCTACCAGCAAACCTACGGTCTACGCCGTTCTTACATAATCATCTCTCACTCCGCCATGACAGCAGCGATTCAGCATCTCATCGACATGTCTTCTCCCTCACCGGACGTTGCAGCGCGAGCCTCCCTATACCTGGCAGACTCCATCAGAGCCCTGTACGGAATGAGCCATTGTCTGCTCCTCTGCGTGCGCTACTTGAAGCTCCTACGCAACCTGATCCATAACTGGGCTCCGAACGTCCCAGAGCACGTGAAACTCGCTCTCGTGGAAGCAGAGCTCGACTCGCCCGGCTCCAACATCACACCTCCTCATGACGAGCCTGTGCGGCCCCCCAGCCCGCCGGTTTTCAACGATGTGAACCGCAAGCCATCCGCCCCGGAGCTGATCCAAATTCCGGATAACAGCGTGACGTACGGGGCTCCGAATCAGCACCTATTCTGGACGCCGTTCCCGGATCACCCTGAAGGCATCCCGCTGGGGCCGCCGACGGGCGACGGAGCCAACGCGAATTCGAATATTGGTGCACTGATGGATCCCGGGGTAGGTGCGGATTGGGGGCAGTTGAACCGGGATGGCTTCACGGTGGGACAGGACGTGGACGGTGATGCGGGGCTCTGGAGCGTTAATTGGGACCACGGGACATGATTGGATGGAGTGTGATAGCGACTCAAGGAAGAGGTGGGGGGTTTGCGGTGCATAATGTGGGTGCGGGATTGTTGCAGATCGACAGTGGTAGCATCTTGGACGGCGTTTCGCATTTAAACGGGGGGGATGGTTTTGTGCATCATTGGCATAGATAGCGAGGCGCTCGTTCATGAGACATGAAATACAGGTAGACTCGGTCTAGTTGATATGTACGGGGCATGCATATATGAGAACTAGAGGTAGAAGATTATAAACGAAGTTCTGATGATGCCTATATCGTACATTCTCCGTGTGTGAGAGAGACTTGTTACTTGTGCGGTTGGAAGTTAGATGCTAAGAGATCTTGTAGATGACGAGGTGAGGTCGAGATATGCATGCGGCTCCTTTGTACTTTAACTAAGGTGCCTTAGTACCTATCATACGTCGATATAAAGACAAAGGAGGTTACACAGGAAGGAGGTAAAGATAGAGTGCTGATATCACGTGCTATAGCGGAGTAAGGATTCTCCGTCTGCGAAACCATTGGCGGGGTCCTCGGCGGGAAGAGAGAGACGAACGGCTACATCATCGACTTCTGGACGCATCATCAACGATCAGCATACCACAATACAAACACCAACGCTTCGCACCAGCAGAGACCAGGATCATGCTATTGTCACGCAGCAGGAGGCTCCAGTGCAGATAGGCCACCCCTCACTCATCATCGTCAACTGCCGCCCCTCGCCGTCGTGAACCCAGCGAAAGTCGAGGATGGAAATAGAAACAAACACGTGTGAAGCAATCGCCGACGAGACGGTTCTAATATAGCATCGGCGATAAGACACCGTTACTGGGGCAATTTGCTTGGAAATCAAGATTCAAGGGTATTCCCTTCCGAAGTTCCCATCTATGCCAAACGGCTATTGGACCGCGAGGAGAAGCGAACCATGGGCGATGCTCTTTGAATAAGCTTCTGCCCGTTGACGCAAGTGCGCGAAGTTATAGAATAAACTCCGTGCTTTAATTCCAGCCCCGCCAAAGTGGCATCTCCATATATATTCCCCCTCTTTCTCCCGCACTGCTTTCCCTCTCGGCACGTCTGCAGCACTTGACAATCACCCCTCTCGAACAAAAATACCCAACAGATACCAGCAGAGATGCCTCCTCAACTCCCCACCCGCAAGCTGGGCAAGAACGGCCCCGAGGTTACCGCCCTGGGTCTCGGGCTCATGGGAATCTCGGCCTTCTACGGCGCCACCCAGCCCGACGAGGAGCGCTTCAAGGTCCTCGACCGCGCCTACGAGCTGGGCCAGACCTTCTGGGATTCCGCCGACATGTACCAGGACTCGGAGGACCTGATTGGGAGGTGGTTCAAGCGGACCGGCAAGCGCGACGAGATCTTCCTGGCGACCAAGTTCGCCAACAAGTGGACCAAGGATAGCATGACGGTCGATTCGTCGCCCGAATACTGCAAGGAGGCGTGCGAGAGGAGCTTGAAGAGGCTGGGCATCAAGACCATCGACCTGTACTACGTCCACCGCGTGGACAAGGTGACGCCTATCGAGAAGACCGTCGAGGCTCTAGTCGAGTTGAAGAAGTGTGTTCCGCCCCCCTCCCTCCTCTCTGTCCGCGTCTCTGATTCCAGAACTAACACACCGCACAGCGAGGGCAAGATCAAGTACCTCGGGCTCTCGGAAGTCTCGGCCGCGACCCTCCGCCGCGCCTGCAAGGTGCACCACATCGACGCCGTCCAAATGGAGTACTCGCCCTTCAGCATCGACATCGAGAAGCCGCAGATCGACCTGCTGCGCACATGCCGCGAGCTCGGCGTCGCAGTCATTGCCTACTCGCCCCTCGGACGCGGATTCCTCACAGGCCAATACCGGTCACGGGCCGACTTCGAGGAGGGCGACTTCCGCCTCATCTCGCCGCGCTTCTCCGAGGAGAACTTCCCCAAGAACCTGAAGCTGGTGGACGGCATCGCGGCGCTGGCGCAGAAGAAGAAGATCACGCCGGGCCAGCTGACGCTGGCGTGGCTGCTGGCGCAGGGCGACGACATCATCCCGATCCCCGGCACCAAGAAGATCAAGTACCTGGAGGAGAACCTGGGGGCGCTGGACGTGAAGCTGACGAGCGAGGAGGAGAAGGAGATCCGGCAGTTGGTGGAGGCGGCGGAGGTGCACGGGGGTAGGTACGCGGATACCATGGTTAGTCACTTGTTTGCGGACACGCCGCCTCTGTAAAGATGTGAGGTGCAAGAAGAAACCATTGGGGAAGATTACGATATCAAATAAGGGGAAAATTATTTATGAAGCAATATGATGACTATACCAGAGAGGATGATGAATCGATGAAAGGAAGATAGGAAGGAAACGTTGAAGATGATGGTGGTGATCCTGTGATTTTCATCACATACACGATTACAATTATCTATTCCCCTTGTCGTCTCTCTTTCCTTAGACTTATGCATGGCCTGTACCGTATGTAGACCCCGTACACCAAGCTAATAAGTAGGTAAGACAACTTAAGTGTTGCTTGGTTTTGTGTAAAGTAAAAGTATCGATATGGATTTTCCTTTTCTTTCTCTCTCTCTCTCTCTCTCTCTCTCTCTCTCTCTCTTGGGGCGTGATAGAGGCGCTTGTTTACTTACTTACCTACCTGTACTTACCTACCTGTTCATCATGACGCACCCGCCCTCTCCATGTCCCCCCCGTACTCATCATCATCAAGTCACACAACTCATTTCTTCTCCTCGGTGCTAGCTAGCAGCCTTAGTTCTTGGCCTCGCTCCCAAGCGTGATGCCCTTCACGCTTCCCAGATCGGACGCGAGCTCGTCGGCTGGCTGGTCGTGGCGCGAATACATCTTGTACTCGATGTTGTCACGGAATGGCAACTTGCCGCTCTCGACCTGCTGTCTCGTAGCTCCAAGCTTGGATTTTGGAAGACCCATGGATTCAAGGAATTTGACCGCTGTTGTTGCGCACCGGATTAGCATTCATGTTTACGATTTATAGGGTACGCGGAGAAGAGAGAAGAAGGGGGAAAGGGGGGTTAAGAGACATACAATCAGTCCACTCGACATCCTTCCTGTGCGCATCCCATGAGAGTTCCTTAGCCATGATATCGATGACCTTGGGCAGGGCTTCGAGCGCAGCTTGGGCGTTCAGGAAAGCGAGACGCATGCGGCGCGCGATGACATCGACGGCGGTCTGGGCGTATTCGTGGCGCACGGCGTAGCGGACTTCACCGTCTACGAAGGGGTAAAGATTGCTTATGCGCTCGCCGCGGACGGGGAAGCGTTTCTCGGTTGGGCTGCTCAGGGCTGCCACCGTCCAGGCGCGGTCACCGTATGATTCAGTGAGGTGTTTGGCTACGTCGGTTTCTACGCCGAAGTGTTGGATGAGGTTTATGAAGAGGGTTTTGGAGAATCCGTGCGCGCCAACCAACTTGACTTGGTGAGTCTGGCAGGAGCCGTCGAGGCGGGCGCCGTCGTTAACCATTTCTGTTCCGCTGACATCGGGGGCGTTGGTGACTGGTTTTGGTTGTAATTTGAATGTCTTGATGGCCTCGTCTACAGCTTCTTCAGCCATCTGTCGGTAGGTTGTCCATTTACCTCCAGCACAGGTTAGGAGACCGGAGGGAGAGATATTGATGAGGTGGTTTCGCACGAGGGATTCTGTGTTCTTGGCGTTCGGGTCCTTCACCAGGGGACGGATACCAGACCAAGCGGCCAGGACGTCACCGCGTCGCACATTGATGTCGGGGGAGAGGTAGTGGCGGATCTCGGACAAGATCCAGTCGATCTCATCCTCGCCCGCCACGGGATTCTGAGAGATTTCAGTGGGCGCATCGGTCGTCCCCGCAATGGTGTTGCCTTGCCAGGGTAGGAAGAAGATGACTCTCCCATCTGAAGTCTTGGGGTCAATGAGCCCCATCTTTTGTGGGCTGTAATAGCCAGGGAGCACGACGTGAACACCAGAGGAGGGGGCGACGATCTCTTTGACATTTTGGTCATCCATCTTGCGGATCGAGTCGGTGAAGGGACCAGTAGCGTTGATGATGCCCCGGGCACGGATGTTGAATTCATCTGCCTTTTTTCCATTCTTCTCGGCGATGAGATCTTTCACCCGAGCTCCGCAGAGCTTGCCCTCAGCATCTTTCTCTAAAGAGGTGACTTCCACGTGGTTGACTACTGTAGCACCGTATAGCGCAGCTGTCATAGCCAGCGAAACGTTCATGCGTGAATCATTGTGTGCACCATCGTAGTATACCAGAGCTCCCACCAGATCCGTCTTCTTGAGCATAGGGAAAGCGTCCAGGGCTTTCGACTTGGTCAGAAAGTATGATGTCTCAATGCCCTCTGAGCCAGCCAACATATCGTAGCATTTCGTGCCAACCCAGTAATATGGCGCCTTCCACCACTTGTCCAACGGCAGCATGATGGGTAACCACGAACTCAAATGCGGCGCCGTGTCTAAGAAGTATTTCCTTTCCCGCAACGCCTCCTTGACCAGTTTATATTGATTGTAATCCAATTCCCAAACCGCCTTCTCGAGGTACCGGACTCCACCGTGCACCAACTTGGTACTCTTACTACTCGTCCCGCTGGAGAAATCATCCCTCTCCACAATCGCGACCTTCAACCCTCGCGTGGCAGCATCCAACGCGATCCCCGCGCCTGTTGCACCGGCGCCGATGACGAGCAGATCATATATATCCCCATCATTCTGTGGCGCAGCCGCATCCGCATTCGGCAGCAAGGAAGTGACGGAGCCCTTGGAGCCCCCGCTCCGCTTCAGGTCTGCGATCTGTTCATCTCTCGACTTCACCTTGGGAAAGCGAGGCGGGGAGAATGATCCAGCTTCGTGATTCGGGGGAGGAACGACGGCGGAATCCGCGCCAGGAATGTTGCGGGGCCGGTAGTAGTAGAGGAACCCGCCTCCGAGGGCCACGACGGATGTGGTGTAGAGGATGGGCTTTGCGAAGCGTTGTCGAAAAGCCATGATTCAGAGGTTGGAGGAGGGAGGGGGGGTGTGGCGTGGAGAAGGGGAGAAGAGGAGAAGAGGAGAAGAGGAGAGGAGCTGGAGAAGCTGGAGAAGCTCTTCACTTGACGATGGGGACAAGCTACGTCAGGTACCTCTGGGCTCTGGGGCTCTGGGGCTCTGGGGCTCTGGGGCTCTTGCAGACCCGCTCTCATCCAGGGCCTGGCCTCACCAGGAATGCACCGAGCGATGGACAGGACGCGGACAGCGAGGACACGTCGGCGCGGACCCTCTAGCTGCCTAGGACGATGTGGAGGAGGCAAAAGAGACGGCGGCGATGAGTGGGATTTGGGGGAAGAGGACGGGAGCAGGTATTTGAGGATGTCGATGTTGATGTTCGAACTTCTTGAGTCGATGGAGGGAGCGCAAGACCGGATTTTCCGCCAATGGCAGATTGCGTCAGAGTTGCTGCGTGCGGCTCGGGAAACCTGCCTTCCCTGGAAAAGGAGAGAAAGCTGGGCCGCGGGGGGGACGGAGGGGCGATAGAAACGTGGGTTTGTCCCGTTGACGGGGAGCGCGGCTCTTGGGTTAAGAATAATAATAATATAAAAATAAAAATAAAAATAAAAATAAAAATAAAAATAAAAATAAAAATAAAAATAAAAAATAAAAATAAAAAATAAAAAATAAAAAATAAAAATAAAAATAACAAAAATACACAAAAATATAACAACAGGCAAGGGGCTCAATTTCCCGGACCTGCATCGGCCGAGGAGATCCTCCATCTGGGTGGGCATACCACATGTCCAGTCCAGCTTTTCTCTCCACCGGACTCCGCTTGGGGATCACCAGGATCTGCTTGAGGGTCCAGAATGCCCAGAATGGCAGAGATGCAGAAGGGAAAAAAGGAATCTGATACGAGATGCAACTTCCAACTCCCCCGTACAAAAATGGAGACGCCAGGAATTGGCGAATCGTCTTTTGCAGAGCGGCCAGGGTGAAGGGCCCTTTGCAAGTTTTGAACTGACCCGTGATCACCCTGGGAACTCATTATTTTCTTCTTCAAGTAAAGAGCCCAAAAGAAGCACAAAGCCAGATCTTCACCCTGGCTATTGACCCCGCCCTTTTCACTTGATCCAGGCCTTCGATATATCAAGTGACAACCTCAATTTTTTCGCCGGCGCTCTCTTTGGGCCAAGCGGTCTCCAAGTCAGGAGAACACTACTCCAACACACGCGGAGCACAACTAGCCTCTCCCCCTGAAGGCTCACGGCTCAAGCTTTGCCCTTGTGAGTCGTGCTAGGAACAGAAGCTATCGCGAGCTTTTCGTACTTTGCCGTTAGTCGACTCAGGCACCTCGGCGGATTCTTTATCGCGAGTCGAGAGCCTCTTGGGACTACGGCGCCTGGGCTTATTCTAGTCTGATAGCGATCTGCTCTCTCAGACATTCTCGCACTATCGACATCTCTTCTTCGCGTCGCGTCGCATGAGGGCGGTTATCCCAGGTTTGGAGCTGCGCGCGTCAGCACAGCGAATAGAAGCAGTGCTTCAAACCCCTTCGCCTTCAGGAGCGCGTCTTCTGTTTCTCATGGGGCGCGAAGTTGTTTGTGTTTGTCTTTACTGTGTCATTCATGCGATGCTCATACACGTCAGTTTCATCGTGGTCGCGCATCTCGTCTTGTTTGATTCCAGTCCTTGGTCCTATTCCCAAGCAGCGTCGAGGCGCTCTTTGAGTTCTTGAGTCATTGAATGCTTCAGTCCTTGAACGCTTCAGTCCTTGGATGCTTGAGTCCTTGAGTCCTTGAATTCTTGAATGCTTGAAATTGAATGCTTGAGTCCTTGAATGCTTGGTCCTTGGATGTTTGAGTCCTCCAGTCCTTGAATGCTTGGTCCTTGAGTCCTCGGGTCCTTGAATCCTTCAGTCCTCCAGTCCTTGAATGCTTGAACAGCTCTTCACCCACAAGAGACAACAACATCCAACATGTATATATCGTATATGCTTCAGCCCCCATTGGCCAAGAACCCCAAATCCTTCGGGCCCTGGCGCAGTAATTTACCCATGCCCAGCGCTTCCCCGCGCGCCCCAATCACAAGCCGCGTACAGTGCCGCGTCCATCGGGCTCAGGGGTTCCACGGACCTGCAATCTTAAACCGCCCAGGACTCCTCCGTATCCTCCTCATGCTTTCCTCTTCGAGTTGCTTTCTTGCTTCCATCAGTAGTTGCTGGACTCGGCTAATGTTTTCTCTACCTGTTAAATAGGACGAATTAGGGATCGATCAAAAGGGACGAATTAAGTGGATTCGAGTAAACTGAATTAAATTAAAACTAACGACTAAATACCTAGGGATCAAAAGGGGCTATATATACAGCTAAAGGTAGCAAATCAGTATAACGGATCCGTAGGTAGTATAGAGCTCTATTACTTATAGGTAGTAAGGTAGGTAGGCAGTAAAGTGGCTTTATAAAAACTCTGTATTAAAGTCTTAAGCAAACTTGGAATCTAACTCATAAACCGCCGGTAACACAGTATTACCGGATTAGGAAATCAACTTATTGCGTTTAACCGTTGGGTTTCCAACACTACCTTACCTAACTATATAGTCCCGCTTCCAATTTGTCGTAAGTCTAGTCCGAGTCCCCCCGACTGTTCTATTCACCTCAATGTGCTTAAGGAGCGGCAATCTTTCCCTAGAGGCATCAAAAACTTCATACATCTTCAGGAGATGTGTAGTCATATCCGTTACGGATTGTGCTTCATTCTGCCAGAAGCTCGCTGACACATGTAATTTCTGATCCCTCGTCACGTAGATAATAGCGGGGTCTCCTTCGGGGTCGTGATTTAGAGTAGCCTCACTGTTCTGTATATTCTGCCAGAAGCTCTCTGATACGTCTAGTTTATCTCTCGTCACGTAGATAATAGCAGGGTCTGCTTTAGGATCGTGATTGTGATTGAAAATAGCCTCGCTGTTATGTAGGTTAGCATAAAAAGCTACTGTAATGTATCCTCAGAACACTCACATACTTATAGGCGCTACACCAGGATCAGACCAGTATGCACGCTTTACAGATTCCTGATATAGGTTTATGACTAGGCGCTGAATCCTGTTGCCAAAGAGCCAAAGTACTGTTCCGACAAGGTGCTCTGCTGATCTAAACTGGTCGGCATTAACAGTCAATGTTGTCGGCCGAGTAAATACACGCTTAAAGTTCCCGAAGCCAGGTAGCCAGTGTGAACTGCTTGGAGGAGGCGGTTCAAGTGACCACAGAGTGCTTGTATCGTACTCGACTCGCGGCATAGCACATAGCAGAGTGTGTGTATCGTAATTGAATCGCACATGTGGCACTAGTAGCCGGCAGAACTTAGCGACATTTATACGCGTCTCGTAGCAGACAGAGGAGATAGGAAAGCAGTCGACAAGGGATTCGAATTCGTCCTTCTCGAAATCTAGTTTTAGTCCGTTAAAGGGGTCCCGGATGCGGACAGACAAAGCTAGTCTGTCTTTTCCTAGTGAGTAACCAACGATTGCCTGTCGCCGCCGTTCGGCCCAAGGCCTATTAAACGAAGGCGGGAGTCGATCCGCGACATCCTGGATATAGGACGTGATAGCAAACTCCCAGATTCTGTTCCGTAGCTCAGGGTCGAGCTCTAGAAATCGAGGAAATGCGGTTAGCGACATGATGGAGTAAGAGCTCGGAGACCGAGGTTCTGTGACGACGATGAACAGACAGTTCAGTTGCGCGGGGTAATGGTGTGGTGGGGGATATTAGCAGTGTTGAGTTAGAGAGTGGCTTCTTTGGCTAGAATTAAAAGATCGAGATGATGTTGGACGGTTGATTATATTAAAGTGAAGGAACCCTCTGGGTGGGCAAGGTGGTTATCATCGATCTCGCTTAAGTGTGTCGACTTACCGTGTTAAGCGAGGGCGGTAAGGTAAATACCCGGTAATATCCCGGTATATAATACAAGAGCGTAGCCGAACCTGAACCTTTGGCGCGCCAAGTTGCTTTCTTGCTTTCTTGCTTCCATCTGTTATGCCTTGACCAGAATAATATCACCTCACACTCCTTTGTCTCCTCTTCTTGAATCGTTGCGCTTTCTCGCTCTTGACCATGTTGTCCTCTTCCAGTCTCTCATTAATCTTCGTTGCCGGCGCCGTCGCCCAGTCGCAGAACCTCTTTGCGCCTTCTTTCCCCGTGGTGGCGTACCAGCTCGCATCTGTCTGTGTCGCCCTCCCCGTGCGAAGGAGTGATGGCCGCTGACTTGCCGCTGTGATAGACTCCTAATGTCGCGACCACATACCTCGTCGGCTGCCCTGCCGGCAGCGACACCAAATCCTGCAACTTCGTGCAGCCGTATACGCTGGTGCAGGGTCCTGCCACGGTCGATTTCGCCCTCGCCGTCCCCGGCGCACAGTACGTGTCTTTTGTCGCTCGCGGGGATGGATCCCGACTAATAGCAGCAGAGCCGTGACCCTGGGATGCAATCTCGAGGGCACGACGAGCATGGCGTGTAGCGCGACGGGACAGCCCACCGCGAGCGGCTCGGGCCTGGCGACGGCCTTCACCACCTTCACGGCTGATGCAGCGTCGACGCATTTCCGCGCCATCTCCATGGTGACTGACGCCGCGGCTCTCATGACCTTCCCTACGCCCAGCAGCACGTCGACATCTACACCAACGCCCACGCCGACCACGCCGACGACCACGCCGACGCCGACATCCACCAGCTCCTCTTCCAGCTCCACGTCCACCAGCAGCACATCCAGCTCCTCCCTCTCCATCCCCCCGCCCCCACCCCCCTTGAACACCACAACCACGCACTCCAAGACCCTCCTCCACAGCAACAACACGACCACATACACCCCCAGCTCCCTGATCACCCCGGCGCCCGTCCTCGTCACCAGCATCTCCCCCGCCGTCAGCGGTGCGAACACCACCGCGCTCTCTCTCTCCGCCTCACCCGTGCCCACGTCCGCCAAGCCGTCCCCCGTCAGTAATTCTGGCGCGCGCGGCAGCTGGAATCTCGGGGCTGTCGTGTTGGGCTTCGGGGCCTTGTTCGCTGCTGGCATGCTCTAGATGGGTTACCTATCAAAAAAAACCCCCCATTTCCAATTTCCAATCTCTATTCTCTTTTGGTTTTATTTGAGCTATTGATTTTATTATTTGGTTCTCTTTCTTTCTTTCTATACCCCCTGCATTTATATATACAATCTCCCTCCCTCGCACGCCCAGGGATGGAAGCTCGCTCGCTGCTATGGCCTAACGCGGATTGATGAACGGTGATCGGATCGGATTGTATATCTTTTTTTTGTAAATATGTATGTATGTACCTAATGTTTATATCTATTTATCTATCCATTTATTTATCCCATCTATATTACTTGGCCCATGGCGGGGATCTTTCTCGGGGTCGATGTTGGATGTTTGTTGGATGCTGGATGCTGGATTGTTGGATGCTGGATGCTGGATGCTGGATGCTGGATTCGTGAGGCCCTCAGGGTATAGATAGGCCTAGGACTGGCTGGGTACTAGGGTACTCAACTAACTAACAAAGAGAAACAGACAGACAGACAAGAAGAAATAAATCCAAGAACATTTCATTTATTTCAATTCCCTACCTCCCATCCATCCATCCATCCATCCATCCATCCATCCATCCATCCATCCATCCATCCTCTCCTTTCAAACCCCCCTCCCCTCCCCTCCCCTCCCAAAACAAAATCAAAAACCCACCACCGTCTGAACCCCACCCAAACTGCATCTCCTCTCATCTCTCATCTCTCATCTCTTAACTAATAATAAAATAAGTAAGATCTACCCGTGCTATTCGCATATCAAACTCTAACTCACCCAACTCAATCTTTCTTTCTTTCTTTCTTTCTTTCTTTCTTCATCTACCTATCTACCTATCTATCTATCTATCTACCTTATCTATTCCTGAACTTTATAAATCACTAAGATGTACAGTACATCGTGCATGATAGAAACCAACCTATAGAGGATTAAGAGTAAGAATAAGAGTAAGAGTGGGCATGGATAGGGATTCCTTATTCATTCATTCATTGATAGGGATAGGTAGGGAGGGAGGGAGAGAATGAATGGCCGGGGGAGGAATGGAGAGATGAGATGGGTGGGTTTCTGTTTCTGGTTTGTGGTTTGTGTGTCATTCATGACTCGTACTCGTGAAGGTGCGGAGAGGAGAAGGAGAGAGGGGTGGGTTGGGACTCGGGAGCGAGAGGAGAGGAGTAGCTACGGAGGGGCATTGTGACAAGGAGCTTCGGTTTCGGCCATGTCAATCGTTGGCTACGTTCGTTCTGGATATCAGATTACCCAGGTAGGAGGTAGTCACTCAATTCATTCAGGTCAGTATTCACCTCACAATCATCGCTGGAACTGAGTTCAAGTATTCGTCTGTCTTCATCTCAACGACCACATTTCCTGCCTTTCCCATTCCATTCATTCATTCCCGTTCCGTTTTCATCCATGAACCACCCAGCTTCCCTAAATCCAGCCTCGCGGCTCTTAATCTGCAAGACGTACACAGATAATACACACACTTTTGGTTCCCTGCTTTTGTCCCTGCCCTGACAGAAATGGAGCACCAAAAACAATGCTGCTACAAAAACAAGGAGCGGCCTCTGTGAAGAAAAGGCTGCCCAGAGCCAGCTATGCCGGCATGTGAGCATCAAACAAAGAAGAATACAAGAACGGATGGAGCATGTACACAATTATGAATAGACCGCGCACTCGTCGATTCCCAGCCAGTTGAGCCAAAGCCAATATGGTATTCAATAGCCGGTATTAAACCTCTGAAAAATAAACCGTGAGAAAGAAACTTAGAAATGGGAATCAGAAACGCCTGTGCGCCGATTCGCTAAAACGCTATTCACAATGGGTATCAAATCGATCGAATCGTGTGTGGTGTGGTGTGATGTGTTCGTATGTGGTCCGTGTAATTTGTGAGGATGTTGTGAGATCCAGCCATGATCCATGGAAGGAAGAATCTAAATAGGTGTGCTAGCACCTGATGTACTGCCCATTCTCTCTCTCGAGACATGTGTCCAAGCGAAGATGTCGAACTTCTCCTTCTGAGCAGAACTGCCACCACTGGCTTGTGACTCGACGGGACTGACACGAGGGAGGTTCTCGCGGGGCTCGAGGAGTAAACTCTTGCGATAGTATTGCTGGACGTTCTCATGCTCGGAGGAGGATTTGACCCGGACGATCTGCGCTTGGAGCCATTCTTGAAGTTCTGGCACCTCCGCCAATCGGTATGGTATCTGGAATCGTTGAAGCTCGCCGATGATCTTGGCGGTTCGGGTGTGCTTATCGAAGTTGATGACTGACAGACCTTCCTCATCGCCGACACCCGGGAGTTGCTTCGTCGCTGGGTTACCTGCATCAACGAAGGTGAGATCTGTCAGGTAGGTGCCAACAAATGGCAGGCACGGTGGCACGTGGTCATTGATCCTTCGTCGGAGAACCGCGTAGTTCTTGTCTGGCTCGACAATCGCTTGCAGGGCCTTCAGCAGGTCCTTCCGCTTCTGAGATACGGCTTCCCACGTCTTCTTCAATCGCACGATGGTGGAGGAATTGAGCGAGCAGATGATAGCCATGAGCGAATCATAGTTGTTGAGTTCCAAGCACTTGTTCGCAATCTTGATCCAGTGCTTGATGATAACTGCACGCTTCTTCGCATCATCGTATTGGAGAATGGTGTCTGCCACAAGATTGGATAGATCTGTAGAGAGGGTGGACATGGCCCTCACGTTGACGGCATTGGATCCCAATCGCTTTGTCCATTCCGAGCCCAGCAGCTCCTCTGGCATAATTGAACAAAAAATGTTCATTTCTTTGATCGTCAATTGCCGAGCCAACTCCAGTGGATCAAATTCGAGGATTGAGGGATTGCTTCCGCCCATCTTCCAGTTCTTCAAGGCGCCAGTCTGGCTCTTGCTCATGATGGGAGGAGGGAGAGGAGTATCTGCAGGTATGTATTGGGCAATCGACGTACTAGTCTTGCCCATGGAAGACACGAGGCGAGGCACAAGGGGTCCATCGGTAGATGAAACCTTTTGAGCCAATTCCAACAGTCTTCGTCCAGCGGCAGGAAGCACTTTGCTTAGCTGGTCCTTTGCAAAGGGTTCGATGACGGTTAGAGCCTCGTGATCAGACAGGTCCCTCCAATGCGATTCGAGCCACCCCTTAAAGACATTGTATACCCGTAGACGCACTGGACCTGCGATGTGCGGACTCTCCGCAACGTATTCAAATCGATCTACAAGGGCTTTTGCCAGGTCGGTTGGGGTGACGAAGAGTCGGAAGGTGAGGTAAAATGTCGAGACGAACATGGAGTCCGGCGTAGAATCGTGAGTACTAAGTCTCTCAACCAATGCCGGGAGAGTGCCGCCAGTTATCTGACCTTCCTTATTGTGCAGCAGCTCGTGGGCATATGTCTTCTCGAGCATCTTAGACTCACCATCATCTGCATCATCGGCAAGGGTAGATTGGCTGCCGACGGCACGGAGATCAAAGACGGATGGCTGGTTTTTGGTAACGTATGGGGTAAGATCTGGGGTCGTCGCTCTTGTCGATGTCTGCGAGATCATACTTGATTCAGAGTCTCGCATGCTACTAAGGCACGTGCTGCTGGTAGCAGAGCTAGAGATAGCAATGCTTCCTTTTCGGAAAGAGGGCTGGAAATCAGCATCGTTGAACGTCGACGAGTTTTCCGATGGGCTATAATCATCGCTCGGCATCAACGGGCTGGCCATATTTGGGAGGGGCGGCAAGAGCGAGATTGCAGATGTCCTCTTAGAACTTTCGTCCGCCTCATTTTCGGGAGCGGGTTGGAGAGTCCTGGGTGACACCTGCTCCGTGTCCTCTACGGTTGCAGGAGATGAGAGAGGTACATCTGGAAGAGGCTTTTCGTAGCTGGGAATGACAAGGGGTAATGGAGGTGGTCGAGTCGACGGTTCAAAAGCGGGGGCTTCTTCGACTGGCGCCAACTGAGCACCCTCTGTCATGTCAGAACCAGCGATGCTCACGTCGAGGCCTAAGCCTTGGCTCTCTGGCTCGAATTCAAAGTCCCCGATACGCTCAATGACGAATTTCGTTTTCGCAACACACTCCCCAGCAGCCTTCACACATTCCGTTGCCGCAATGAGGAGCTTGCCATTCTGCTGACCCATCACCACATCCTCGCCCTCTGGATCCATGAGCCTTATAATATCTCGTGCAGCAATGAGCAGAGCATTGATTCTCTCATACATCGCATTTCGTGCCGCCTCCAAAGACTCGGCGCTTTGGGCATCGTGACCACACACCACCTCGATCACAGAGAGGAGTACTCGTCCGGCCGCAACAGACTGCCGAATCGTCAAGAGGAGTTCCGTCGATGATTGAGACTGGAGGTGGAGACGGCCGATGAAGGAGCCGAGGTACGACAGGAAGGTATCGTGGCTCGAACTCAATCGCTCCGACACAAGGTTCTGACGCTGGGCTTCAGGAATCGCTGCTCTGAGTGACAACCGATGGGAAACCGATTGTCTCTTGATCTGCATAGACGAGGAGGGTCTTGACATGGACAATGGACGGGAAGAGGCGTTGCTAGCGTAGGCGTTTGACATCCGCTTGTACGACTGCTGTTGCGTTTGCTCGTCGGATCTTTGCAAGCTCGATCCGGCACGTGCGGGACTTGGACTCCTGCGGGATTCCACGTCGTACGCAGAATCCGCATGTTGTGTCCCCTCGAAGGATGTCGAGTCTGCTGGTGGGGTTGGAGGGTTATACGCTTCCTCCGCAACGGTTGCCATCATACGGTGAATAGGTTGTTGGCGAGAACGGATATCTTCCTCCAAGACGTCGAGAAATCTGACACCTCTAATCACTATCTTGAAAGCCTTCAAAATCATCTCATCAATTAGATCATTCACATCACCGGCCTCAAGCTGCGAGTCATTCAGACTCCCTGTGTACTCTTGTAGCCGCTTGGCCATCTTTACTAGTGAAGAGAGGTCGGACAAAAGGGCCTTTCGATGTCGTCGCAATCCTTCATTGTTCTGTACGATGGGTGATTCTCTGGTGAGGCAGTTTGATTTTTCCTGGTTCACGTGAGCTTTGTACTCATCTGATTGCCTTAATACATACCAGTAGATATCGAACGCCAGCAATGATACCCCGCATGAACTCCTGGTTTCCAAAGACCTCATTATCACTAGTGGGGCCACTCCGGAGGAGATCCCAGAAGTTTAATAACGCCTTGAGCAGATTCCGCATCGGATCTGGTTCGTAGGCTTCACAATAATTCGTAGGTAACCATCCACGGGCCCCTGAGACGAGGAGTGTGCCATCAGCCCAGCCATTGGTGTGTATCGAGTGGACCAGGACCACGTCCCCTTCGTTCAACGGCAACGTAACCGTTGTGTCAGAGACGGCGTATGTCGGGTGAAAGGGATAGAAGGCGCGGAGGAAGTTGTGAAACACGGGTTGGGGAGCTTCCATCTGTTGGAGGAGATTCTCTTGGGACCCATTGGGTGTAGCGGGCGGAGTCATTTGTGAGTGGGTGCTGGCAGAACCACGGGTATGGTTGCTGCTACGGGAGGAGGTACTCCTTGAGTACGTCGAGGTGACGCTGGATGTAAGAGCGTGGCCCTTGTGTATCGACAGTGGTGCTACGTAGACGCTGGTCCGTTCGGACAGCTCGCACTCCTTCACCATGATGACGGACGTTGTAGGGCTACCATGGGGATCTGGTAGCCGGGTTGCTAGACTGCTATGAAGCGTCGAGGGCGGACGAGTTGTTGCTTCGGCTTTTTGCTCTTCGGGGTATGCTGGTTCAACGAGCGACGGTGAGATGGAATGTGGGGTGTGGGTAGATAGCGATCCGGGAGATCAAATCATCAAGTCTCCTGCTTCCTCAAACAATGTCCCGTTTCTTCCTGGATACGTCGTGGGAAGTCGAGAGAGGATCTGTCGAGGCCTATGCAGCAGTAGAGCAATTAGCAAAAGATTCCAGAAAGAAGTCTGTGTCGAGTTGTTGCGAGTGGAAAAGGAAAACTGGATAGAGGGGGGGGGCGAAGGGACGGCAGGGTGGTGGTGGTGGTCTCGAGCGCGGCGGCAGGCTGCATACCAGGCCAGGTTGCGGTCGAGGTTTCGGGAGGGCTTCTCTGGGGGTCATGCATGCCCCTCGAATCGCAATGCCGGCCGAGTTTACGATATGGCGATCTGCTTGGACGCCTTGTCGGCCTCTATCCCCGCCCTTCCCAATAGATGTTTTCGATAATCCGAGCGGAAGATAGTGGTCGATTAGTTGCCGCTCGGGGTCCCTCGGGGCAGATACGATTATGCTCTGCAGCGGAGAAGTCGGAGGATGGGCGATTTGAGCCAATGACGGGCAAACGCACTTGACGTCTTGAAGGCACTTGGTGTGGTGAGAAATCGCCAGGGCGCTCGCTGGGGGGCCTCGGGTGTCGTTATGACAGTTCGACTTGGCACGGATGCCAATAATGTGTGGGAAAGGCAGCAGTTGACGATGAAGACCTACCTAGCGATCGTTTTATTTTTACTCTTCCCCAATTATTTCCCTGAATAGTTGTGGAAAGGCCCACTCCCGACGCGTGTAGGCCGTGTGTATAGGTTGTACGTCGGTTGTCGATAGCGGGAGGAGGCACAGTAGCACAGTCGTCAGATACCTAAGGGGCGTTCAAGAAGCGGACGGCAGATGTTGGTCGTGCGGTATTCGTATTGGTGCTGTTGCGCGGTGGACGGACACAGGGGCGTGTTATTACTGAGTGCGTATGCTAATAATGATCTCGACGTAGGAATGGATGGGTGCGTGGATATTCCAGGTTCGAGCCAGCTCCGCCTGGTGTTGCGTTGCTTTGCTCTGCTCTGCTCTGCTCTGCTCTGCTCTGCTCTGCTCTGCTCTGCGTTGCTTCGCTCTGGGCTGCTCTGCTCTGCTCTGCTTTGCTTTGCTCTGCTCTGCTTTGACCTCCCCGCGGTTGCTGACGAGGGAGGGGGGGAGGGGAGACCCGGCTGTTATGTCGAGGAGGGAGGGCGTGCAGAAGGCCTCTGGGCACGAGTAATGCAAGGGCATGCGGCTGCAGGCGAACGAAGGAACGACTCAACGGCGTGCCTTTTTCTGCTCTTGGCACAGGCGCGCACCACTGCACGGAGACAAAACTAGAACTGGAGGAGTCGGGGCGGGTGTCAGGCGTGGCCAGAGTCGAGGAGGAGGTTGTTCAGGAGAGGGTCGATGAGCTTCGAGGGAAGACGGGAGGAGGGAGGAGGGAGGAGGGAGGAGGGAGAAGGGAGATCTATCTGGTGGCGGGCGGGGGTGATAACGGAAGCACCTTGCTCGGAACCGGGGTTGGTGGCGCCCTCACGATGCAATGCTTGGGGACCTGGGACTTGGATCGTGGGAGAGGACAAGAGTTGAAAAGAATTGGAAATGGGGGAGAGGGGGTTGCGGAGGGGGATCTGAGGTTTACAACTGCTTTGACGGAGCGTCAGTGCAGGGCTCAGGTACGAGGGATTGATTGCCTCCGCAAGGGGGGTGGGTAGGGTATGGATTATGGATTATTATGAATATGAATATGAATGTGTGAATATGAATCATGAATATGATGATGATTTATGATATATGATTGTTGTGATGATTACGGCGTATGGGAATCTCGGGTTGGCCCTCGTTGTGGAGGGAGCTTTACCTTACTTAGTACCTTACAGTCTGACGGTAACAGAGAGGTTCTCCGTCCCTTCCTCCCTCCCTTCCTCCCGTGCGTGGGCCACCAGTGCCCACCACTGACCACTGACCAGCGTCCAGCGTCCAGCGTCCAGCGGGTCCCTCGGCGTCCCTCTGGGCCTCCCTACTAGTCCGCGCGCTAGCATCGGCGGCCGGGACGCGCTCCTGAACGCTAGATAGGGCGGCCTTTAGGACCACACGGCGGCCAGGCGTTGAAAAGTCAGAAAACCATTGTTACCGTGGCGTCTGAACGCGCCTTAGCCAGGGAAACGCCCGTCGTCGCTAGGCCGCATCCGCTCTAGTCAGGAGATTACTGACAATTGTGGCGAGCACGCCCTTTCCCGGTATATTGGCGCGACGATCCTGGGCCCCCAGGGTTCCAACGTTCTCCATTATTTCCTCCCTCTCCCTGGATACACGCGGTATCCATACACGTCCACTCCAGGACCTCATTCATTATCGCCCGATATTATTATTATCGTTATTATCGATTGTGTTGATATGACCCGTGCCATCATCCCCCGGCTCATCAAGCGGTACTGTACGTGATGTGCGGACCACGACTTCCGTGCCTCCACTGCCTCCACAGTCCACAATCCACAATCCACAATCCACAATCCACAATCCACAATCCACAATCCACAATCCACAATCCACAATCCACATACGAAGATCAAGAATGTTGTCATCCTGTACGGACGGTTCGGGTGGAGCGGTGCACAGTGGGTAAGGTAGGTTCAATGATTCAATCCCATCTCTCGAGTAAGGCAAGGCAGTCCTTGTTCCCTCGTCCATCGTCCATCATGCATGCTGGGCTGCCTGTCGCTCCCTCCGCCTGCGTCCCAGAGGCGCCCTACCTACCCGGCTCCCTCCAGATGACAGGTCCGACAATAACGGTACAATCAAGACTCGAGAATGCTTCAAGATCCAAATGCATCTGGTGCTGCCTTCTGTCACTTCCCTGGGTCCACTCGTGCAGGACGCACCGTCGCTAAGTGAAAGAAATGCCTTTTGTTCCTCTCGCTACGCCATCTCTCGCTGCCCATCCCATACATACAATGATCCCCCCAATACTCTGTACCTGGGACCATGATCTGGCCTCTGGTCTCCGGACAACCCCCAGTACTCGACGAGGATGGGCGTCGTCGAGCATCTATCGCTCTGCCGTCTCTCCTCGGGCACCAAGTACAGAGGGAGTCTATCGTGAGGTCGATCACTCTCTCACGGGAGATTACAGTAGCTGGCTGGTCGGTGCAGTGCCGGGTCTTCCTACTCCATATGATCGCTGTCGGCTAATGGCCTCGACGTCCTCTCTTCGACCTCTCTGGGTGTCGAAGCTTCGAAGCTTCTGCACTTCCTATCGTATGTGATCGGGTACGATGTACGGTGCAGGCTACACGCAGCATTACTATTCGATTATGGCCTGGAGCACCTCCATTTTTACGACCTGCCTCTGCACGATTGTCAACGTCTCCATTTTCTCTGACGTGAAACGGCGCGACGCTGCCACGCAACTCGATGCAGCGCCCGCACGCCATGACATAATCCCATCCCTCTCCCCTCCCGCCATCCAGAGCAGCGCGCGCCCACGACGCGGTCTCTACGAGCCCTGTGGATGATACGGTACAGTAGTGGTGGCCGTACCGCGTGGGGTTCGCGTAACCCAGGGGGGAGGACGGAGTGACAGTAGTGAGTAGTGAGAACCTCAGGCCTTCCCCCTGCTCGCGGCGCTGGTGGTCGTGATGGCCCGTCCAAAGGCTTACTACACAGTCTACGCTAAGGTCCTACATAGTAACATAAGTACCACTCTCCACCATGACTACTCCACTACAACTCCTAAAATGTGAGACCGTCGGAACCTGAGCACATTCACGGAGCATTTCCAACTTCTGCCATCGCTGATTTGCTGCTTTCAGGGACTCCCCTGCCCTCATGTTTACCTCCGCAAGGGGTACGCAAGCCACTCCAACGCCGCGTGTGATTAATCTCGTTTTCACGACTCCAGCGCCACGGCTCGGGAGTACTACAGTGGGCACCGACGCGATCCCCGGGTCCGCAATGACTCGTGTGGATTCTGGCCTTTCTGGTCCTGGGGAACGTGTTCTCGATTCTTGAACGCAGCTACATCTTCCAACTCCTCTGCACCTCGAGCTTTCTTGCCATCCATCTCACATTGCTTGCTGATCTACGGTTCAAAGCTGCAGATGCCCCAGACAGGAGGTTTTCCAAAAAGAGGCCTTCTTCTCAGCATTCAACACGTGCAGTGTGCGTCGCCCGCACGGCCAAATGTCGACTACTGTCACCTACGCGCTGCATAATAATCACATATGCAACATTTATGCAACCCTGACATCTTGACAGCCGATGAGTGAGGGCACAGCTTTACAACGCCCAGGCCCAATCAGATGCTCTGGTCTTTGTCTTCTTGGGCCCTGGCCCTCTGCACAGTGTGCATTGTCCTTCGGGCATGATGATGTACGGAGTGCATACATAGACTGGGGTGGAGGATCAGGTACTGGCCGGAGATGCGTTTTAAGCTTCTTTGCCCTACAGGACTAGGGCCGACCTGCTGCTGAGCCTGAGGTCGCCGACCCATCGAGCAAGGGGATCATCAATTCTGATCTCCTTTCTCGTCGGCCTGCATCCCACGCTGTTGCCCTGGTAGCACTGTAGCAGCTGGGAAACTCCTCCGGCCAAAGAATATTCTCTTGTTATTATCGACGCTGATCTCCGAAAGCCCAGCAACTGAAGCAGCATTCGTCTGTCTGCTTCCTCTTCCTCGATGTACTGATCTCAAATGCTGTACCGCATACCGTATATCGAGTTCGAATGGAGTGTCTCCAAAACCGCGTCCGGTAACAGAAAATTGCCCCTGAATGCTCACCCTTAGAGAGACATCCCCACTTCGCCGTCGACTATTTAGACTTCTCGGGATTTCCGCCATCCACTATGGCCGTTTTACCATCCGTTCTTAGATTCTGTGGACTCAGAATTATCATGACTACGGTGTAGTTTTAACGGGTCCCTCCGTATTGCCTGAGGCATCAGTATCACGGAGCCCGGAGTAGACGCAGCTATTATCTGGAAGCTAGAAGGCTTTCGAGGTATTCCTCCGTGAAGACGGCACACGCTCATGGCTCGTCCCCTCAAACTCCCAGTCCCAGGAGTCCTCCGATCTTGATCGCCGAGATGACGATGGCTTATGGTTATTGTGGCCATGCACCGATCCTCACAAGGCAGATATCGATCGTGGATTCGTGGGTCTCGTCTGCGGGCGTGCACATCCCGTCCACTCTTCAGGCCATCGGGGCCAGAATCTCTAGAGAAACTGCAAAAGTCATCACAATGAATACGTGATAGGGCTTCTTATTAGCTCAAACTTCCGAGAGCCGCCGAACATGATCCAAATATCTCAGGGAGCAACTGCAGCAAACAGCCTCACAGGCTCACAGGCTCATAGGCCCATGGCCACATGCCACCACCGGAAACAAAACCAACACACGCAATATGTATGGACATTCTGCGAATTCTTCACAACTTCACAAGTATCCTCAAAAAAGATGCTCCCAGGTTCTGGACCAGCCCCCAAAAACCTCCCCCACTTCTCGTTCCCTTTTTCGTATCTAGGGCCAACATCGCGACTTGATCATTGGAGAGCCGCGCGAGCACGGTCGTGGCGGCCCCGCACGCGATCATCGCGGACGACCCAGGCCATTGCGGCAAGATGGGCTGGAGATCCTAATAAGACGGGTCTCGGGTTGGCTGTTTTCACGGCAGCCTCAGGGTCCGAGACAGTAACGCTCGTACTAAAAGTTTCCCTTGTCCTCGTCGTCCAGGCTGTGTTGCCGGGACGGACAATACAAATACATAGTATATTGCGGCGCAGGAAGAGGAGCAAATGGGGTGGATGATGGTTGAATGTTGATGATTGTGGATCGTGCATGAAGGCACCCGTGATTCCCTACCGCATCCAACAAATTCTGAGCCCTGCTCAGGATCCCAAAACTTGGGAAACGAATCTTCATGGTGCAGTAGTCGTCGCGGGCGGCCAACCATCGACCGCCGCGGATGCGGCCCGTGTGGCCGTCCCGTTCACCAAACGCCCCTGGCCTATCCCACGTTGCGTATGGCTTGTTCCTCATTCTTGTCTGCCTTCTCTTTTTCCTTTTTCTGTCTCCTCTCTGTGGCTCTCTTCGAGGCTACGATCACACGAGTAGTCGTCGCCTCTCACTATTTTTATACTTACTCGTACTCTTGCAGCCAGAAAAGTATAATCCTACACAGTTTCTCCTCGCTATCGGTGATTTCCATCATGAATCGCAAAATACAGACCACTTTCATGGCTTCTAATGGCCAGTTATCGGCCACAGCTTTTTGCCAATGATAGGTATACAGGACTACACTCAATAATCACTGTATAGTGTCCTGACGGTCGGGGTGGTTAGTACAGTAATTGTTCTGGACAACCAGAAATCATGATGGCTGGCCGTATCTCATTCTCTGATTATTCTCATCGTCTCACGGGTCCTGGCGAATTGGCCGCGTGCTGATTGGTCCCAGCGACTCCCGTTGCAGTGCCCCCACCAATATCAGTCAGTCTCAATCACACCCGACCTCCCGGAACGCATCACATCACGAAATCAAGCGTTGCCGGGGTCGCTCATTGTTGGCTCAGCCCGTGGTCCGAGTCCGAGATCTCTGTAGAGACCTGGCTGCTCATCACGTCGGGCGGACGAAGATAGCTACTACGAATGACTATGGAGTGTTATGCTTCAAAGTTATGGTAGATCACGCGAAAGAGGAAATCGAACCCCTTGGACCGTCAATCTCCAACCTCAAGTAGCCAAGCTCGGAGCTTGGTCCAGTGCCAACTTCCAAGAAGCCTCGGGTCCGATCGCTGTCATGTGAGAGCGATGTGAGAGCGAGCTCCTCCGGCATGGATGTCCGCAAGGCTGCATCCCAGCGGTGATCGGCCAGAGATCACCACTTCTAATGCGCCTTGTCCCTTTTACCCTCGGATTTTTGAAGAGCCCTTGCATTATTATACGGATTCCACTGCCTTGATGAGCACGACTGTTCTGTCGAGTCCTCAAGGCTCGAAGTACATGTACCTGCTCCGTAGGTAGTTAATACCGTGGATTATCACCCTAGTCGGGTATCTATCCCGTCCAGCGCTTTAAGCTTGTTCATGCTGCGATACAACTTCCAATTCAAAGAAGCTACTCACGATGAAGTACTGGCACAATGCGGACCTCATTCAGAAAGCTTCGTCCTCTCCATCTCGAACCCTCGTCCTCAAGACCGCCCTGTATATCACATACAGTATAGCGTCGGTATCTGAGAGTCCCTTGTTGGTGCTGCTCGGCGCTGCTTGAATATCATGCAAAGACGCCTCCTGTGGTTTCTTGCTGTCGTCTCGGTCGCATCCTTGACGATATCAGGCTGTATCAATCAGCAGGTGATAGCTCCCTGCCTTGAAAACCGGCATTCTATAAATCACAAGATCAAGGCAAAATCCGATCTCATCGTGCATTGCGACGTAGGGAGGATGCAACAATTATCAATTTCCCCTCGCTCATGCTTCATCCTAGCCAAACAGCAACCCTCCCTCACCAACTCTGCTCTACCGCATCAATGCCCTCATACATATCCTCAAACCATGCCCAAGCCGTTTAGAAGTACCCCGCATCACCGATCTCCTACCGCCCGATGCCTCTGCAGTGGCAGTCTCGCTCGGTGCACGGCCCCCTATCTTTGTATCCCACAGGATGGTCTTCTGGCTCGAGCGTTGTGCCCCTGTGCTCGCTTCTCCATCGCAATGTACTGTGGTTCTTTTATTGTATGTGCTAGAATGTATTGTACCTGAGGTGCGCCGTTCGGGGCCTCGGGCAGGGACCACCATAGGCACTGCGTGAGCACGGCGTGACTCCGGACCTGGCGCGAAGCGTTGTCTTCTCAATCAATCGTCTTCCGACACCCTCCTAGTAGGTAAACAAGGAAGGAAGGTATTCAGCTGGCGGGTTAAGACCTGAAAGTTCCCCTTAACTTAGTCAGGATGCTCTGTCTATTTCCTGGCCTCAGCCATGTGGGGTTTGTATTCTGATGATACTCTACATTCATTCTTGCACTTTCTCTTAGGTGGTTGTTCAGATCTTCAAATAAGGGATTTAAGTAATTCTACTGATACGCGTGTGATTTTCTTGTTTCGCTGTTATCCTATTGTGTTGCTTGCTCCCCTTATTTAATCCCCCTATCTACTCCTATTATCCGCTCCTATTACATACTCCCCCCTCACCGCGTCCTTAATCCTATCTCCATCGCATTGTGCACTCCTTGCACCCGAAGCATTATACATCATGTCACAGTCGGAGGATGGGGGTTAAACAATATATGTGGCTTATGGATTCCAAGACCGGGTGAGAGAGGAAGGACGCGGAGTCTGCTAGAGCGTTGAGATTGCCATCGACATCTCTGATGCAGCTCCTTCCTCAGGACAACCAAACAGTGGGAGGGAGTCAAAATGATTTATTGACAAGCGTGGTGCTACTATTCGCTTCTTGAGTTGAAGATAATTATGGTGGATGTGTTGGAAGATATACAGAAAGAAGGGATAAGTATCTTACCGATTTGGCTTCCATGAGTGCGAGTGAGGATCACGTGTTATTGACCATGTCGAGTCAGATAGGTGCATCTAGCAATGAATCGTGTGCCTTAGGTTGTACTGAGGGACACCGGGTATTGAGAATGTTGGCACTGCATGCAGAAGGACGCATAGTTAAAGGAAAGTTGGGTGGGTACATCTCTACTCCGTCCCTACGATATATGCGTCACATGTGTTACTACAGATTCGTACCACATGAATAGGTGGCAAGTTCAGTCGGTGCATTGCTTGTGGATGCATTCACAACATGATAACCTAACTTTTCTCCCTCTTAAGACCGTGAAACCTTGAGAACGGGTTTGAACTCCTAACACAGATTGCAAATTCATGAGCATGGCGGTACAGCCCAAGAAGATAGTAATCGTGGGTACCTACCTAACTGCCCCATCATTTGCGGGGCAGTCCGAATATTCACTTGGCTTTGGTCAATTTGATCTGATAGTTTAACGAATACTCCAGGTAGGCGGCTCGCTCGCTGGTCTCCTAGCTGGCCTTGTCCTGAAGCGCCTCGGGCACGATGTACGCATCCTAGAGCGCTCACCATCGTCACAGCTACAGACGCAGGGCACCGGGATCGTATTTGGTCCGCAAGTCCAGGAATACTTTGACAGATTCATCCGGATGCGGGAGACGTACACGGTGCGCAGCTATCGGCGACAGACGGTGGATGGCGAGGGGAAAAGTATCCCGGAGTTGGAGGAGCAGATCGTGCAGCAGATGGTGAGCTGGGATCTGGTGTATGTTGTGTTAAGGGGGGAATTTGATGGGTTAGCCAGTGGGTATCTTCAACGGGTGGAGAAATGGGGTGATGAGGGGCAGGGAAAAGGGACGTATGAGTACGGGTGTGTGGCAGTGGGGATTAGGGATAAAGGGGAGAAGGTTGAGTTGGAGTTCGTGGATCGAGAAGGGCAGACGCAGGTTCTGGAGGCGGATATGGTGATTGGGGCTGATGGGCCGAGTTCTACTATCCGCAGGATCTTGCTACCGGAGGTGGAAAGAAAACATGCTGGATACGTGGCTTGGAGGGGAACGATGCTTGAGAAAGAGGCAACGAAGGAGTTGAAGGAAATGGTTACGGATCGCTTGCCGTATTACTTCAATAACACCGAAGGCACTCACATCGTGGCGTAAGAGCCTCCCCAAAGTCCTCTCATCGCCATACTAATGACCTCAGATACCTGATTCCAGGGCAAGACGGGACGTTGGAGCCCGGTTCCCGACTCATCAACTGGGTTTGGTACTGCAACTACCGGCCTGACTCCAAAGAATACCAAGACCTGATGACCGATTCCTCAGGCCGTACTCACCGCCTCACGATGCCCGCTGGCAAGGTCCAACAGCAACTCTGGATGCAGCAGAAAGCCTACGCGGCGAAGGTCCTTCCCCCGCAGTTCTCAGAGCTCGTCGCGGGCACGAAAGCCCCTTTCGTGCAGGCCATCACCGATGCGCTCTCGCCCCAGGCGTCATTCTTCAATCACAAGGTGCTTCTCGTCGGCGATGCGCTCGCTGGATTCAGACCGCATGCTACCGCTAGCATGAGCCAGGCAGCGATGCATGCGCTGTTGCTGGAACGGATGATGAGGGGGGAGCTCTCGTGGGAGGAGATGTGCGAGCTGATGATGAAGTACGCGAGGCGTGTGTCGGAGGCGGGAATTAAGATGGGGGAGAAGAGTCAATTCAAAGGCCAAGGTGGTGGGAAGGGGTGGTTCGCAATATCACAGGCCAAATGACGATAGAGAAATATGGAACTTGGAGTATATGAGTTGATGACGAGAACCATTTCAGCACTACCTAGATAGAAAACTTCCGAAGAGATAGACATTCCCTAGGAAAGAAAACCTCTACTGTGAATCTTCTGGCTGTTCATAAGGATTACTCAACCCTACCTAGCTTGGAAATTATTTCTATTTAGACAAGGGCTAAAAGATTTTGTACCGTACATGCAGGAATGATATATGATTATTAAGACCCTTTTATCACATAACTTTAAAGGAGAGGTACACCACGTAATCTGGCAATGTGCTTCTGTTTAGATTTGCGGGTTAAAGGACCTGAATACGTTTTCTTGGCCGCGGTAAAGAGAGAGGGGGGTTGCTATCGGTAATTATCACGTGATCTGACACCTTAGCGCCCACACTAGCGTAAACCCCCACCAAACCCCGACCATGGGCCCCTCCAGACTCAAAACGTTTATTTTTTTGACACACCGCTCCCTTCCTTCTTCCTCAACAATTCTTCTCTCAATTTCTTCTTCTTCACTTTTCTCACGAAGGATCCAGATCTGAAGATTATCCCAGAGACACCTGATCTGGCCCTTCGATTCTCCTAAGATACTCTTACAGAAGAACAGTCTTGAGTGTCTTCTGACAGCGGCGAGCGGATTGTTTTTTCGAGCACGCCATAATCAGTCATCATCCTTCATCGTCACGCAAAGTTGCAATCATGGTTCAATCGTACGTATTCAATTCCACTTCTCTCCCCAGCCCTGTCCATCTCTACACATCAAAAGAAGAAAATAGAGCACGATGCTGATTCAAGTCAACAGTTCGATCCTCGGTTTTCCCCGCATGGGAGTCAACCGCGACCTGAAGAAGGCTACGGAGGCATATTGGGCCGGGAAGATCTCGCAGGCGGAGCTGCTGAGTGAGGCGAAGAGACTGCGTCTGGAGCATTGGGGCATCCAGAAGAAGGCGGGGGTTGACATCATTCCTAGCAATGATTTCGCCCTCTATGATCAGGTCCTTACCCATATTCAGGACTTTGGTGTAAGTTTCTTCTCTCCTCTCTCACCGCCCTTAGCGACACCCCATGCCATAAAAACAAATGCTGATTCAATTTGGAACAGGCTGTGCCAGACAGATATAGCAAGAGCAACCTCGATCCCATCGATGAGTACTTTGCTATGGGCCGTGGTCACCAAAAGGATGGCGTCGACGTCCCCAGTTTGGAGATGGTGAAATGGTTCGATTCGAACTACCACTACGTCAAGCCTACCCTCCAGGACAACCAGACTTTCAAGCTCAACCCCAACCCCAAGGCTGTTGTTGAGTTCCTTGAGGCCAAGGAAGCTGGCATCATCACCCGACCTGTCCTCGTCGGACCCGTTTCCTTCCTCGCTCTCGGCAAGCCAGACCGTGGTCAAACCGTCGACCCAATTGATCTCTTGGACAAGCTCGTGCCAATCTACGAAGAGCTCCTTGCCAAGCTCAAGGCTGCTGGTGCCGAGACGGTCCAGATTGATGAGCCCGTCCTCGTTTTCGATCTCCCAGCAAAGACTAAGGCTGCCTTCAAGCCAACCTACGAGAAGTTTGCTAGCCTAGGTGACAAGATCCCCAAGCTTGTCTTCACTACCTACTTTGGTGACATTGTCCACAACATCGACGCAGTCCCAACTGATATCTATGCTGTCCATATCGATTTGGTCCGCAACCCAGAGCAGCTCGAGACTGTCATTGGTGCATTGGGCCCAAAGACCATCCTGTCAGCTGGTGTTGTTGACGGCCGCAACATCTGGAAGACCAACCTCAAGCGTGCTATTGAGATTGTTGAGACTGCAATCCAGAAGCTCGGAAAGGACCGTGTTATCGTCGCCACTTCCAGCTCCCTTCTTCACACCCCACACACACTCGCCAGCGAGAAGAATCTCGACCCCGAAATTGCTGACTGGTTTTCCTTCGCTGTTGAGAAGGCCTCTGAGGTCGCGGTGATTGCCAAGGCTGTCACTGAGGGTCCAGCGGCAGTTCGTGAGCAACTCGAGGCCAACGCCAAGTCCATGCAGTCTCGCGCCAGCTCCACACGAACCAACGACCCCAAGGTCAAGGAACGCCAATCCAAGATCACCCCTGACATGTACAACCGAAAGTCAGAATTCCCCATCCGTATCGCTCAACAACAGAAGTCGTTGGGTCTTCCCCTCTTCCCAACCACCACTATTGGTTCTTTCCCCCAGACCAAGGAGATCCGAATCCAACGTAACAAGTTCACCAAGGGCGAGATCACCGCACAGGAGTATGAGAAGTTCATCGAGAAGGAGATCCAAGATGTTGTCAAGATCCAAGAGGAGCTTGACCTTGACGTCTTCGTCCACGGTGAGCCTGAGCGTAACGACATGGTCCAGTACTTTGGTGAGCGTCTGAATGGCTACGCCTTCACTACCCACGCATGGGTCCAGAGTTACGGTTCTCGCTGTGTCCGACCTCCCATTGTTGTTGGTGACATCTCCCGGCCTGCACCAATGACCGTCAAGGAGTCGAAGTATGCTGTCTCCATCTCCAAGAAGCCAATGAAGGGCATGTTGACTGGTCCCATCACTTGCCTGAGATGGTCCTTCCCTCGTGATGATGTTCATCAATCCGTCCAGGCTGAGCAGCTTGCTCTCGCTCTCCGCGATGAGGTCGTTGACCTCGAGGCAGCTGGTGTCTTCGTTATTCAAGTTGATGAGCCAGCTCTCCGTGAGGGTCTTCCTCTTCGTGCTGGCAAGGAGCGTGAGGCGTACATTGACTGGGCTGTCAAGTCTTTCCGTCTCTCCGTCTCTGGCGTCAAGGACTCCACTCAGATCCACTCTCACTTCTGCTACTCTGAGTTCCAAGATTTCTTCCACGCCATTGCCGCTCTCGACGCTGATGTCCTGTCCATTGAGAACAGCAAGTCTGATGCCAAGCTTCTCAAGGTCTTCGTCGACGAGGCCTACCCCCGTCACATTGGTCCAGGTGTCTACGACATCCACTCCCCCCGTGTGCCAAGCGAGCAAGAGATCAAGGACAGAATCGAGGAGATGTTGCAATACCTTAAGCCCGAGCAACTCTGGATCGATCCTGACTGTGGTCTGAAGACTCGTCAATGGGCTGAGACCAAGGCTGCCCTTACCAACATGGTAAACGCGGCCAAGTTCTACCGCCAGAAATACGCCTCCAAATAGGCGCATTCTAATAATAGCTGACCTTTTCTTTTTGTTTCTTTTAATTTCTTGGGGAGATTAGGGGGTGAGCTTTTATGATTCTTATGTTTATGCACTCTGGTTTTGGAGCCTAACGGCTGAGACGATCTCAACATCGGCGTTTTTTGGGCGGGAAGGCAGGGAAACAAAAAGCTTTTCCTTTTCTGAGATATCATGGGCAGTTGTGGGTTCAACAGCATGGGAGGGAAGGAGTAGGATGATCCATCAACCGGACATCCGTGAGGATACGGCGTCAAAATGAGAGATATCATGGGCGGCGTGGGTTCAACAGCATGGGAGGGAAGGAGTAGGATGGTCCATCAACCGGACATCCATGAGAATACGGCGTCAAAATGAGCGATGATTGTGCGAGCTGAGATTCTCTAGCTCTTGTATGGGTACTCCTTCCTGGATGGAAGTGATGGATGGAAGGTGGGAACATGATTCATTACATACGAATAAATATACCCATTTCAACCGGGCATTGATGATCCTTTTGGTCCTGGCGACGTGTGTTGTTGTAAATATTCTTCGACCCCCATCCCATGCTCATGCCTGCCTATCCATCTCACACCCCCGCAGCCACGCCGACAGCCCCTCCTCCAGTAGTCATCTCACCACCTGCCCTGACTATCCGCGTATTATAAAAACAGCCATGTGGCTATCTATCTATCAGCCACCCGCAAACCATCTTGGGCTACCTACTTAGTGGTGAGGCGACACCATCGCCGCACGGGATATAGAGAGGATGGCTAGGATCGAGGAGAGTTTAGGACTAGCTGGCGTGCAAGCCCCTGAGGATCTAGTGATTGAGAAGAGGGTGGTGTCGCCAGTGGCTTTAGAGCATAATGAGGAGGTGGCCGTCAAGGTATAGATAGATAGATAGAGGTGCGTAGGGATATGAAATGATGTAGCTAAATAAAGCATCATAGCTGAGATTGATCAATTCTTGTTGTTTCCTTCATCTATATATACCTTTACCTGATTTGTTGTCAACAACCAAAGCCAGAAATCACTCTCCGGCTCAGGTGGTGTGGTGTAATGGTAGCACGTGACGTTGTGGCATCTCTCCCTCGCCGGAATTTCCACACTGATCCGTTTCACGAGCCCGGGTCCGGATTGCCCCCTCGCGCCTTCGAGACGCGCATATGCAAATCCTTCCACTCCCTCAGGACCGGCATGTCAGGATACCAGGTCATGCTCGCACTCTCCCTCAGGGCCACGATGCCTCCCTTCCTAGCCACCCTGCGCATCTCCCTCAGGCCCTGCACCGGATCCCGGACGTGCTGCAACACCTGGTGCGCGTGCACGACGTCGAAGCTCCCGTCCGCGAACTCCAGCGCGTGCACATCCCCGACGCGGAAGTCGATATTCTGCACCTGCTCGCGGGCGGCGTGGGACCGCGCCGCCTCGAGCGGCGCAGCGAGGTATTCAACGCCGGTGAGGTGCCCCGATGGCACGAGCTTGGCGAGATCTACGGCGATGGTGCCCGGCCCGCACCCAACATCGAGGATCTTCATGTCTGGTTTGATGGAGGGCAGGAGGTAGGGGATGGAGTTTTGGGCGGTGCGCCAGGAGTGCATTTTCAGCACGGAAGAGTGGTGGTTTGCTACGTAAACGGACATTTCTGGTGCTTTCCAAGAGCCGGGTATTAGAGAGTGAAAGTCGCGATAGATAATTGTGTACCTAGGTAGAATGCTGTGCTTCTGGATAAAGGATATCAAACTTCGGTGTAGATAAGGTACGGTAGGTGCCTGAAATACCTTACTTAGGTAAGCCCACTACGTCACATGTCGATGAACCCCTTTTCATAACCGAGATCTAGCTAGCACATCTATATCCACATATCCACAAACGCGTATCTTTACGGCCAAGATTCTCACTAGCTGACTTCAAAAAATTATAGAGTTGAGTAAAGTACTTGGATATTGAATTTATTTATTTATTTACTGAGCTTCGAAAGTTCGACAGCAGTTCGCAAAAAAATGTTAATGAGGAGGAAAAAAAGAGGGAGAGGAAAAAAAGTTACCAGAACCAAAAAATAAATAATAAATATCCAAGAAAAAAAATAAAAAAAATCAAATAAAAAAAAAGAATGATTAACAAACGCGGCGGAGTCAAACCGCCTACATCTTCAATCCAAGATTTCTCTTGGCGGTGCTGGGAATCGAACCCAGATTGGATCCATGTCTGGGCGCGTGAGGCGGGCTTCAAGAGGGAGGATATTAAATGCAGTACCGGGACGTGGTGCTATAGCACGAAGGAGGAGAGGGAGTGGTGGAGTGCGCTTTGGGCTGAACGGGTCACGGCCACTAGTTTTGCGGATCATGCGGTCGAGGGAGGGTTCTGTACACGGGAGGATTTAGAGAGGATAGCAGAGGGTTGGAGAGAATGGGGGAGGAATGAGGATAGCTGGTTCACGATTCTTCATGGGGAGATCATCTGTCGTGTTTAAGGACGAAGGGCACAGCTTGATATGGTCACGTGAGGCGGGGTAACGAGCTGACTTTAGCTAAGGTACTTTGCTTGGCCCGAGCTGAGTTGACAACATCTCTATGAAGCATTCAATCCAATGCTTGAGGATTCCGCAGAAGCCTATCAAGCATTGCCCTTCAAGATCTCGAGATATAAGCCCACAAGACATATTATCCCGAGGAGATATGGAGACTGATATTTGGAGCGCGAGAAGAACAGGTCGATTTCTGGGCGTCTCAGCACGGTCTCCAGAATCCATGTTTTCGAAGTATTAACTAACACGTGGTAGCTGTATGGGAAATCTCCATGGCTGATCCTCTTCCAGTACCTGATCTAAGTTCAGGCAACGAAGCAGACCTCGATGACGCCGGGCTAGAAAGAAACTCGAGGTCGTTCAGAAAATCCGGCACGAGTCATCAGCAACCTGGAGCATCCTGTCACCACCTGCCAGCAGCGAAATAACGAACACTTGTCCGAATATGACACTGTTTTGCGGCGTTTGGATTGTTCCACGTAGCCAGACCATAACTTTGCTAAGGGCAGAGATGCCGAGTCACTTTCCCGGCATCTGCTGGAGGCATTAATTGACTCCATACAGTGGGATGCCTCAATATCGTCAAAGGTTCAATCAAGTCTCGTGCGTCTGGCCCATCTGTTAGCATCAGTCACATCTCTCCACATCCTACATCTCGTGAAGATCTGGTGCTCATATTGCTCGGCGAGCACGTCATCGACCTTGCAATCCCATTGCTCCCATAGTCCCATCCGCTGTCCATGTAGCCACACGCAAATTATCGAGTTATTGCCAATGATTCCAGGTCTACGATCCCTGTAGATGGAGATCCCAAGAGGAATAGTTGATTATTCAGTCCTTCAGCTCTGTCACTATTGTCGCTACCAATTCTCCTCGAGACTTCCTTTCGTCTTCGCCAGTATGCTTTGAAGGAGGCCTCTAGGACCATCGTTGACGATGTGTTCGTATTGTCAACGGGACAGTTCTGGCGTACATTCGAACCGTGAGGCGTTGCGTTTGGTAAACTAGAAGCCAAGGTTTTGATGGCCTGCGGTAGGTAGAGGACAGATCATCGCATTCCCAACTCCATCATTTTTATATTTGCCTTGGCTGTGGAACTAGCCTCTTTTGTATGGGGATGTGGAGGTGGGCAGGGGTGGGGATGCCTACGCGTACAGCTTATGAAGACTGTACGGAGTATATATAATAAGGGTTGGTCCCCTATTTCACTGGCATCTTAACCCACCTATAGCTATGATAATCAGTCAAAGTCCTCAATTCAAAAGATTGTAGCGAAATACGTACGCAGCGACATCGCGTCCGTAGCCCGATTCGATTTGACGAAGAGACCGAACTCGAATGGAGGATCTACACACGGCGCATGAGGAATCCGCCATGTAAGTCTCACCACAAACATCTGCGCAATCCATCAAGCAATCCCCTCACAGTCTCACAGGGCTGATGTTATGCACCACTCAGCTTGGAGTCGCGGCCGAGACACATGCAGACGCGCACATCCTGCGTCGGCATTTAAATTCGAGTCAGGGAGCTTGGCCCCGACCCATTGTTATCCTATCACATCGTCATCATCTCTATATGGGGTATTAGCATCCTTCAATGTGCAAGGAGGGGATAAGGTGACATACTGATTCTGATTGGGGTCTGGATCCACGGCAATAATGACCGCTGTCAAGACGCGAAGTCCAGACAAGGCCACGGGTGCGCATCCTCAAGCGAACCGTCAACCCCTCTCCTCTCTTGGTGTCCATCCGCTCCACCTCTTCATCTATCAACGCCATCAAAAGGAGGGCAGAGACCTGAAGAGAACTGATACCTTACCGCATAACTGTCTAAAAGCTGATGCAATACGAAGAGCAGAATTACAGTGTTTTGTACTCCGACGGCACAGGCTGCCGCTGTGGAAATTGTGTATCATCGCCTCATCTCCACAAGTACGAAGTGGCCTTGCTCTTCCCCGCAATGATTCTTTTTTCCTTTCCCATTCTTTGCGTCTGGCGGGGCAGGGTGGAGGATCTACCGGCAGTTCGCGGTACTTCTGTAATTGAATTAGACATCAAGTGATGTCGAGCACCTCATGTTTAGAGCGCTTGCCCTACAGCTACCAGTGACAATTGTTGTCCTGATAATGTCTGATCTAGCTCTCCAGGCTCACGTCGGTGTCCATTATATATCGACGACGCCCAGTGGGTAATCGCTATCATAAGGGCCGTGGGAGTCATGTTTGGAGGCCAGTTTGTGGCTACACAAGTTTGTGGATTTCTGCAACTCAGAACTGTCTTATGGTTTTAAAGTCCTTTCCGAAGAAAGATTTCATTTCTGTCATATTGAGGTATTACATAATTACGTATGATCCTTCGCACACTATGTTCATCACTTCTTCCCGCTCGCAATCATCTCCGTGGGGTCTAATATCCTAGTAGAACAAGACCATCATCCACTCCAAATCCGATAGACTCAATGAGCCGTTTACAGAAGCTGCGACACAACCTCACCAACTGGGCTCAACAAGCCGTTGACGATGTTGACAAGGTCGGTAACGGCAGTACGGAGCAGGCCGACGATATCACCGGTGAGATGTCCCAATACTGCGAGCACGAAACCAGCAAGTGGGTTGATGATAGGCAGGAGGAGGGACAGGACAGCAGCAATCTCTTGGACGAGGAGCTTCTTGGCATCTGTAGGAAAGAATGATTAGAGAGACTCGTTAAATAGAGGGAGGACGCAAGAACTTACCAGCAGTAACTGTCTTGAGGACGTAAACCAGAGTCGAGGCGATGTTGGAGATGAGGTTTGAGAGATCCTGGAGAGCGTTAAGAAGACCCTCTGCTTCGCCCTCGACCAATGGAACAACAACACCGTTGACAACAGGGGTGATGTCGGCAAGGACGGTCTTAAGCGCGTTGGCGATGTTGGTCAGAGCAGTGAGAACAACTGGAACAACACTGGTTGTAACATCCTTTGCGACGGCGGAAGCTGGATTCACAGTTAGACACATGTTCAAGTTGAATATGGGAAAGGGAAGTGCCATACTGATGGTGTTGAGCTCTGCCTCGACGGTCTGAACGAGCGTGTTGATGGCAGCGATGAGGGTGGCAACTGGGGAGGTGGACTTCTTGACAACGCTACTGAGTGTGTCTTCCAGAGGGCTAGTGACGGGGGCCACGGCGTCGGTCACTGGAGTCACGATGTCGCTGACGGTGTCCTTCTTGACAACGCTACCGAGTGTGTCTTCCACGGGTTTGACTAGAGGGCTAGTGACGGGGTTCGTGAGGTCGGTCACTGGAGTCACGATGTCCCCGACGGGAATGCTAACTCTCGGTGTGATGGTAGTGAGCTTCGAGTCTGCGGCTCCAACCTCGTCCACCAAGTTGACAGCATCGCCAACAACGGGAAGAGACTGCATCACAGATGTGGGAGCGGCGATCACTTGGGAGGCGAGGCTGAAAGCCACGGCGGCGACGCTGAGGAACTTCATGATGAAATGTGGAAGTTGGAAGCGAAGTGTGAATTGCTAAGAACAGAAAAAGGGTTCAAGAGATCGATGCAAATGAGCGACTGTCTGATCGACGAAAGTGGTATACGCGCAAAGTTAAAAGAGTGACTGGAGAAAACGATTCAAGAGAAAACTTCGGGGTCGTGAGCTGATTATATTTTATAATCAGCCCGGCACAGTTCGAGAAGGGCCCAGGAATAATGACAGTTATGCACTGCATCACACAGGAGAGAAAGAGACGGAGGAAGGGGGAGCCGGGAATCGGGCTCCACGTTCTTGGTCCCTTATCTCGTGTTGCTCGTACATACCTAGCCTGCAGAAGCTTGGCTTTCGTTGATCGACGTCGTGGTAGCTGCATTGTCTCGGGTGAAAAGGGGAAGGCTCGCGGTACTTTGTTGCCACTATTGCGATCGTCAGGCACCGACAGGGGCAAATCGGGGACTTAAGTCAAAGAGACAGGATTATTGCATGAAAAGCAGGATATTTTACAAACTGACAACTTCTACATAGTCATTGCAGGACGATCCACGGTGCCCGGGTGCGGTGGTCTCTATGATGGAAGTTGTTCAAACGGCAGATCAACCGGGTTTTCCAGATATCCCGGTGCCGTTACCCTTCAGCAGTCATCAGCCCCTTTTACGGGAGGCACCCGAAAGGATTTAAGCTTCTGTGTCGATCCCTCGGTTAGGCCCCTCAACCCCTGTTTATGAGCCTATGGGGGACACCGGCACGAGGCGGGGCCTTCATTTAGTGACAGCCAAGAGTTTATTTGCAGTGTATTACAGTGGCCCCGGTGCCCCGCGGCAGTCTAAGATCTCACCCGTGTTCCAGGTACAGTGCTCTGCGGGCTCCTATGGGTGTTCCTATTGGGTTCCGGCGTTGGCATAAATAGTGCCATGTACTTGATAAAGGAGACTTACTCGACTATTGAATGCCCGGTAAGCCTTGACCCCCAACATCAAAGATGCCTATCAGGGCCCGGCTTTAATAAGCTCCTTCGAAAAGAGTTGACACCAGGCACCACCAGCTGTGGCTTGTAAACACGAGTCAAGACATCTGCACCTGGAAATGTACAAGCTCCGATTCCGAGCTCCAAAACTCGGTTCACCTCAGACACGAGAGATTGCATTCACACTGCCGGATCGCCGGCTGAATGATTTGCAATAAGAATGAAGTCAGACCGAGCATTCTCACAACCTCAAAAACCGACGCATAGCAGAAAAAAAGTTGCGGACTTCCGACGGCGTATGCTACCCATTGCAAGGTCATGAACATACATAACATCATCGACGGTGTGGGGTTCGACAAGGACTGCTCCGATGTTGCCGGCAGTTGCGATATCTCCAGCCGCCCCCTGGCAAAGCTATGGTCAACCGTCAACCGCTATTCAATATCACTCCCACCCCCCGGCAAGACTACATCAACCGCTATTCAGTAGCATTATTTTTTCTTAAGCAAGTCGTTTTCTTACTTGATAGTAACTTGGAACGATTCTCTAGATTTCTTCTCCTGCATGTTTAGATTTCTTCTCCTGCATGTTCAGCCGTAAATGCTGGCTGGAGAGAGAATCACTCCAACCCTCCGAGACTCTGCGCTCGGCCGAGAGATCTCTTCGAATTAGTCATTCGCACCAAACTTCCATCCAGTGCACATGTGAGCACACCCAAACATCCATTCCAGGTTTCTATTGCGTTTTATGGGATCTGTGGGAAGGCTACTTGTAATGTACCCGATCAGTTTGGGGTGTTCAAAGTCCACGCCTTGCGGTAAACCTCTTCGGAGAGGGACGGATCCTGGCCGGTGCGACTCAAGTCACTCACTCAATGTTATTCCAATATCAAATATTCTTTCCTATAATCTAATGATCCGTGAGTACACGGGTCGGAATTGTTCGATTTGTTTTGAAGATGACGAGGTTGAGATGATGGTTGAGACAGCAGTCGAGGTTTGCAGGTTGCGTTCACGATTCCACCGTCCCTTTGCAGCGGTCTATCCCCACATTGGGAGTCCTTTCCCTCCTGCTTCTAGAAAAGAGTAATCGTGGGTCTTCCGACCTCTCTCATGAGGTCGGAAGACCCACGATTATGCCAAGTTCGGAGAGTTTTTAGTTTTGTTCTTCTGGTTTTCTTATCTTCTCGTTTCCTTTCACGATGAGTAAGGAAACGCATTTGATCCACCGTGGCCTCACGTCAGGTCCACCTTCTGAACTCCGTGATCGCTTTAGAAGTGCCTCGCTCTTTTCTAGTTGTTCTTGGCGCTCTCCTGCTACCCCTATTCAAACGATCCTTTTTCTTTTCAACATGCTCTTCCTACGTACGGGCTGATATCGCTAATGATGTGTTCCCTCCTGTCCATGTAAGTCTTCGGATATTCTGCTTGAGAACATCAGCTAATCAATAGCAGATTCTCACCAGGTTCTTCTCCGAGAGACCTTTCCAGGCATAAATAGCAGAAGCTACATCAACTCGACGTCGCTTCCAAACTACGCCTACGTTATGGCGGACTCGTGACCTCGCGGCGTCCAACTACTCGCGGCTTGCAATCGTTGATTTCGAACTCTGGACAGATACCGGAGATGATCAAAGCTCTAGCCATCAAGAGAAAGTTCCCTCACTACAGAGCAGGCAAAGAAAGTACATACCCATGAGGTGGTAATGTCTCGTCAATCACTACTCCGATGAAACAAAACAAGAGAAAGATTCGAAGATGACTCGGCACCGTCCAGTGATGCTTATGTCGGCCCTGGAGCCGCTCAGCATCTTGATATACTCTACCTAAGAGCCAGGACGCTTGATGGTTGCTCGTCTCAATATTCCATGGCTGCAATCTATCCGCGTGATAGCGATTGGGGATAGATATTAGAGAAACGTCAGTTGCTACGCTTTTGGACACCGAACTACACGAGGACATACTTCGAGAAGCTAGAACGGACTAGATATCTCTCCTACGCCCCCGAGAATAAATATCACGGGCCTTGTCCTCGCTTCTGGCGCGTCATCTGGTGTAAATAAAGGGCTTCTCCTGACCCCTTTTCTTTTAACGGCAACAACAACCGCCTTCGACCTCACCTTCTCTTCTCCCCGCGATATCACCTCAACTTCGTACATCGGTCACCACCACCAGGATGAGTAGTAACGCGCCCACTGCTGCGGCTCCTTCCGCCGTTCCTCCCCCTGAACACGCGCGCCGCTGTTGTCTCCGCTGCTCCCAGCAGCTCTCGAATGACCCCAACCTAATCTGTGCCGTCACCCCCGGATCTACCAAATGCTCCCGCTGCATCAACCTCCGAAAGACCTGCCGACCTGTCCCCCCGTCTTTCGTCAAGCGTCTCAAGCGCCTGGTCGCATCCCGCGACTGTTACAAGCGCCTATCCTGCACTGCCACCTCCTCCCTTGCTGAGACGGAGCTAGCCCGAACGGAGCTCTATTTTCGCCAGTGCTCCTTCAACCGTGATGTCGCGACCTTCTTACGGAATGCGCGCCGTCAAGATCAAGCCGCCCCGTCGGTCGAGGTCGCCATGCTGATGATGGTGGAAGCTCTCGATGGCATCAGTCACTCTTTGGAGGACCTTGTGGATATCATGTGTCAGCAGGTGTAAGGTCTGACTCCTCGAAGAGCAATCCCACGTCTTGAGATGCCTAGTCAGTCGGTCACGATGATATTGGATGGTGGGAAACTGCGTAGACTGGTCAGTCTATGTCCTGCTCGTTGATGGTTCGGAATTGCAGTCTCTGGTGAGTGGGTGGGTGGGTGGGTGGTCTTTGTAGCATCTGTCTGCTATAGGAAAGGAGACTGTCTTATTGAACTAAAGACTGGCATGAGGCCATACCATAGCAAAACTACTCTACCCTTCAATCCAAGAACGAGTACCAGGTGGTACACCAAGGAACGAGAAAACTGTGGTGCTATCCATTCTATTTTCAAACGCGTCACAACAACAAACTCATCATCAAATCAGATAGATCTCTCTCCATCAACCTCACTCCCTATCTAGGCCCACCATCCTTCCCTCTTCATAGTCAAAAACTTGTCCTAGATCCCAAGCGCGATCTATATTAATACAGAGTATTTCCTCACTCTCAGGTTCCCAAAATCATCATCATCATCATCATCATCATCATCATCATGTTTTACATTACATACCTACATTACATATCTAGGAGCATATCCCGCACCTACCTAAGTAGTACCTTACCTAGCCATGCTCTCTACCTTACCTTATATATCCATCCCATCCCCATCCCATCCCATCATAGATAGACTCAACAATCATACATATTCATGCAGGAAACGTTCCATAGATAAAGCTGTGTATGTGGAGTTTGGTTTTGATTTGGAAGCTCGCGAGCTTGTTCGTTCGATATCTATCTAGATCCTGATTTCTTGGTTAAATATCATAATGATATGGATTAGTTTGGATTAGTTTGGTATGAGCGTATCGTTCGTTCGTTCGATTGATTGATTGTATGTTATGTTATGTTATGTATATATATACAAATCACAAGCTATCTACCTACCTACCTATCCTAACCTATTCTATTCATCTCCTCATTATCAACCCTCCTCCCACCCCCCAACCCAACCCAACCCAATTTTCTTTTTGTTTGTAAAAAAAATATAGATAGATCGAAGCTCGATATAGAAATAAAAATGAGATAATGGGACGTAGGAATGTGAGGGATTGATTGGAATTTTACATTTTTTTGGGGGGGGGGGGGAGAGGAAAATGGGTTATTAAAAAAAGAAAGAGGAAAGAAAAGGAAGATGTGAGAGAGAGGATAGATAGGAAGGAGGTGATGGATAGATAAAACATCGCGAGGAAGAGAATATGTGGTATATATAGGATGATGTGATGTCGTATGTATGGATGGATGATATATATAGGGAGGGAATAAGAATGAGAAAGTGATAATAGATAGATAGATATCAGTTATTGAGGACAGCTGGTTTGATGTAGGTGTTAGTTAGTAAGTAGGTAGGTAGTCTTAGGGGCATTGCTACTACAGCATCACGAGAGAGAAACGGCATGACAAGTGGTCAAAGAGTCAGTCTATGCAGACAATTAATATATACATTCCATCATTCCATTCCAATCCCTTACACAATGGTCTCCTATCTTACTCAATCCGTCTCCCTATTCGTATCCCTATCCCCTATATCTGACTAAACACTAATATACCCCTACATCCCCACAATCCTCGGTCTTGCTCCTCTCCTCCTCTCCTCCTCTCGCCATTCCTCATCAAAAACCTCTATTTGTAAAATCCAACACTACAGAAAAAAAGAAGAAGCGAAAACGATCTAAAAGGGTAAATTGAAGAAAAAAGGTGTTTGTACATGAAGAGAAGGTAAAAGACAAACGCCCCTGATGTGAGAATGTAAAAAAGAAAAGAATTTGGAATATTCCAGACGCCAATCGCTCATGCAGCTAGAATGCGGAGCTTGGGCTCATACGCTTTCTAAGATCCGTTTATTTGTGTTTCCGCGAACCCCATGCCTTGCCCTAGCGGATCCCGAACGTGGGAGGGAGATACTTGGGGATGCAATACCGAGGAGGAAGGGAGTTTATCCAACAAAAGAGAGTGCAGCTTCTCGGGGCATCGAGCCCGGGAAGGGTGTTGTGATATGACATGAAATATGCGTAGGATGTTATGTTGGAGCAGAGGCCTCAGGGGACCCAGACGAGTTCGAGCAGGCCATCCTTGTCGAAGAGAGGGCGACCATTCTCGGTCCATCGCTTGTCGTCCGCCTTGCGGATGTAGGATTGCAAGACGGAGCCATCATCTCGCAAGGTGGATTCCTGCAGTTCCCAGGCCACTTTCCGGCCCGTCGTCGTGAGGCTCTGTCGCTGTGGGCCGAGCATGAAGTCCAGATTCCAGCCGTAGTCGTCCGGCGCTGGGTTGAAGGTGCGCTCCATCTGGTTGACGTCGAATTGGATCCCCTTGGGGTAATATGCGATACTGTAGCCGTTGCTGATGATGAAATCATCGTTGGAGAGGAAGCGTTGCAGGAAGCAGTCTTCGCCACAGGTGTGCATCACCTTGGCGCCCTCGTAGGGCTTGGCTTCTGTCCACATGCCGCCCTTAAAGTGGTGCAGGGAGAGGGGCGCGAGGCCGGCTTCATAGAAACCAGCGGGGTCGCCCATGATGTCCAACTGGTGCAGGTCACGGAGCAGCGTAAGACGGATCTCGGTGTTCTCGTAGATGCACTTTCTCAGAAGGATATCGCCCTGTGGGCCCCAGCCCGTGTTGGCTTCCTGAACCTTCTGGGGCGTGCTGCACTGGTCGTAGAGCTTTGTAATGACCGATGCGAGGTGGGTGGAGAAGAAGACGCCTGCGCCCCCGAAGGCTTGGGAGCCGTGTCGTTGAACGTTGTTCACATCCTCTGATAAGGTACCGATGTACAGATCCGATCGGTGGTTGTACTGGGAGAGTCTGCGGATGAGGGCGTGCATGCTAGGGAAGAAAGTGTCGTCGTCGCACATCACAAGCCACTTGCGGTTCTTGCGCGAGACGTCGTTGTACAGCGTTGGGAGGAGCGAGAGGTATCGTTGTGCCATCTCGATAGAGCTGTTCGAGTGGTACACCTTCACATCCATGCCCAATGCCGCCAATCGTTTTCTCGTCTCCTCCAGCTGCTCATCGGAGGCATCAACAAGACGCAGGATCAAACCCCCGCCATTGGAGTTCCCCTTCCCATCTGTCAACCAGTGCGCCCACTCATGGATGGGGCTGGTTTTCGGGTCCACGAGCCGTTTGTATGTCGTCGAGACGCCGAACAAGAAATCGCTGGCATCCACGGTAGCCGGGTATGGGGACTTGGGTACTGGGACATCGAGCGCTTTCAGACATGTTATGTTCGCGGGCGGGCTCTGGAGATCAATTGTATCGAAATCTTCGGGGAAGAGGTCCTCGTCAATCTTGGTTATGGACTTGCGCTCGATGTCCTGGGGAATGAAGTGGATATACCGGCGGCCATACTCAATCTTGTCGCCCAATCCGAATTTTTGCTGTAATGATTGTAGGTGTGCAGCATCGATTGTGCAGTCCGGCACCACTGGGGCAGGGGGGGCGACTTCTTCGACGGGGGGAGCGGCCTTTGGAGGCTGCTGCTGCTGCTGCTGCTGCTGCTGGTCCTCGTACCCGAACTGCTGTTTGAACTTGTAAACCCGCTCGGTAGTAGGGCGTAGGGTCAGGATGAAGAAGACGAGGCAGAAGACGGTGAGGAAGACGGCGCGTGTGAAGGAATTGCGGGGGTTGAAGAATTTATTCCCCGGGGAGAGCGAGGCGGCCATCATATCGAACAATGACGGCGGCTCAAGGCTCAAAACAAAGTGGGAGGTTGAAACGAAAGAAGATCGACCTGGAAGACAACATCAGGCCCGTCCCGGCAAATGAGTTCCCAACGTGCGCTCCCTCGTCCCTCGTCCCTCGTCGTTCGTCGCCCCTTTCTCTTCATCCCTCCCTCTTCTTCCTCTCTCTCTCTCTCTCTCCCTCCTTTCCCTTTTCTTTCCTTTTCCTTTCATACATATATGCAAAAGATATCCATCCCACTTCCCACTTCCCACTTCCTCCATCCCCCCCCCCCCGATCCCTCATCCCTCCAGCCCTCTCCTCCTCCTCTCGTTCCAGCCTTTCTTTCCTTGTCTCTTAATGCTGCTGCGGCTCACCTCCCAGCTCCAATTCGTCAACCGGCCGGTGTGGCTGTAGAAGGGCGTTTGCGGGTGGAGGGGTCAGGGTCTTGCGTGGGAGGGGCGTGGGGATAGTGGAGCCAGGGGTGGCAGCAGTCTCTAGGGAAGGTAATGATGGCGGCGATGATCCTATCATGGTCATGATCATAATAATAATAATGGTTCAGCGCAGCGCAGGACAGATGGGGCCATGATTTTCTTGCCTCTTCCAGCACAAGGCCCCAGGGCAACCCGCCGATTATTCCCTACTTGGTCTCTGGTTCTGGCTCTGATCATCGTCATTTCGGGCATTGCGATACTCGAGCCTTGCACGTTGTGGCATTGGGTCCCTTGGTGGGGAAGATGGGAAGATGGGAGGATCCAAAATCCTCTTGGCTCTGCGCCAATCAGCTCCGGCACAGCGGGAGGGGTGCAGGAATCCGGCGCGCTATTTCGTCGGAGAATATTCAAAACATCTGCAGAAGCAGGATATTTATTCCTCGTTGACGGGACATGTTTTACGGACTGCGTCGTTGGGTGTGGTATGGAGGCTCTGCCTTTTTTCCCTGAGGGAGTTAAGGAGAGAGAGAGAGAGATACAGAGGAGATGGGGCCAGATAATCATGTCAACACAATAAAAACTACTGAGATCCATACCTGTTTTTAATTCTATTTTTGATTATATTTTTGATCCCATCTTTGATCCTTTTCCCAAACTGCGTCTCGTCCGGACTCCTCCTCCATGCACCGAGGCGAACGACATAGTCCTCGATCGATCATTGCTGTGCCCTCGCGACGCGTAGTAGTACCTACAGTAACGGAGCACAGGAGTGCAGAGTGCAGAAGAGGATTATAATAATCTCATTAAAAACACGACAGGGGCCATGTTGTCGATCAGTCCCATCTGCTTGACTCTCCTGCCACTCAGACGCCGCCGACAGAGCACTCCGTCGCAGGGGGAACGGGGATTGCTGTCGATCGCATCACCTGACAACGGGTCACCTGACCGCCGTCTTCGCTGGACTCGACGACTTTTTGCAGTTTCTACTCCGGAAGAGACCAAGAGAACTACAGTTCTATTCCGAAAAGAGTCCAGGGAAGATCCACAAACCCACAAGATGGGATCATCACCCTTGGAACGTTTCAGAGTCCTTTAGCTGTGGTTGGTGCCCCCCGATTCCCCGAATCCTTCGATAGTAACCCTCCTAAGCCGGTTCTATACTTAGTCGTCCAGAGTTTTCCTTTCGAAACAACTCTCCGTCGGCAAGAGTATTTCCCCAGTAGGCTTAACTGCTGTGTTTAATTCTTCGTGCTTTATTGCTGAACTGCACCCTCCCATACGTCGCGCCAAAAGAACATTCGCGGAATCGCGGGACGCCCGCCCTCTGCCTTGCCTTGTCTTGCCTTGCCTTTGCCTTGTCTTGCCTTGCGACTTGCCAGCCTGCCAACTCTCCCCTCCCCCAATCCCAGCTGCCAGCCTTCCCTGGATGAGGTCATCGCCCCCCCAGACAGGGCCTCCAGCGCGTCGCACATCCACCGCCCACCCTCACGGCATAGCCGCGGGCTCGTCGCGCGCGTCAATCGCATCATGACGAGGTGAGTGAAGTCGGCCTGACCGCCGGCTTGGGTCTCCGGTCGTGTTTGAAGCGTCTAACTGTTGTCTCCCAGCAATATCCTCTGCTTGCCCTTCCGCCAGTCCAGCAGCCTTGCCCTCTCCGATGCCATCAAGCGGTACATCTCCAACAAATATGACCAGCATCCGGACATGTTCAAGCAGGACCTCCGCGTCATCGATGCCCTGCGGAGGGATGCCGTGCATGTCAGCGAACCCCATACCAGTGGCATCAAGAAGATTGCTGCGTATGCCGCCCAGCTCTCCTGGATGGGCGGGAAGTTCCCCATAGACGTGCGTTGCGCCCATCCCCCCTTGTTCCTTTCTGAGCAGAGCTGATAGACACGGGCAGATTGGTGCGGACTTTACTTGGTATCCGGCGCTGGGTTACAATACGGATCGGCCGATATCCCAAGACAATCTCAAATTCGAACTGGCCAACGTCCTCTACAATCTCGCAGCATTATACTCGCAGCTGGCTATCTCATCCAATCGAAGCACAACAGAGGGATTGAGGTCTGCATGCAACTATTTCTGCCTCGCGGCCGGGGTCCTCTCCCACATCAAAACCGAAATTGTTCCGCAAATGCGCTCAACCCCACCTGAAGACATGGATGAAGCCACTCTCGAGTCTCTCGTGCAATTAATGCTCGCGCAAGGGCAAGAATGCTTCTGGCAGAAAGCCGTGATGGATGGTTACAAAGATGCGTCAATAGCGAAGCTGGCTGCCAAGGTATCGGATTTCTACGGTGCTGCTGGGAATTGGGGAGTGAAGAGCGAGGCTATCAGTTCGGAGTGGATACACCATGCAACGGCCAAGCACCATCACTTTGTTGCTGCCGCACAGTATCGGCAGGCTTGTGATTGTTTGGAAAAGAGAAAGTATGGAGAGGAGATTGCTAGGTTACGGGATAGTATTGTTTGTGTTAACGAAGCTCTGAAGGAGGCAAGATACCTCAATAGAGTAGTATTGGGTGACCTTAATGGGCTGAAGAACAAGGTCACCGAAGATTTGAAAAGGGCGGAGAAGGATAATGACTTGATTTATCTCAGTAAGTCCCATAAACTGCCATCTGGGATCGCCATCTGACATTTTAGACCCCGTCCCACCCAAGTCGGAGCTCAAGATTCTGGAGAGAGCGGAAATGGCTGTTGCAAAGGTGCCAAAAGAAGTGGCTGAACCGGCTGCCTTCATTGGAGACCACGGCGAGTTTGGGCCGCCCCTTTTTGCCAAACTGGTACCCTTCGCGGTTCACGTCGCGGCCAGCATCTACGAGGAGAGACGCGATCGACTTGTCAATACTAACATCATCGATGAGCTCGAAGTCCTCACGACCAAGATCCACGATACCCTTCGATCCCTCAATCTGCCTGGTTCGCTGCAGGCGCTGGAGAAGCCTCTTGGACTGCCTCCGAGTCTCACGTCACACGCCGAAGAGATCCGTCAAGCAGATGCCCTCAGACGACTCGAGAGATCATTTTCCGACACCGCAAGGTTAAAAGCCTCCGACAGGGCAACATTCGAAGAAGGCCGGGAGTTTCTACAGTCTGAGGCATCCGAGAATCAACGCCTACTCACGAAGTATGGGACTGACAGATGGTCACGAGCGGACTCCAAATCCGCAGCCCCAAAATTATACGCTCAGGTTGATGAGATTGACGGATATCTGAAGAGCGCCGCCAACAGTGACGAGATCGTCGTCAGTAAATTCCGAGAATGTGAAGACATGCTTCGCATCCTATCGGGCTCCGACCGGGACATCGGGGAATTCGTCCCAAGTAGTCGTCGTGTTACGATTACCCCGAAACTGGAGGGCGAAGTATCGCGGTTGAGAGACTGCGTTACGGAAGTGAGTCGCTTAGAATCAAGGCGGCGAAGGAAGATCGAAGCGTTGAGGGAAAAGGCCAGAAAGGATGATATTAACGACAGCATCCTATCTGAAGCTGCTCGTCTGGAGAGGGAATTCCCAAGTCAGACGATGGTACCGGCCCATTTTGAAGATTTCTTCGAGAAAAGACTTGAGAAATACGATTCGGATCTCGAGGCCTTGAAATCGGAGGCCGAAGAGCAGGATCGTCTGACGGCGAGATTACAAGAAGCCAACGCCTCCTTTGTGGCAGCTAGGAAAGGGGATACGAGCTCTAGGGAACGAGAACAAGCGTTGCAGAGACTAGAGAATGCGTATTTCAAGTACAAGGAGATAGTGAACAATTTGGAGGTAGGCAGGAAATTCTACAACGATTTAGCGAAGATCGTGGGGAAATTCAGGGATGGCTGTAAGGCCTTCCTATACGAGAGACAAGAGGAAGCTGCGAGATTAGAATCGTACGTCCCCTTTCCATTTTCCGAGACTGTTGCTAACAACACGAACAGTGATCTCTCCATCCCATCGCTCTCCTCCCTTTCCATCGGACACCACGCGCCGCCACCAGCCCAACCGTACCAGAGCTCAAACGACAACTACGCCCCCTCCTCCCACCAACAAACCTACTCCCCCGCCCCCGCCCCCCCAGCAGACAACATACCTCGACCCCTCGTCGACACCCGCCCAGCGCCCCGACCTTACGCCAACCAAGAAATCCCCGCCCCGATCCCCACCCGCAGTCCCGTGGCGCCAATGCAAAGCCCGCCCCCGATGATGCCCACGACCTGGGATCCAGCAATGGGCATCAAGTTCGGAGCGCCCGCGTCGTCGTCCAACCCAGCGCCGAATCCGAATAATCCAAACAGTCGAGCTCCTCAGAACACCACCGGTCAGGCTCCGAATCCGAATCCGAATCCGAATCCGAATCCGAATCAAGGCTGGTCGGGACAGACAGCGGCGACATGGGATCCTAGCAAGGGCTTTAAATTCGGCTGATTGGGAAAGTTTTTGGAGCTGATGGCGTACCTTAGGTATTACATTACATTAAGGTACATTACATAGGTACATACATACATATATCATGAGCTATGAAAGTCTACGATGATGAAAAATTGTTCGTATGAGTAGATAAGCAGATGAGCAGATTTTGAACTGAGCCTTCTTTGCTTGTTGAGCATATCTGAGATTTGATTTCTTCGCCAATGCCATTTCTGAGATCAAGTTCCCCATGTCGAGATGTGAGATGTTGGTGCGCGCTCCATCGACGAGTATGCACATCACATCAACTCAAAAGTAAAATCAAACTAAAATAAAATACCTAAACATGCAGATCCTTCCTACCTCTCTCTACCTAGGTACCTACCTAGTATGAAATTAAACATTTAAAAACATTCATTTATTTCCCATTGTGAGAATTAATCAATCTACAAGAGATCGATCTATCCATCATCCAAGCTCGCATCGCTCTTGAGTCGGAGTTATTAAGTTAGTTAGTTAGATGTCATGTAGAGATATGAGAGAGGAGAGCGTTTCATTTCGTCATATCTACATATCCATAATATCTACAAGATAGAGAGACAGACGAACAGTAACGCCCGATCTTTGTAACCCTCCATTATCTTGTACGTTTATGACTGCCGGATCGACCCAGTGGGGTTGGACTAGGTGCGGATGCTCCCGGGATGCTGGTGGCAATCTTCTCGAAGTAAGCCAGGCGTTGCCTTGTCTCCTCGAGCTCCTGCTTCTTCTCTTCAAGTTCACGCTCGAGTTGCCAGATGCGACGCAGCTGCTTCCCCGCCTCTGCCTCACTAACTTTCTTTGTCAGGTCCTCTAAGGTTTGGGTCATGGTATGGGCCAAATCGATCTTCTCTTTCGTCCTCTCGATGGCAATCTCCCTCATCTGATCAACATCCGTAATGCCCTCGAGGTCCGAAGACAAAAGGCGTGGGTCGACGCAAGACGATGCTCGCATGAAAGGCGCATAGTTATTCTTGTCTTCTTATAACGGATGTCTTAGCAAATAGCAATGTTTGTAACAGGGGTATTGACTTACCATTCACCGAGAAGCCAGTAAGCTCAAGAGCGTTGTCTTGCGTTCGAATATATGTAGTTATGGTTTCAAAGACAGAGGTTGAACCGGCACAAGCTCTTCTAATTGATAGAGTCGTGGTTCTCTCAGGCCCTGCAGGCGTCGCTGCATAGTGGGTTAGCAAATGATAGGGCTTTTGATGTGATACAGTTGACTTACGGTGCATATATTCGGACAGCTCAAGACCTGGAGGCAGCGCCACTTCTCGTGGATCGAAAGACTCGTACCTATATTGTTGAGCCTCGCCGAATTGACCACGCTGGGAATTCTGTTGATCCTCGCTGAATTGATCCTGCTGGAACGTCTTGTGGGCTGCATGTTCATCCTCGCCGATTTGATACTGCTGGGACTGCTTGCGGGCTGGACGTCTGCGCTTCTTTTTCGTGCCAGCTGATGACAAGTCTTAGCAAACAATACCAATCGTTCCATGACCCGACTCACCATTATTTTGCCCGGCTCTCGCGGGCAAGTCATTATCGCGCACTAGAGTTTCGTCAATGAGTGATACTTCTTGCCATGTGATGCTGCTAACTTACAACTATCCCACGTTGGTGCCATTATCATCGGTTCGTCGTCCTGGATTATGATGAAAGAAGATTCTATGCTCGAAACTGAGGGGGCTACTGAATACATTAGCAAAGGGATAGGTTCGAAACGCGTTGTCGACAACCTACCATGATGATTCAGAGGTCCCATATTAGCCACCGGCATCCTAGCTATGGGCCACGGCATTAGCAAATGAATCTCTAGAATAGGATGCCTGACTTACCAGCCGATGCCATCTTTGCCGCCAAGTAAGTGAAAGTAGATTGTCTGAACTTTTCGTCGTTGTTGAATTTTCTTTCGAGAGAGTCAAAGAGCTTAGCCAGTTGCTCGGGGACTTGGTGAGAAGGAGTAGCTGAGTTGTATGCGTCAAGAACAGTTCCCAGGATGGAAGCTAGATGTGCTGGTTGTGCAATCGAAAAAGCAAGGGAGAGTGGGAGTAAGCTTCCAAGATCTGAAAAGGCGAGGGGGTGTGGCAGTTGTCTATTGCGATCGTGCTCGTGCTCGGCGTTACTAGTGCGAATTCGATTCACACTGCCCAAACCTACTGCGGGGGTCGCTGTGGATGTGGGCTGGTTCTTATCGAGACTGAACAAACTTTTTTGAATGCCGAACTCTAGGGCGGCCTTCTTACTGATGTATCTGGGGAGCGTGGTATTGAGAACTTTCTTTCGGCAACGTGACTCCGATTCAGGTGAGTCTCTTTCTACAGATTTCAAGGGGATATTTGGATCCCACTGTAGAGTCTGGGGGGTTGAGGCCTTTGACGACGGTGCATCTGTCGCTGATGACGACGACGAATCCTCCAGTAGAGAAGCCTCTTTGCTTGACCATTCTCGGGGATCGTCCCCAAACAAGCTACCATCGTCCATATCATAGGAGTCTGTTCCAATGGCGTGTCCACTCTCCATAGAGAAATACGTCTCGCCATCTTGGGTTTGGGGTGTCGGTAGGGACTCAGCACCTGCCTCCCTCTGTTGCTTCAGGGATTGAGGGTGCTGGTTGGACGCTGCAATATCAGATTCATGACCGGATCCAGGAGTTGATGCAGGAGTCAGATCCTGGGTGAGCAAAGATTGAGGGCCCTTGTAGGGCGGCAATTGCCCCTGAAATACTTCAGCAAAGTTACGACAAGTGGGCATAATACTCACTGGTCTATTTCCTCCAACAGGTTCACAACTCTTCAACCCAAATTCATCTAACTGGCCTTCATCCCCAACAGATGGAACAGAGATAGCATCTAGGTTAATGGAGCTCCCATTCGGATTAGGTGGCCCAGGAATTGTTGAAGACGAGTGCTCTAACTGTTTAAATGGTTTAGTAATGTTGCTGAATGTACATAGAGCACTTACTGATTCAACTGGTACCTGTAGTGTGCTAGGTTGAGCTCCATGAACGGACTCTCGGGCAGGCTCTTTGGAAAGTTTTCTTCTTTTACTCTGTGGTTCGGGAAGCTGATCCCCAACCTGGAATAGGTCATACAACCATGAATCGTCTTCTTGAGACTCGTTCTCTCGGATATCGAGATCGTACTGCACAGGACCTAAGAGGGCATCGAGATCCACATCGTTCGGAAGCTGGGAAGGGTCGAACACCCACGGATCACTTGACTGCATCTTGGGTTGAAGTGTAAGCCCTTGATCTGTCTGTTGATCTCTGGTGTCTGAGAGCCCGGGAGAAGCATCATTACCTTCTCCTGCAGTCTCCATGCCCGGGTGGGACAGGCTTGGGTCTTGTGCCATCATCCTGTAAATCTGATAAGTTTAGTCTCCAAGCTGCCTCGGCAAGACTATTGGAGTAGAGCTATGTGGAAAACCCACGCAGGTTGATGCGCATCAAGTTTGACTGGAGAAGAAAAGGTTCTTTGTGTAGGTTACCTCTGAGTGCACAGGTGGTGTCCGTGTGGTCTCAACACGATTAATTGATTTTGGTACTTCAGTGACTGACCAGGCAGCAGGTACAAGAAGAAACAAACGGCAGCTCTCTTGATAGAAGAGTCAGTTGCCATCAATTGCCAGAGACAGGAGGTGGGAATAAAAGGCACACGCTCCTGGCACCTGGGACACTTTCGTGTCGTGGACAGGGCAGTGGTTCTGCTCTTGTTCTTGTTGCTAAGGTAGATGGGTCTACAGGGCCGCGCTGGAAATTTTGGACGCGTATGATATTTTAAGGTTTAGCGCAGCCGAGGGCGGTGTAAGGGTTGTGTGTTTCCGGAGAAATAACGGCCCGCCAGATCCAGTCTATCAGACACTGCGTGCACTCTATTAATAAAGTTTGTCCCAGTGTGTAGAAGGAGTGGAGTTGTTAATGACGGAAGGAGACAGATATTCTGGAACTGTCCGCTGGTTCAGGGGAGATGCATTCATCTACGTATTTCTTTGAGATAGGAGAAAGCAACTGGCCAACAAACAAAGCTTTGGGTCTGGTCTTTTGGACTGGGCTATCCTCCAGACGTCTCGAGTTGTCGAGATCACCTCTTAGCAGTTAAGACACCTGACATCCTTATAAGAATACATCTTGCCGACAGAGAGAATATGCGCCCTTCGAAGAATGGATTGCGTGATTGATTGCCGTCATAGGAAGGAGAAGCAGCTGGCCTCATGCACGGTTTTTGTTTCAAGGAAATTGATTTAGATACTGCATTAATAGGCATTCTTTCCTATTTAAATATACAAGAAGTTAAAGTAGTCGCAGAACGGCTGGGGCTAGTCACTTTCCTCGCAGGAAGTCTGTCCCATGGTCCTCAACATGCTAAGGGGGGCTTTTAATCCCTGCCTTCAAAGAGCTACCGGCAAAAGCTAGAGATCAAATATAAATACGTAAACCAAAGGGACTAGAGTAGATGAATAGATCTTTTAAGTAAGTTCAAACTTGATTCACAAGTACATCGTGGAATCCAGGGACGCAGACACTCATATGATGCGAAAGAATCTCGGTGTTCTTTTGTGTAATCAAAAAGGTGTCGAGCCGCCTTCCAATGTCCTGCAGTATGTATTATACGGCATAGGTTATTTAACTTGAAGGTGGAAATGCGGATGGTTCTGTTTGTTTATGCCTTAATTAGGAATTCCCTTCATCGTTACCCCTCGCCCAAATAAGCCTCCACCTAATGATCTGGTATCTACTCTAACTATAGACGCCATGGCTATGCTTAACAAAACGCCGATTTACCCTAGAACATCACAAGGAATTCCTACCAACCTTCACCCCACCCATCATCATCATCGGTAGCTGCAGGTGTAGTATCAATCTTCTTAGCCGTTACCGGCTTTGGCTTCGAAACGGTACCAGCCGTTTTCTTAGCTGCGATGCCACTCACACTCCCAGTTGTAGCCGCCCGTCCAACACTTGCTGGTCGGTTGGTATTCGATGTTGATTTCGCAAGACCTTTTGGCAAAGGTTTCGAGCCGGGTTTCTTTCCGGCCTGCGCTGCCAACCAACCCGCGAAATCTGGCTCGCCATCATCCCCGAATGGGTTCGCTGCAGAAGGCGCTACGGAAGACGCTACTTTAGTAGGTGCTTCACTGGGAGCATCAAAGAAGGAGTCGTCTTGCAAGGGTCCCCACGCATCCATATCATCCTCTCCTGTCATCGAGTCTTGGAAGTAGTCATTTGTATTTGAAGAAGTGGAGGTGCGTGCTGAGGCCGCTGGTGGCGAAGAAACTGCTTGTCGATGCAGTGCGGATGCTGAGGCTGAGGCTGTGCCTGCGGCTGGACGCCGAACATCATTCGCCGTGGGTGCAGAGTTTGGGCGTGCAGCTGGAACGGATGTACCATTTGAGGCGGGTTGTATTTCACCTGCCGCGGTGGAGACCTTATTGGTGAACGAGGAGATTGCCCAGCCGGCCCAAGAGGCGACTTCGTTCGCTTGTGGTGTGCTCATACGAGGGGTGTTTGCTGTTGCATCTGCTGTAGCGGGGGGTGGTAACGCAGTGTCCGCCATAGAGGACGAGAATTTTCGGACGCGGTGAAGATATATATCCATGGTTTTACTAGCCTGGTCTCGAACTAGCTTTTCCTTGTCAATAAGGCATGGACATAGAGATGGTAATATTCGGTTGGCACAGTCCTCTTCGCCGAACGACTCTGATGTTGCTGCTAACGCCATTAACGCTGCGTTTCTAGCATGAACAAAAGGGTCGCGGAGGGATCGAGTGAACGCTGCAATTAAGACCTTCGATCTTGTTCCCACGCTTAGGTTCTTCGAGATTTTCCCTAAGCATATGGTAGTATTTGTACGAATTCCAGGTTGCTCATCATTTGAGGTCTTGGCAAGATATTTCAGAAGCTCTCCGTTGATAGTCCTGTCTGTCAATTTTTCGATGATAGTCAAGACAGACTTGACAGTCTGCTCTCGGACAATAGGTGCCGCATCAGTAAAGCCAGTGACCTGAGGAACCTTGTTAGAGACATATAAAGTGGGCGATATTCATGCTTACCATCTGCGGGAATATCTTGTCGTTGACTGTCTTCTGAGATAGGCGGTCTATCATTAATGGAAGATTATCGAGAAGTGAGACCCGGATGGCTCTATCGGGGCTACTGAAAAGCCTGACAACAGCAGGAGTAACCTTGGCTTCAAATTCCTCGTCCGAGAGCTTTTTACTGATTTTCATCACGACCTCAAATACTTTGGGTCCGCCACCACCGAATTCAACCGATTTAATAAGCTCTGGGAGGATTTTCAGTTTGAAGTAATCCTCTGGGAAATCGTCAGATAATTGACCCAAGTCGCTATGGCGGATTAGCTTATCAATTGCCGTAGAATTTCGTGGCATAGGGGTACACACTTGAGGAATTGTTCTCTTTCTTCCTCCGTTTTCATTCCAAGGCTATCAATACTCTCAGTGAGCTTGATCAGTGGCGTATCGAAAAAACCACCATTCCGGCGTCCTTGCTCAAGAAAATTACCCACACTGAGTCTAGCTTTAGGGTTGCTATTGACCAGTCGCCGATAACTCGAGTGCATACTTGGAGGGATGCCCTTCGTTTGCCCCGCTTGGTCGCTTCCCATGAAATCACCATTGAATACTTCGAATATAAGTGTGCCAAAGTTATAAGCATCGACCGCCGTTAGGGGATGGCGTTTGATTTCATTCCAACCGGATTTTGCAAGCTCAGGGGGGGTGTACCGTCCAGAATCAGGTACAAGGCTGCCATAATTCTAGATAAATATCAGAAAAGCAATATCTTCTCACGGAGATTCCAGACTTACATATATTATGGCATCATCATCCTTCATGTTGCTTAGCACTTCAAACCCGGCCACTTTCCATTCACCGCTTTCACCGGTGTAAATCGACCCGACTCGAAGGGCGCCGTGAACAGAAGATGCTTCATCATTGATGAATTTGATTGTTTGCTGACAGAATGGATCAACCTCTATTCGATTTCTCCAGAAGATAGGACTTACCGCCACACCAAATAGACCCCACTTCGACGTTTCGATACTCATGCTTTTGCGCTTGATATGCCATCTCAATGGTACCACCCTCTCCGTAGCAATATATATAAACGTCTCTGTCTGCATACGTATTCGTAAGCACTTCTGGACATGATAGCTTCGAACTATCCTACCTCGACTGTGTCTAGCACCTTAATCACGCCAGGATGCCGCAAAGTCCGCAGCTTCTTGACAGCATTTCGTGCCAGAGGTAAGAGTCCTTTATTTGAGTTGATATCAAAGGAGAATATACTGCAGTTAGATCCATCATCCTATAACAAATAGTTAGCAAACGCTGGCCAGCCCGCTTCGCGGCGATGTTGGAATGGTTTGTGGTCCTTACACGCTTCTGACCGTTCTGCAGCACCCAAATACCCCCCTCAATGTCTTGGCGATCGCCGAAGGTGTAGGGAAAATTCGGGATGCCTGAAGAAATGGCTGATGCCACAACGCTCTTGAAGAGATTCATTATGTACAATCATAATATCGCGGCCAGGAGACAGGAGCCACGAGCGATGTCAACTGTCCCACGCTAGCCACATTAAGGCCAACAAAGGCGGTCAGACGGGCAGAAATGTGGTCGCGTCTATCAGTCGCGACATCGTCCCGAAGCTCAACCTCACTCATAGTATCACAGCGGCAGGGTTGCTTCCTGAGAACGAGGTAGACATTTATATCGAAAATCAAGATACCACACTGTCTTTACAGAACACCTGGAACCCTCCCCCATCGATCGATTTCTGACTGCCAGCCCCCCGCCTCAGCTTCTAGGAGTTCGATTGGAAATGGGCTGCGAGAGAGATCAACGATCTCTGTGGCTTTGGGGTCACATATGATAATATGAACTCTGGAGCCTCTTCCCCTCGCTTAGCCAGCCTCGGCGGTTTTTTTGGGGCTGGAGCAAACATGGATTCATCAAACAGATTCATTGCCAAGGTATGTTATCCTTCTCTTGCCTCATGTCACCCACTACGTCTATGATGAACATCTGGTAAAAGGTCCGACTGCTTGAAGAACTTTTGCTGGTTTTGATCAAAGCTCAGTGCAACCAGTCATATTGCTGTTGACACTTTCTCCTTCATTCATCTCATTCACATTGGCAATCCCCCAATACAGGCAAGACTGTCCTCACATGAGCCAGTGAGGCTAGCAGTGAATTTGCGGGATACATACTTGTCTTTAGACAGTACCGCTATCAGGAGTTGCTCGTCTTCTTGCTCCAGGACTTGCTACCAAAGGCTGCGGTGCACAATGGGCTCATTCGCGATTTAATGCCACAAATGGAATAAGAGATTGCTTGGAGTTAGTAGAGGCATCTGCTGGGAGGTCTGGGTCTAGATGCGAAGCCGCTCAAGTCTGCAGACTGACGACCATTAAAAACTGAAAAGACCTGAGACGTCTTTTTTTATCTCCCTGGAAATCAATTCATTATTGCTTCAACGTCTGGTCCTGACTAGTCCTACTAGAGCCGTGGATGGAACTTCGATGATTCCAGTTCTATCTCATCAATGTCATCATTCAGCAGAGGAGTCCTCTGTCACGTCTGTAAAGAGGCCGAGACTCTCCCTATAAAGCCGCTGGTACGATGTAAGACTTGCAAAGGAAGCTGGCACCCTTGCTGCCACAAACCAAATATTGATGACCCTAAGTACGTATGCTCATCATTTCCCTCTTCTAATATCATATGGCTGGTCGGTCTGTACTGCATTCGACTGGAGATACGGTTTCTAGATATGCCAGTCCAATTCGTCAGTCCAAGAGGCGTACTGTTATAGTCTTGCTCACTATTCATTAGGAAAGAGGGATTTCAATGTGCAAAGTGCACAAGAAAGATGAACGCGACATCGAATCCCCTCCCTATGCCAGTCCCTTCGACAGGATATACCCTTCCACCTCCTAATCCGAATTCGGAATCTTTAGAAGAACCAAACAAAATAACAGCACGATATGTCTGCCAAAAGCAAGGTTGCAGTGCACCCATCTTTCAGACCGGATCGAATGCTCAAGTTCTTTGCAAACGTCACGAGATGGAAGAGAAACATAGAAGTGCGACTACCCAGAAACAAGGGGGTTTCAGAGTATCAACAGTTTCCAAGCCGTTCAAGAAGAAAAAACTTTATCCTGTCAAGCCGGATGAGGATATGAAAATGGCGAAGAGGAAGCGCTCCTCGTCTGGTAAGAGAAATGTTAGTCACGACGGCACGGAAGTACCCACGATCGATAGACAGCTGCAGCCACGGTTTCAAAATACTGGACTCCAAGGGTTTGGAAATCCTTTAGTGCCTGATGGTCAATCCAATGACCCATCTCAAAGACGAGCTCTCGAAGGAAGAACTAGAAGTATAACCACCCAAAATGTTTTTCCAATCGGGGAGAAACTGTCTCGCGACCTGGGATATACAAACGTGGCTGGATCTCCAATGGAGACTCGGATTTCTAAGTTAGGGACCAGTGATTTGATGTAAGATTTCAGTGGTATAACAATGGATGATTGCTCGCTTGCTAATAACGAGACAGGTATCCTTCAGCTGATAGAACCTTAGTCGAAGGACCTTCGACATTGCCCCAACACGAGCCGCCGCCGCCACCCCGACCCCACGGTCTCACTAGTCCTTTAGAAACCAGGAGGAGTAGTAATGATAGTCCAGGATCGCAGATTGCCCATGAGCTCAGAGCAGCCGTCGATAGGTCACCCGAGAATATGGACCTCGACAACATTCAGGAGCCGACTAAGACCATACGCGTGAGTGAGCTCAACCATCTTCAACGACAAGGGGTGGAAATGAAAAGATCAGAACAATCTGGCTTGAAAATTGCGGAAGCACTTATAGCACCTTACATAGAAAGAGCCCAGAGGCCACATTATCAAACTCCTTACCCCCCAATCCAACCTACTAGTAGGAGAATTCAAGAGGTCGATAGAGAGGTTACCGTACCAAATCAAATTCCTGGACATCCACGCAAGCTTGAGAACACAGCTAAGGGATTCTGGAAGATTGTACGGAACGATATCAGCGAGGAAAATGCGGATGCGACTGGGGCGGCCGAAAAAGCTTTGGGCCAAAACACGGAGACTACTGGAATCCCGAGACTAGAGATGTCCGTTGCTAGCAGCCATTCTCCCGATACTACAATGGCTGAAGGGGTTTCTAGAGCACAGGACGAGGTTCCTACCCCGCTGCGTCCTGGTTCGCCCGCTCGGACGTCAGTCTCTTCTTCCACAACACCTCGTGAGGAGGTCATATTGGGCGACTCGAATAGCGAAGAGATATCTTCGACCACCCTCCTTGAACCACTGGAAGCAAAACGCCAACAGAGAGCAGAAGCATATGATTCCAGCGCTCTCGACTCCTGGCTGAAGACGCAATCCCTCCCTGAACCAGAATATCCACCCACCTCCGAGGAGCTTGCCAAAACCCAGATGTGGGGCCATATCGACCCTCGTATCAAGTGGCCGAAAGACCACTCTGAAAGATGGCTCACTGAAAAGCGGAAAGAGATCGAAGCTCGGGGTGGGCGCAAGGCTAGTTTCGGTAGGCTTCTAACGGCACAGGTTGTGAAGGAGAGGAGGGAAAGGGGCTGGGGTATACACCAAAATAAGGACGTGGTCGAAGATGAGAGATCTGTGGAAGGGGCGCGGGTCTTGGAGGAGCTATTTGGGGTTAGGGGGATCGACAACTTCGAGCCAGGTGTGAGGGATGGGCAGCTGATTATGATGGAGAGGGCTGTCCGTGAGAATGGAAAGAAAAAGAGGAAACCCAGAATTTATGCGGTTGGATGATGGGGAATACCTTTTAAGACATGTGCATGTATGTATGTGGCAGTGGTTTATGTGTGATACCCAGAAAGCGAGCATATAAGATGGCTTATGACACGAATGCCATACATGATGACCCTAGTCTTGACAGCTTATGTTCGTGGCATAAGGACCGCTGTCGACTTGTTTTGGGCAATTCGAGTTTTTCAAAGTTCGGAGCTACATGAACAGTCCCTCCTGCCAGCCAACTCTATCTTCAGGAGAAAAATAATGATCTCTAAGTGTAAACTGATACAATTCCTTCAAGCAGGGTTCCCAATAGCATTGATTACTCAACCTTGGCTGGCTCTGTGGTTTTCTTTACTTCACTTTGCAGGAGCAGCCCCGCATTCTTCATCTTTTGTGGCGAGGCCCGATAGCTCAGTGTCAGATCATGAATCCCTCACACTTGATATCCTTCCGACAAGATGCCAGAAGCCTCTTAGAGGCAAAGAAGATGGACACACAGTAGTAAGACATGACTCGATGCAAAACTTTTGTGCTTTTAATTTCATATCTACGTTTCAATGTCTAAGCTCTCTTCGCCTTAGCTAACAAATTCAACGCGCTTCCCGCCAGAATAAACCCAGACTGGTCCTCGCTCAACGTATGCTTCGTCTTGATAACAATCTCCTCCCCACTCCCGTGTTTCTTAACCAGTAGTTCAACCTCCCCCTTTCCGCCATTCTTCAACATATCGTACAATCCCACTGTGGTAACCTCATCACACGCATCAATCTTCGAGTAATCCTCTCCATTCGCAAATGTCAATGGTACTACACCCTGTTTCTTGAGATTCGTTTCGTGGATTCTGGCGAATGATTTCGCCAAGATGACTCGGCCACCGAGATAACGCGGTTGGAGGGCAGCGTGTTCGCGCGCTGACCCTTCGCCGTAGTTATCTTCTGCCACAACAAGCCATTCCAATCCTTGGTCTTTCCATTTCTGCGCCAATTCAGGGATACCGGATTTGCTGCCATCGACATCGTATGCTACGTTCGTCTCACCCGTCGCGGCGTTCACGGCACCGATGAGCGTGTTGGCACTGATATTGGGGAGGTGGCCTTTGTATTTGAGCCAGGGTCCGGCAGCAGAGATGGTGTCAGTGGTGCATTTGCCAGTTACTTTGTAGAGGACGCGAAGACCCTTAAGATCGTGGTCCGGGAAGGGGGCGAAAGGCTCCAGGAGGGCTAGGCGGTCGGACGTGGGCGAAACGACAACTTTGGTTGAAGGGGATGGGGCTGCAGATGACGGGAGGAAGGCAGGGTTTCCTTCTTCGAAACCGGACGCAGGGAGTTCAGCACCAGAGGGAGGCGAAAAGCGGAATTCGGCGCCAGAGGGGGTGATGATACTATCTGTTAAAGGGTTGAAGGTTGTACTTCCTGCGTAGGCCATCGCTGTGACGATCTCTGGAGACGCAAGGAAGTTCATAGTATCTGGATTGCCATCGTTTCGTCCTCGGAAGTTGCGGTTGTAAGATGTGAAAATTGCATTCGAATCGCCTTTCGAGACTCCGTCGGTTCGCTTCCATTGTCCGATGCATGGTCCACACGCATTTGCAAGGACGACCCCACCAGCTTCTTCAAAAGTAGATAAAGTTGAATCTCGCTCGAGGGTAGCCCGGATTTGCTCACTACCGGGGGTTACAAAAAAGTCGACAGCCGGCTTCAGACCAGCAGCTGAGGCTTGCTTGACAAGGTCCTCTGCACGAGCCATATCTTGGTATGAGCTGTTGGTGCAGCTACCAATCAAACCAGCTGAGACCGATTCTGGCCAGTTATTTTCCTTGACAGCTTTGGAGAATTTTGAAAGCGGGGTAGATAGATCAGGTGTAAATGGTCCATTGATATGGGGTTCAAGAGTGGAGAGATCAATCGTGATGAGTTCGTCGTACTCTGCACCATCATCAGATCGTAGAAGATTGTTCAGAGACGGCGACGAGGCAATGGTTTGAGCTTGCAAAGCAATTGAAGATCGGTGAGTCGATTCTAGATATGGAATATGGCGAGTCGAGAATGGGAAGAGAGATGTAGTGGCGCCTACCTCGGCACCCATATTGCAGATAGTAGCCATTCCGGTGCAGCTCAAAGAGTCGACTCCAGGACCATGATATTCGATGATAAAGCCAGTTCCGCCTCGAACAGTTAGTTTACCTGCGAGGGCAAGAATAACATCTTTTGGAGAAGTCCAACCACTCAGTTGACCCTCGAGTCGGACTCCGAGAATTTTCGGGGCTTTAAGCTCCCATGGCGCATCAACAAGAGCATCAACTGCATCGGCTCCTCCCACACCAATTGCTATAGCTCCTAATCCTCCTGCGTTTGGTGTGTGACTGTCCGTGCCCAGCATCATTAATCCAGGCGCAGCGTAATTCTCCAATACCGTCTGGTGGATAATGCCTGCTCCTGGTGGCCAGAATTCAATTCCATATTTCTTTGCTGCGGACTCCAAAAAATCAAAAACTTCCTTGTTGCCTTTGATCGATTCTGGGAGATCAACATCTGCTCCTCTCTCTCCAACAATCATGTGGTCGCAATGTATGCTCGCTGGCACCGCAGTCGATGGCAAATTGCATGTCATGAATTGAAGAAGTGCCATTTGAGCAGAGGCATCTTGCATGGCAACCCTATCCGGTTTGAGCTTCAGATTCGCATTTCCTCTGATATTACGTCCATTGTCGGTATTCGAAAGGAGTGCTTCCTCCGGGTTGTCAAGATGTGAATACAGAATCTTTTCCGCCAATGTAAGTCGTCTTGAGGATCCCAATACTCGCCGAACCTCGTGGAGTCTCTTAAGAAGCTTGGGATATGGCGGAGTTCGAGATGCGATGTCTGGCTTGTAGGACGAAGTGTTCGAAGTGGCAGTCGCAAGATTTCGCCCCCCGCACCGTCTGAGCAAGACTGATGGGGTCGAACTCTATTCCGTGAGGTCAATTGACTGCTAAATAGAGACTATAAAGATCGCCTACCTTCAGAGTAGCCCTACTACACCCAAGAAGCCCTGCCCCCATGATTGTAGAGCTATTCGGACGATTAAGACTTCGAGAAGAGAAAGTCTGGAATTGCGGTTTCGGGCAAAGTATTTTGAGTTTGTCGGCATAGAATCAGCACGACGCCGATTGGCTGAGGAGCGTGTGTGCACGGTCCAGGTACGCACGGACCACATGCAGACAACAAGAAGAGTTAATAGTTGCCCTTGCTCCATCATTAACATTGACAACAACAACAATAACAACCATCACCACGAAGAAAGACGGCTTCAGCTCCAGAAACACCAAGAAGTGTCCTTACTAAAGCAACCCCAAGGCCTCCCAAAACACGAACAGTTTTGCAGCCCTATGCTCAGGGGACCCTGAGAGTAACGAGCGGCGCGCCTGCCTGCAGAACAACACTGGTTTGGGCCTCGGCATGAAGGCGGGCTGCATCGTGGGGATCCTGCGGAGACTGAATTGAGAATCATAGTGTATAGAGCCCCCTGCTCTCTCTTCCATTTTCCATCTTTCCTCTTCGTTATCTCCTTCTTTCCTAGGCCATTCCGGGACTCTTTTCTGGGATTCTCATCATCATAGGAGAGGAAGGACCAAGTAGAGCTTCATGTATTACCCAGTATGAACGAATAGGGTCATGAGACTATGTAGCCCTGGTCATATCTTCTGTGTACCCTTCTCAGCTCTGTATAGCGGCATCCATTCTCACTGTAGTGTAGTGTTAGATGATGGCTGAGCTTTGAAGAGGCATACTGCTTCGATATCGGCCACGTCGCTTTCTTATTCAGTCCTAGAAAATACCTCCTGTCTCTTCCTCTTCCGTTTGGGTACCATTCCTCTAAGATAAGATGTCCATGCTTCTAGCTATCCGCTTGCGGGAAAAAAACCGGTCGGCGGGGGAGTAAAGACGCCAAGAGGCATCTTGCAGGTAGTCAGCCGCCCAACCCAACTATAGAAAAGCCGCGGTTTGCTTCCGGTTTTGATGCTCTCCATGCTCTTGTACGGTTTGCAACCCTCTGCAATGGATCAATAATCTCCCTCCGACACCAAAGCCATGCTTCCCTTTGTATTCTGTCCTTGACCAGGGCTTCGCAGTGTTCTTTCATCGTCACTTGTGAGCCGAGACACCCCTTTTTTCATCAAGAGGAGACTGTTGAGCACACAAGTTAGTATCCAACTCTTGATAAAGGACAAATGGGAGGCCAATAACTTTTCTAAGAGAGTCTTTCTTGGGGCGAGCATAGCAACCTAAAACCTGGGTATCCACACCGAGTAGAACCACAGGGAGAGGGGGATATGAACCAGCGAGCTCCTTAAGAAATATCACGAGAAAATCCGTGAAGTCCAAATGAATCCAGCGAAGCCTTTCTATAGTACTGAAAGCCATGCATAAGGAGCATTCATGCTTGGGAAGAGGCTTCAGGGGGTTGGAGGTTTCTTTTTCTCTCGGTAGGGTTGGTTTCTTTGGCCACCGGTGCCGCAACATCTTCCTTCCGCTACCCAGCGTACCAGCTTGCCCGGGTCTTCTTCCCAGAAACTTTTGTCTTCCACCTCGATTCCTCTGCACCAGCAGAACCGCATTCATCTTCTCAGTATCAACCCGAACTCATTTTTCTTCCTCCATATCCTGTCACCACGCTCCAGCTTCGTCGACGCCTGCCTTGGGGCAGGCAATCCAGTACTGGAGCGTGTCCAGATCCCCAGGTAGGAGCAGATTCTTCACAACGTCAACTTCTATTCTTCCATCTTGCACTGCTACCTCCTCGTCACGGCTTTCTGCTCTCTCGTCGTCATTATTGATCTATCCTTACTTTCAGATCTCCGATGGTCATTTTGACGAAGCACTGTACTAGTGTTTACTTTGACACCCAAACAGGCTTACGGGTTGTTTACTTTGTCTGTCATCATCATTGCTGTCTCTACACCTATATGTGTAATACTTGCTTTCCCCTCTGACAAAATATTCAGTTCTCTGGCCCTCTTTGTCTTTGTTGGAGCTCTCTCGACCTGTTCCCCAGTTGCGATGATAGCGGTGCTCTTTGCTTTCTCTTTACCTCCAGTCTACTACTCTGTTTTCAATTGGATTTCCTTACGCTCATGTCTTGACGTTGCTCCATTCCCCACCAGGATTCTAACTCATGTTAAACAACTTACTTAGTTCAAGCCAACAAGTGATTGACTCTCCCACTTCTAGGTCAGACGCGTATTTCAGCACAGATGGCTCAAGGCAAAGAAAATGTAGCCATGGTTCAGGCTGCAATGATGGTATGTATCACGCTGCCTGCTGAACACTCTTGAGCTTCGTATTAATCCAGCCACAGGAGGAGCTTGGCATTGGCCGAAAGGACACTCTGTGAGCATCATATTCTTTGTCGGGATTTACGCGTTGCGCGGCTTTTCCCTAGGCCCGCCTTGCAACTGAGATACAAATCTATGATACCCTTTTTGCTAAGTCAAGTCTTACTGACTCTGGATCTCGTAGGCCACTGGAAGACAGAGGTTATCGTTACGATGATCATCTCCCAAGCCTGCCCGTTCCTCGGGCTAGTGGTATCAAGAACCCCTGGCAAGGTATATTTCTAGAGCGCTCGATACTACTTTAACTAACTTGGTTACTAGGTGCGGTTTTCAACGATGTCGATGACGCAGAGCTCGAGCTTGACAGTATTGCGGATGGCCAGCTATACCGGATGCGGCGAGCATACAACAATCCCACCGGTCGAGGTACCTTGCCGTTAAGTACTCCTAGCCGAGGGCGTGGAGCCGGTCAATTTGGTAGAGGTTCTGGAGCAGGTAGGGACAACAGGGCGGGTAGAGGCGGCTATTCTTCCTCGCAGCATCGAGGCAACCCCTCTCCCAGAGGTGGTCACATAGCTACTGGTGTGCGGGCAGCTCGTGGGACGAGTAGACCATATCCCACCTCACCAAGGTACTTTTCGTCTCGAAAGCTTAATCACCTTGTCATTTGCTTACTTAAAGCTAGTCGTGATCAGCCATCACGGAACCGCAACAACCTGTCCTATACTGATAAGCGTACCCTAATGAAGAATACCATCAACCAACTTCGCGATGGTCCAAAGACAGTTGCCGCTCCCACCTCAAGCAGGCCAGTCCCTTCTAATTACCACACAAAGCTCGTTACTACAGATGAGTTTTATTCCCACGTTGGTATCGCTGCCGGGGTTATCATCACAAATCAAAGCCTACCTTCTGTCCCTGCTCCAAGTACTTTTGGATTGAAAGGGCTGGAAGGCTCATGCTGGGCAGATCAGGATGCACCACCTACTACGGAAATCCCAGCCAACGATCAGATATTACCTCAAAAATATGACATCGCAACCAGCATTATTGATTTGGTAGAGTCCACTGAAGCTACGCAGTTGCTCGTCGACTTCAGCACCCCTGATGTAGCAGCATCCACTGAAGGCACTCAGCTACTCATCGACTTTAACGCCCCTGATGTAACAGCATCTGCGGAGAGCATGCAGTTTCTCGCCGAATTAAGCGCCGACTCTTCATCGACAACGCAAGCCCTCATGGGTCTAATGCTCGATGATGAAGGCATTGAGCGTTCCCTTGAGCACTCAACTCAGTATCGCAGGGTCTACTCCATTACAGAACTTAAGGATCTCCGAAGCCTCGCTCTGACAATTGAAAGAAGTCTCATATCTAACGCAGAGATGTATCCAAAGATGGCTCAACGTTCACGTTCTTCCAGCTCGGGTCCTAATATGTTTGCATCGTTCGTTTCCTCTTTAGGCGCAGAAGTTGCGGCTATATCGTCTCCAGCTCATAATACAAGTCAAGTGCCCAATATGCCGACCATTGGCCCTTCTACTTCTGAGTATGAGGCATCAGCTGAATATGAGTATATTTCTCCCAGGGGCGCTCATCATCGTCATCTAGTTGCGGAGTCCAAATCAAGTGTTACGCCAATAGATCCAGCAACTGTGGAAATTGCCGCCGGGAAGGACCAGAATGACCCTGTGTTCGGGGTATTGCCCTCCGACTTCGAACCTGAGAGTGAAAAATCTCTTGAATCCGATCACATTTATATCACTGGCAAGCAGGCCACAACTGTTGTGTCAAATGATACTATCAAGACTATCAAGCCAACTGAACCATCTGGCCCTCATGCCGCGGGAGTTACCGAAACTGAAAAGCCCTTCACTCAATCCACAGGTCGACACCACCCATCGGAGTCGTTAGATTCTGATCTTTTAACGAAGATGAAAGGATTGAAGCTTGAAAATACGCCTGCCAAATCAGTATCGTCTTCGAACTCTGCTATAGCCGCCACCCAGAGTCAACGCATCGCACCTACTCAGCCCCTTTCGGATAAGACAAACCCGTTATTAACAAGTTTGGAAATCAGCAATCTTGATCTCAAAGGGGCGCCCGGTTTGGCTGCATCCAAGTGGGCCAAGGCCACCATTGATTCTCCGTCGCACTCGGGCTATTTTCCAACGGGCACTCCTCGAAATTCCACACCTGTTTACACGCCTGTTTACACCACAGTCCTGGTCGTAGACCCCATTACTGGAGAGCAGAAAGAAGTTACGGGAATACTAAAGAGTGGCCCGACCTCCCCAGCAACGGTTATCACGCATGCGCCAGCTACACCTTTACCTCTGAATTCCCCCAGATATGAGTCCTTTGTCCTCTCTCCTCCTACCACGGGAATTTCTTCCTTTCCAACTCGACCATATGTACAGGGGCGTTATGCCCTCGATGCCTCCTCCAGCATTGGGGGGGTGTACAATCCTAACGCTCCTGTATTCAAACCAACTGCTCGCAGTCTTGGAGAAGTGCATGGCCATGGTGGAAGTCTCTCGAATTCGAAATCTAGACAAGCACTCTCGCCTACTCGCCGTGAGAATGCACAGCTGTGATGGATTTGCACGGCTTTGCAGCGATCTTGCGCTATTTCATGCAGGCGTTCTGGGACGCAAAATGGATAGGGCCTTCTTTTTTCGATCTCACAGTTTAGAGATACTGGGCGGTAGAGTAAGTATCTGATTGTTCTGCGATCGTACTGTATGTGCATTTATTGGGAAGGCTCACAAAAGTTCGCTAAAGCAATCGATTCTGTCATGGCCATGGCAAGGTTGTCTTCTGTAGTCTGAATTAGACGTAGATGAATAATCCAATTAGCTTTACAAAATTCCGTTCTGGGACTTGGCGGAGGGACAGTGAGTTATGCGCATGCTCTGTCTGTATCTATTTCTGATTTGACTCCCTTGTCATCTACACAATCCCTTGAATTCTAGGCGGAACACAGCCGTAACTTGTTTGTTAGGGCTCGTGAGGGGTCACAAGACAAGGTATAGATAGGACGACCTATACTGGGGCAGCTGAGCATCGTGATCCAACAGCTTATTCGCTTCGAAGGCGGTTTCTATGGAGATGTCCAGCTCAAATAATAATTTCTACTGAGTACGGGAAAATGGGACCAAACCATAGCGTACCTTAGAGAATCGCCAAAACGTAATACCCTAGCATAGCTGAAAGGGACGGTAGGCGGGGGAAGAAGCTGGTCGTGAGGGCGCTCTTCCCTCGAGCGTCGAAGCTGGGCTACGTCAACACAGTAATAACCAGGAGACATTGTAACCCTCAAGAAGCTACCGGCCTCCTTTGTGTTGTAGAAGTGCCGCGAAGAGAATTCGCAGATATGAGGACCTTCTATTATTTTCCAGTAGTAGCTTGTACAGTGTGTACAGCACCCCGACAACACAGAACCCTGTACAGTATTGGTGCATTTTAGCGAAAAGGAGCTAGAATTAGCGGCCGCCCTCTCGACGTCGACGCAACTTTCTCGACCTCCCCATCAAGTCTACTTTGTCACCTTTGATTCCTCCCTCACCAGTCGTACAGATAAGGTCAACAAGGACAAGTCTGGTGTCATCAGCTGCTGAGCACCGTCGGCGACCATGAACATTTTGCAAATACCTGCGCATCCGACCTTTTTCCAGCACCATCAAGCCCCTCATTACAACTCCAGTACGGGACCCCTTCCTTCGTTGCTTACAACACCGATGTCTAACTTCTGCTTTGCTACAGTCTCTCCCCAGCATACGATGAGTGTGAGAAAGCGCAAGGCGGACGATGATGGGGTTGACGAAAACATGCTCTCACCGCACGGTTCACCTGCAACTGCTCCCCGTGCTATTGCTCGACCATCGAAGAAAGTACGAGGCAATGAAGTTTCCGGACGACCACTAGCCCTCCCGCGACTCCTGGAAACACTTGATGCCCAGTCCCTAAGATCGGTTCTTCAGCAAATATGTGAACGCCATCCAGACATCGGTGCCGAGGTGGTTGCGTCAGCTCCCAGGCCTTCTGTAGCAGCAGCTGTCGGTGTTTTGGCCCAGTATCAAGAGAAGCTCCGAGACGCATTTCCATTTGGTGGAAATTCTGGTTCAGATTACGCTTATAACCGGGTGAAGCAAGCTCTGATGGATCTGATCGATGCTCTCGCCGAATATACACCTCATTACCTTCCTCCCAACGAAACCCAAACTACTACGTCTCTCAGCTTCCTTGACAGTGCTACGAAAGTTGTTCACGACCTCCCCGAATGGGACAGTCAGTCTCACAAGCACCACAAAGATAATGCATATGACGAAATTTCGAGAGCCTGGGCGTTGGTCATTACCGAGGCATCGAAAAGAGGAGGCGGCTTCCAGCTGCATTCTGGTGGATGGGATCAGATGTTAATCAAACATAATGAGCGGAGTGAAGGACGAATGCAACTTGCTGTGAATGCACTAGGATCTAACCTGGACTGGATGGGTGGAAATGCGAGCATGGGCTCAGGCGATCCGGGATCTATTCGGAACCAACTATTCTCAGGAACGTATGGCACAAATCTGCCTGTCCGTGTCGGACTCTGGTAGACATCTCTAAGGTTTTGTAACCAGAAAGATGATATCATCGATCCATCCACGACGTACATATCACGAGAAGAGAGAAGATTGTCAGTCATATGGGGGCTTTTTGAGCAGTTTAGAAGGCAGTTTACACATCCGGCGTCTTGTATTTTCTTTTTTTTTACTTTTACTGTGGTATCTTACCATCATGGTAGCACACTGACGAAGCTTACGACGATTCTCTTTCATTGATTCTCACGGTGGTTTTGAACATGCATTTGGAGTTGGGCCCTGGAGGTTGATAATGCATTTGGGGTAACTGCATCGCAGCAACAATGCTAGGCGTACACTCTTTCATAATCGTCGAGTATTCTAGAGGGGAAGCCAGGAGAACGAATCATATCAAACACTTGAATAATGATGCATTTGTCGATATATAATGGAAACAAAACCCTTGATCGACTCAACTCTGGATTTCTACTCGCCGAGATTGTCTGAGTACCTGTATCTTCTTCTGTTTGAAAAATTCTAAGTAGTTTTAACCGAGTGAACCGAGTGCAACAAATTGTTTAAGCATCTAAGGTAGATTTAAATGAAGTCTTTACTTGGGTTGCGAGCCGTACTTGCGAGGCGGGGACGACGAACTGTCACGTGACATTAATTCCGATTCGTGGGATTTTCGTGATCCTGCGCGTTAGCCAACTAGGTACCGATAGACGCGACTGACGACGACAACATCAACAGATCTATTGATGAAAAGCTCCAGGGACCAATCAATTGCTGAGCTTTCATTGTCAAAATGCCTGCGTACGTTTATGTCTACTTCCCTGCAGTGCGCCTGCTAATTTTCCAGGCCTGGCGAGCAACATCTCAACTTGGGCGGCAGAACCATAATAAACCCCTTCGAAGAGGTGAGGCCAAGAGTCTCAGAGTATACAGCCCAAGAAATTGCCACTCTCCAGAGCCGACTGGAGAAGCAACTCGGACCCGAATACATATCTTCGCGAGCAGGACCTTCTGGCCAAAAGGTCCATTACTTAGCTGCTGAGAAGTGCATCCAACTTGCCAATGAAGTCTTTGGTTTCAATGGCTGGTCTTCCCAGATCATGGACGTGCAAGTCGACTTTGTCGATGAGCATCCACAGACTCTCAAAATCACACTGGGCCTCTCAGTCATTGTCCGCGTAACTTTGAAGGATGGGACGTTCCACGAAGATATCGGTTATGGACATATTGAAAATTGCAAGGGAAAGGCGGCGGCGTTCGAGAAAGCTAAGAAGGAGGGGACTACGGACGCTTTAAAGAGGGCGCTGAAGAATTTTGGAAACGTGTTGGGCAATTGTATCTATGACAAGGAGTATCTGGCCAAGGTTACGAAGATTAAGGTGGAGAAACCGAGGTGGGATGTAGCAAACTTGCATAGGCATTCCGACCATATGCCCATTAAGAAGGAGCAGCAGCCGGAGGGCCAGAAAGTAGGGGAGAAAGAGGGGAAGGGTGCTGATGGGGCGAACAGGAGTGAGCTTTCTGGAGATGCTATCAACGTGGAAGCTGACGATGCTGCAGCAACTGAGGATATGTTGGAGGATGAGTTTGGAGGTACGTCTCTCGATTCTTCTGATCAAGGCCTTGCTAATGGTATCTAGATTTTGATGAAGCAGATTTTAGTGTCCCAGATCCAGACTCACATCCGGATGAAATAGTTCTTCCAGCACCACGAGAAGCCTCACATAATTCTAACAATATTCGAAACGGCAATAATACTTCAAGGCCTGCTCCAAATAGGCCACCTCCAAATCATGATAGACCTCCCGTCAATCATCAACCACCAATGCGGCCGCCAAATGGCGTGCCAAACAGCAATGGAGCCAATATACCACAACCACAGACTCCCAATAGTAGGTTCACAAGATCTACAAGCGGAGCTGGCCAAGCCACGCGCCCCCCACAAGATGCCCCCCGACCACCTCAACCCAATCAGCCCATAGTAGCAGGCCGAGTTCTCAATCAACCGAGTCGGACCGGTCCCCCTTCTGCCCCGGTGTCCCCTTCACGGCTTAACAAACCCTCCAGCTCCGACGACAGCGACAGTACCAATGTCCAACTACAAGGACCTGGCTTCTTTTCCGCGCGTGCAGCTGCTATGGTTCCAGAGTCCGCTACCGGGGATCCTTTACCCCCTTCACATATCTCGAACCTACCAGCATTCAACCCGCACCTCGAATCGCCATCCATACGAAAAACGCCTGGTATCGACCATAAGAGCTCGAAACCTTTAACCAAAGACTTGAAACATGTACCCGGTTCTTCTCAGGCCATGGCTCCTGGCCCAGGAGGCGTAGCTGGAATGGGAAGGGGAAATGTGATGAATCCGCAAATGGACGCAGCGAGACGGATTGGTGTCCCAGGGGCTGGTTTGCCTAGTCCATTACAGAATAGGGGGAGCTATAAGCCTCCTACTATGAAAAGACCTATTGAGAGTGGAGGCGGGGGAAATGCCAACAGAGCGCCGTTGGGGGATTTGCCTGCCAATGGACCGATTGGTGCCGGCGATGGAGGAGGGGGGGATGTCAAGAGACAGAGATTGAATGGTTAGTTGTGGAGAAGATAAGAGTCGGGTCATATGAGAACAGGGATTCTGGAGCGGAGTTTCGGAGTGTTATTGTTACCAGATTGTCCGCTTGGAATGGGGAGGGGAGTCTGGGGCGTCAGAAGGGAAGAAGGGAAGGAATTATGTCCCAGCATCATGGCTTTGGAATTACCTCTTATGCATCAGTAGCTTGGCGGGTTGGAATGATAGATTGCACATTTGCTCAGTCCAAGGCACCTCGATATAACCCATATGCTTCTGAAAGCCGTATGACCTGCGTTATTATGACTGACCTTTGAGATCAATGAGATCTAGGGGCATTCAAGATGCCCATCATCGAGTACCCGAAAACAACGGGATTGCTTACAGAAGTTACCAGTATCACACATAGTAGCGATCAGAGATAGAGCCCCAACGGTCCTTAATAGTCCTTGCTTATCTATGAGGCTACCAGCCAAGCGTTGCACCTGGGGACATAAAACCGTGTCTATGCATCGGGAAGTACAGCGGGAATTGTTTAGTCGAAGAGACCGAAGCCCATGTCCTCGTCTGACTCCTCCTTGGCCTCCTCCTTCTCTTCCTTCTTCTCCTCCGCAGCAGCCTCGGCACCGCCAGCGGCGGCAGCACCACCAGCAGCTGGGGCAGCAGCAGCACCACCACCGGATCCGACGTTCAACAGAAGATCCTTGACATCCTTGCCCTCGAGAGCCTACGGGGTCCAAAATATCAGCATTGAACCCATGTGTTCATTTAGGTGGGTGAATCTCGTACCTTGGCGAAGAGGGAAGTCCAGATGGGCTCAACGTCCTCAACACCAGCAGCCTTGATCAAGGTCTGGAGCTTGTCGGCCTAGTCATACAGTCAGCATCTTGCCCGAATTCGACGTCTTTCCTGGATCCTGGATCTCGAAAGGAGGGGGTCCGTACAGTGATGTCGACGTTGTCATCCGCGAGGATGAGGGCGGCGTAAGAGACTGCGAGTTCGGCGGTAGACATCTTGAAGATGAGGTTTTTTGTTCTGGAGAACGATGTCAGTAACAACCCTAGGCAGAATGTGTTTTGCGGGCGGATATACATTTGGGATATTCAGGAACAGGAGATTCAATCACTTTAACCGCGAATTGGGCGGAGACTGAAACGTCGAGTTCGTGGAGTTGTAGAGTAATTCGAAGTAGACGTGAGGTGAGAAATTGGTCGCGATGCTCTCGAGAAAGTTGCCGATGCAGGAAAGCCCTAATTCAGAGTGCGTCCGCGGATCATGGAAATGGTGTCTGATTGGCAGTGGTAGCGAGCGCACGAGCCAGCATTGGCTAATCACTTTTCGGAAAGGCGCATCTCATGTAAGGAGGGCCAAAAGTTTAACATACCCTGCACTGGTATCAGATAGTTTAACGTACCCTACGCAACGCCGTTTGAACACAGCCAATAGGTAAGTAGGATTTAGGGGCTTTAGCCAGTACCTATAGGTACTGTCTATAGCGCACACTCTCACTATTACTGTCGCTATTACTGTCGCTATTACTGTCGCTATTACTGTCGCTATTACTGTCGCTATTACTGTCGCTATTACTGTCGCTATTACTGTCGCTATTACTGTCGCTATTACTGTCGCTATTACTGTCGCTATTACTGTCGCTCTTACTGTCGCTCTTACTGTCGCTGTCGCTGTGTTAAAACGGCGTTGCGCAGGGTACGTCAAACTATTAGATATCAGGGCAGGGTATGTTAAACTTTCGGCCGGTACCTAGGTATCTAAGGTATAAATCCTTGGGCCTTCCAAATATCCTCTGCCAGACTTTCAAGATCTTGTGGAGTAATATCAATGTCATGTTCCAAAGGATTTGCCGGGTCTGCAGGTCGTAGTAAAAGGTTTCTGAAAGAAAGAATTAAATTCGCATTGGCGGTAGTTGTACCATTTAAACGCGATATGTCGACTTGCAAAACCTTTGCCGCAGTGGCCCGATATGCTCGAGTTTTTCGAGGAGGTGATTGAGAAACTCTTTCCCATACCTCAATACTGATCTTAGGGGAGCGTTGATCGATGTCCATAGCGATAGCAAGCCGAACAGAGGAGTCTTTCGCCTCGATCCATCGCCTTGAATCAGCTTCCATTCTGCGAGCTGATTCGGAGAGCCCCACCTCTAGAACAGCACTCAAGACGAGTGGTGATCCAAGAAGGGAAGCTGGTCCCCAAGAACTATCCGGCTCCTTGACAAAATCCCCAAAGATCCGCCTGGCAGATCCACGAGGTTCTAGGCTGTTAGGTAGGCCCATCTGGCCTAGTTTATCATACAAAAGTAACTCAAAGAGCCTATTTGCCATCTCATGAGCCTCAGATGCTACGATCTTTATCACAAGGGCTTTTGTCTGTAAATCGTAGGAAATCCGAGAACCCTTGACAATCCGATCTTCATCAAGTTGTTGAATGACCTCATATGGCACATTTGAATAGATTAAAAACTGGTTCTCAGTTTTGTTCTGGTAGAGATTTTGTTGCCGTTCTCTCATTTGCTCGTGAATGTGAATATTGGCAAAGCCATGGCTGATGCTTTCTTCTGGGAGTCCTTCCAGAAAGCCTGCAGATGGAACCGAAGTAATCTCTCTGGAAGACTTGGAGCCAGAAGCAGATGATGGAGACATCTTCATACTGATTAAACTTCCTTGTGGAGCAATTACTGTAGCTGTTTTGTTGCATTTATTGGAATATTCGTAAAGGTAGGTACTTACTTATCTATACAGGTAGCAGATGCAAGTAATAAATACCCCGATACCTTCGTGAGGCAGTCACCACTTTATTTAGACTAATTGGGAAGGCGGTGAGCGTTTCGCCAGGATTCATTTTTTGTATTACTGTAATCGCCGGTTCGCTTATCGCGTCACCAGTTATCGCTGCGGCGAACTGTTGCGGAGTATCATGTTGACATCTTGTAAAGATACCTCTTCCCCGCCATCGGCAGAACCCCGAATCCCTCAACAACAACTCCCTCCCTCTTGCAACTCCACCCATCCAGTCAACATCGCATAAGGAAAAGGTCAAACATCGGCATTATGGCTGATACCCCTTCCCTTCCGCCGCCCCTCGACCCCCGCGAACACTCCATCCTGGGGACGCTCCAGCAAATACGAGATGAATTGACCCTCCTTAAACAAGACAGGACAACCTATGTCAAGTCCACAGATGTTATGATACTTTACGACAGAGTGATGGAGCAGGTCAAATTATTGAATGACATCCGATCCGAGAAGCCGGACCAGGAGACTCAAGGTCGGTGCTTCCCTCAGGTATACAAGTAAACCATTCCTAACAGCAGAACTGCAGTGGACCGGGTTTTGGATAGTTGTTTCCAACTGATCTCCTTGTTCTTTATGACCATTGGCAGAAACAACGAAGCGCCAGCCGCATACGCCTTGACTTCTACCATAAAACGTCTACTGGACCATTTGACTGAGGTGGGCTTGTATTCGGCGAAGGATTTGGACCATATTTCTGCTACCCTGCAAAATCTCAGACAAATTGTACAAAAAGCCGAAGCTTCCTACTCCCCGAAACTCATCACTCTCCTTTCGAACCGACTCGATGTATGCCAAGGGCTCCTCACAAATCTCCTGTCAAGGCTTGGAAGACTCTCTCATGATCTCCCTGCAATACACGAAAAGTTGATCTCAATACTGCGGTCGATATCCCTTGCAAATACGAGGTCGAAGGTATGCGTCATTAAGCTCAAAGAGGGCCGTAGTTCGGTTTCGTTTACAGGATTGGGGCTAATATTTGTTTTTGATAGTTTTCAAGTTCTGAAGTTCAGAAACTTCAAGACCAGCTAAAAGAGATAGATGCGCAAAGGGTTGATAATAAATTTGTGACGGTCAGTGGCGAGGTTCCTGCAGGCAATGATGAAGTCTGCGAACTGTTGGAGAGATGCCTAGCATGGTCTAATATCGTTCTGAGTCGGTCAGTAGCTTCATTGCCTCGAGCAACAGTTCGGTTACTAATCTGAGTAGAAAAGGAGAGTTTCCTGAAGCTTTCCTGCCAACATATCAAGTCTTGGTCAATATTCGAAATAAGCTTGAAAAACTGTCCTTGACGCAAGCGTGGTCTTTGCGGGAGACAGACCTGTACGATTATCAACGGCAATTAGATAGGATTGATGAGAGCCGCGTTGATGGCAACTTCGTCGATTCTGAAGGGAACTTTGCAGAGCTCTATGTTCAAAGGGTTTGTCCTCGTCCTCTTTGCTGAGTGCGCCACAATTCATGCTGATGGTTTAGACGCTGCTCTACTTAATCAGGCGAAGCTATGGGTATATCTATTATCTCATGGTCTCCTCAGAACCGGTTTCAGAGGCGCTATTACCCGTGTATAATCAGCTCCAAACACTAAGACGGTGTCTCATTGAGGTTAAGAACTCTGGGGGAGTCAGCTCACCGAGAGAGCTCTATCCATATAGCATGAAGGTAAGAGCTCTTTCTCCAGCTTAGCGCCATTTCAACATTTGATATGCTGATCATGACTTAGCTGAATTCGATCGACAACATGCGGAAAGATGGAAAGTTCATGGTTGGAGAGGAAATTCCGGAAGGGCAGGGGAGTGTGAACGAGCTTCTGGCAGAATGTTTCGACCTTAGCTACGAGCTTCGAGTGGCTGCAGAGACAGAAGATAATGAGGAGGCCTAGAATCCGGATAGGATTTTTTGCACCAAAGCGGGAGGCGTTGTGGAACTTTGATAATTTGGGCTTGCTATCACATCTGACGTCGCTGTAAGATATTTGCAGGTTGAGGTAATAGGTTGTCTGGTTATGAAGGGACTATGGTAGCATCATATGAGACCCAGGTAGACTTGAAGCGGTGATGCAGATATATAAGTTTTAGTCATTTTGGCTCCGAAAATGAGAGCCCACAACTATTGCTATATTGATGGCTATCTTCATTAAAAGCTCAGATAAACAGCCTTGGGGATGCAGGGTCCGGGCCGGGGGGATAATTGAGCTCGGTTACGCGTATCGCGTCTGGCTTTCAACGCGCCGCCTCTATATCTCATCGCCCAAACCTCCTCAAGGCGATCAAATATCGCAACACCACATTCACACCCAAGATGTTCAGCATGCTACCATCACCGTCACACACACACATACAAGCGCACCACCACTATACGCCAGTCCATCCTTCGCCGCTCTCCTCATCACCCCTCCGCTCCTCGCCAACAGATGCACCCCTCACTCCGCGCCATCCAAATGTGCCGTCCCCATCTCCTCCATCAACTCCCACTTGTTTCAGCTATCGAACCCCCAATCCGATGATGTCGCCTACACCTACGCCCAAATCCTCCAACCAACCGCGCTCGCCCAATCCCGCGTCTTCTTCCGGCCCCGCTACAGCGAGAGAGAGCGTGTACTCGCGGCGGCCCACGAAAGCGAATCCGCTGATTCATAGAAATCCACAGGATGGGCGTGAGACAAGGCGGAAGCTGTTTCTGAAGAGGGTCAAGGATAAGTCTGCGGATCGGAGATACGGGGGCGATGAGGAAATGATGAGGAGGATTTGGCTGGCTGAGGAGAGGCGGAGAGAGGAAGCTATTCGACGCGAGGCTATGGGGTTAGAGCCGGGACTGGATGAAGAAGAGCTGGAGGAATTTGGGAATTTGGATGAGGTGCTAGTGGAGGAGATTGCGCGGGAGGAGGAAGAGGAGTTGGAGGCGCTTTTGGGACTTATGGAGGGCGAAGCCTCGAATACAACTGCGCCGCAAGAGCAGCAACACTCGGAAACTCCGTATGGAAGTGATGATGAGGAGTACGATCATATTTTTATGGATGTCATTATGGAGGAAAAGATGACCGCGAGTCAGGAACAGTCACAGCACCCCGAACATCCAGATACGACTTTTGATATGATGGATATGAGTTAGTACTTGGCTATCACCCGTCTTCTGATGATGGGGTTGGGTGGATACCGGCTACTGTTGGCATATTATTGTTTCGAGCATTGCTTGCATATTAGCGTCGGCGTTGTGGTAGGATCTGAGGTTCAATCACTCATGGCCTGGATGTTGGTTTATGGAATTTGAAAGCTTCGGCCAGTTATATCAGAAAGAATTGAGATTAAGAGTTCTTTATTGTTGTGGACAGCCTTCTTCAGGTGCTCCGAACGCTTCTTGCGCAGTTGCCATATCTCCCACAAGATCTGGGGGTGGAGAGCCAGCTGCTTGCATCTATAGCACATCAGCATAGCACCAAAACGAAAGAGTACTTCAAAACACACCTTCTGCATCCTCTCTACAATATACTCCCTGTCGGCCGCATTCTCATCACTGTATGTTTTCTCCTCAAACTTTCCCACAATTTCTCTAACGTAAATCTGCTGCTCTCTATACCTCTTCAAATCCTCCTGCCCTATCTTTCCCTCATTCTTCTCCAGCCAGGGTTGAAACTTATCGTCAAGTTCCTTCATCGGCTCGTACAGAATCTCTTTATTCGTCAACTGCTCCATCATGCCCAAGATCATCTTAGAGAAATCTTCTTCGCCGGCTTCCCCATCTAGTCCGGTGCCTTGCATCGCTTTTATCATCTCTGCGAGAAAGTCATCTGAGCCGCTGTTCGCAGCCGCTGCCGTTGCGTTGTCGCCCGAGACGCGCATGCGCTCCATGGTTTGTTGGATTTTGGCTTGGAAGCTTTCCTCCGCCGCATCCTTCCCTCCTGCAGCAGCAGCCTTATCTTTCGACGTACTAGGCTTTGAGGGACCGGCTGAGGGGGGCGGGCCAGAGCTTGGTGAAGCAGTTTCCCCTGAGGCGGCAGCTCCGTCGAGCTCTTTCATCATGCTCTCGAATTGTGCTCGCATTTCGGGTGAGCTCTCTAGCTCTCCTAGGAGTTCAGCCATCCCAGCCTGCAGTTGCTTCGCAAACTCCTCATCAGAAATGCCTTCTGTTGTCGGGGTAGCATCTGGCTGTGGTCTGCCGGGACCTGAAGACACGGAGGGGGCTTTTGGCTCGGGGGCGAATTGATCGAGCATGTCTGTTTCTATCCGTAAGCTTGAGACTTAATTGGTAAGTTATGTTAGCTACCATCTAGGTCATCCAGATCATCTTCATCTGGGTCAGGGACCTCTTCAGCGGAGGGTGCGGGGCCATTGGCTTTAGGAGTTGGTTCGACCTCTTTTGTTGCTGTCTCTAGGGATTTCTCTTTAGTCTGAGAAAGACCTTCGGAGTCGCCTGGCTTTGTCTCCATGGCTGTGGCTTTCGTGAAGAAGTACTGTGACCAGCAAACAATTTGGCTTGTGATAGGAGTTTAGAGTCAGCCCGCATGCGGGGTCTGTTGAGATATGTCCCCAGAGAGTCCAAGGTCGGCGTAGAAAAAAATAAGATACTAGTATGATTCACTAATTATCAGTTGAGACAGTCTGGATCTTCTAGGAAAAGAAGAGAACTCCAAACGGTACTTTGTCTACAGTACAAAAAGATCCATGAATTGTTGCGATCAAGACCGAGGCAACGGCAACCTTAGACCCCTGCTTCTAGACTGACTTCCCGAGCCTCAGGACTTCTTTGAGCTCCACTATCCTTCAGCCTCAACTACTCAACTACTGCGACTACCTACTCAACTCAACGACACAACGGTAGCTTGGGGAGGGAATATTCACATCTTCGATCTAGCGTCGGAAAAGTCTATCAGATATTCCCTCCACCACTGATAAATCGATCGTATTCACGCATTTCTCAGCCTCATCTCGAGTCGCAACCGTCAAACATGGCGCTTTGCATGAACAGGCTCAATGAGGAGCGCAAGCAGTGGCGACGAGATCATCCCTTTGGCTTCTACGCAAAGCCTCAACGCAATGCTCAAGGGGTTCTGGATCTCAAGACCTGGGAGTGCGGTATCCCCGGCAAGGAAAAGACGCTCTGGGAGGGCGGCCTGTTCAAGTTGAGCGTTATCTTCCCGGATGGTGAGTCTTTTCGCGATGCGCCAGGAAGTCTAATAAAGCTAACATTCGTTGCAGAGTATCCTACAAAACCACCAAAGTGTATGATCCTCGTCCTCGTCCTCATCCCCCTCTGTGAAGGCGTGATAGCTGACAAGGTCCAGGCAAATTCGTCCCACCGCTCTTCCACCCCAACGTCTATCCCTCTGGCACCGTCTGCTTGTCGATCTTGAATGAAGAGGAGGGCTGGAAGCCGGCCATCACCATCAAGCAAATCCTCCTCGGAGTTCAAGACCTTCTCGATGACCCCAACCCCGACTCTCCAGCTCAGGCTGACGCATACCACCTCTTCAGAAGGGATCGGGCTGCATATGAGAACAAGATCAAGAGGATTGTACGAGAAAACCCAGCTCCGTAAGAGGTGTTCAGGTGGCATGCATATTGGATTCAGCACAGGCGTTGGTTGGTATTTGCCAAGGAATATTACTGATTGTATGGCTGGCTTTGGGGGTGGTTAAGGGGGGGAATGCATCTTATGGAGTGGTTTCACAATAATCGGTACATGAGCCATCGAATAAGAAAATTCTACATCTACGCTTTGGCTTGCTTAATGAGGCCGTGGGAAATCCCCAACCAAGACCTTGCGCGACGTCTCATATCAGCCCTGCTATGCTGTCAGAAAATGCCCCATTCCCCATTATTGACCCCATTAACGAGGGCAACTAGAAGACCAAGAAGAGTCCCGCATTGTTTTGATATAGAATAATCCAGTTTTCCTCGCATTGTGTTTGGCAGAGTTCTCGCCCTTATCGGCCGGAGGGTTAGCGCGCTCTTCCGAGGATCGGCCGCCCTGTCCCGCACTAGACAAGATTTATTGTCTTGATAGATATTACTCATACGGGGAGACTTCGAGCTTCAAACCTACAAGAATTTTGCATCAACACCCGTTGCTGGAAGAGGAGCCTCTACACGCTCTCGACTGTCAACGCTCTCTTCTGGTCAGACTTGTCTGGGCCAATTGGTCTTAATTCGACTCTTCTTACCCTTACCCCGCCATCCTCACCGCACAGCCCACCATGTGTGGAATCGTTGGTTGTCACCATGTGCCCGACGCAAAGGCGTTCAAGCCTACGGCTTTGAAAATGGCCAAGCAATGTCGGCATCGTGGTCCAGACTGGTCGGGATCCTATTTGGCAAACAACACCAGTGAGCGCAGGGCAAAAAAAGAGATTGGGAGGGTTTGATCTGACATATTGTAGTTCTTGTCCACGAGCGCCTGAGCATTGTGGGCGTTGACAGTGGAGCGCAACCACTTACCAACGAGGATGAAAGCATCGCCCTTGCAGTCAACGGCGAGATATACAACCACAGACTCGTGCGAAAGGGACTCAAGACCCCATACCACTTCAAGACTCATTCAGATTGCGAAGTCATCATTCCACTGGTGAGATGGACCGTATAATGAGTAACAACAGGAATTGACGTGTCCATAGTACATGGAGTTTGATACTGGTGCGCCAAAGCACCTCGATGGCATGTTCTCCTTCGTCCTCTACGACAAGAAACAGGATCGAACCATTGCGGCAAGAGACCCCATCGGAGTCACGAGTTTCTACATGGGATGGTCAAGCAAGATGCCAGAGGCTAGATTCTTTGCCTCGGAACTGAAGTCCTTACATTCAGTTTGTGACAAGATCATTTCCTTCCCGCCAGGTCACGTCTATGACTCAAAGACAGACAAGACCACCAGGTACTTCGAACCTTCGTGGTGGGATCCTACCAACGTCCCTACTACCCCAGTCGATTACAAGCTCATCCGGAGAACATTCGAAAAGTCAGTCCGAAAGCGTCTTATGGCTGAGGTTCCATACGGAGTGCTGCTGTCGGGTGGTCTGGACTCTAGCTTGGTCGCCTCGATCGCTCAGAGGGAGACATTACGCCTCAAAGCTGCAGCCCTGAAGCAACTCAGCAGTGGAGAAACCAAGGCAGAGGAGAACGAAGATGCAGGAGAGGGTCTTGTTGGAATTGATGACGAGAACAAGCTCTCAACCTTAACATATTTGCCACAACTTAACTCTTTCTCAATTGGACTTCCAGGTTCTCCCGACACCAAGGCCGCAATCGAGGTTGCTAAGTTTCTCGGAACAAAGCATCACGATATGACTTTCACGATCGAGGATGGTTTGAACGCTTTGTCTGATGTTATCTATCATTTGGAGTCATATGATGTTACCACAATCCGTGCCTCGACCCCTATGTTCTTGCTGTCGAGAAAGATCAAGGCTATGGGTGTGAAGATGGTTTTGAGTGGTGAGGGAAGTGATGAAATCTTTGGTGGCTACCTATATTTCCATGCTGCGCCAGACAAGGAGGCTTTCCACGCGGAAACTGTTCGCAGAGTCAAGAACTTGCACTTGTCTGATTGTCTACGAGCCAACAAGTCAACTTCTGCTTGGGGTCTCGAGGCTCGTGTTCCTTTCCTTGACAAGGAGGTAAGCCCTCTTACTGCCGAAGTGCAAAAAAAACGTACTGACAAGAAATAGTTTTTGGAAGTAGCAATGAACATTGATCCCAAGGAGAAGATGATCACTAAGGACCGAATTGAGAAGTACATCCTCCGAAAAGCTTTCGATACATCGGATGAGCCTGAAGAGAAGCCATACCTCCCAGATCACATCCTTTACAGACAAAAGGAGCAATTCAGTGATGGAGTTGGCTATGGATGGATTGACGCCTTGAAGGATAACGCTGAACTACACGTTACTGATGAGATGATGAAGAACCCGAAGCCAGAATGGGGCAATGACATTCCCGACACAAAGGAGGCGTAAGATCTCTCATCCCCATGAAACGTGCTCATGTACTAATTGACGCAGTTACTGGTATCGCCTAATGTTCGATGAGCACTTCCCACCATACTGCGCAGAGACTGTCTCGCGATGGACCCCCACCTGGTCGAAGCAGACTGATCCCAGTGGAAGGTGAGTTGCAACTGTGCTGGATGCTACAAGGAAAACACTAACCCGAAGCAGAGCCATCTCAATCCACAACCAAAAGTACGACGATACGGAATGAGGGGTGTCTTTTCTGACCTGACTGTGGCTTCCTTTGTGGAATGTGAGCCATTCTTGTAGATTCATTTGGATAGGTCCAATCTAGGGCTACTTCTCTTGAAAGGGCGTTGATAGATGGATGATAAACGGATCTGCAGCTATCGTGTAGATAGGCAGCCATACAATAACAGAGCCTATTTCCTCTGCGTCTCGAAGTGCATAAGAATAAGTAATTGCCAATCTTTAGATTTCATTGGGCGCAGACTCGGTGGGAAAGATCGGGACAAGATCAGAAGGGGTAGTAATAGGGCAGAATGAAAGAGGTACTCCATCGAGGTGTACAGTAAGATATATATCTCTGCTTACTGAGGCATGACTGTACCGTATAACGCGATATTGATAGGTGTACCTAGATTCCTAAAATACCTCGGTTACGCACTGCCCTAACGCAATACGGAGTAGTGTTTATGCGCCGAGGGTGTCTCACACGTGACTGATATGTCAGGCCAACAGGAGCTGCTGCTGTCGGCCCGTGTTCGCCCGTAATTTCCCCCTGCTGACTGTCCATATCAACAACCTCAACTTCTCTAAAAACTTTCAGACTCAATTGTATCCCATTCATCTACCAATCCATTCATCCACCCCGTTCATCATCCAATCTCTCACCCAAGATGTCTATCCCAGCTTTCAGTGATGTGGCCAAGGCCTCCAACGACGTATGCTTCTCTTCTACATCTTTTGCGCCGGCCCGAGCTCACATTCTTTCAGCTTCTGTCGAAGGACTTCTACCACACCTCCTCCGCCGCCTTCGAGGTCAAGAACACCACCCCAAACAACGTCGCCTTCAAGGTCACCGGAAAGTCCACCCACGAGGGAGCTACAAGCGGTCTGGTATGAATCCAAATCCGATGCAGGATGCGGATGCACACACTGATGCGAAAACTACATGCAGGTTGAGGCCAAGTACTCAGACAAGCCATCTGGTAAATATTTCCGACAGTTTAACAAATTGTGTTTTTGCGTCCATTCGAAACTTCTTCGGGCCAACGTTCACGATTTTATGATCCATATTCTCCAAGATCGTGCACAGCTAACCTTGTTCTATCGCCGCGCAGGTGTGACCGTCACACAGAGCTGGAACACACTGAACGCTCTTGACACCAAGATCGAGATCAATGACACCATTGCCAAGGGCCTGAAGGCCGAGCTCTTGGGATCCTTCCTTCCTGCCACCCAAGCCAAGGGCGCCAAGCTCAACTTGCACTTCAAGCAACCCAACTTCCACGGCCGTGCCTTCTTCGACCTCCTCAAGGGCCCCACCGCTAACGTCGATGCTGTTATTGGACAAGATGGCTTCTTGGCCGGTGCTTCCGCTGGTTACGATGTCCAGAAGGCGGCCATCACCAACTACTCCGCCGCTATTGGATACGCCGCTCCAGTGTACACTGCTTCCATCACGGCAACCAACAACATGAGCGTTTTCTCCGCTGCCTACTACCACAAGGTCAACTCCCAAGTTGAGGCTGGTGCTAAGGCTACCTGGGACTCCAAGAGCAGCAACCAAGTCGGTCTCGAGGTTGCCAGCAAGTACAGATTGGACCCTGTCTCATTCGCCAAGGTAAGGATGGGTCTCCCTTCAGAGGATGTAGGTGGTTGCTAATGCAAAAAATAGGTCAAGATCAACGACCGTGGTATCGCTTCCGTTGCCTACAACGTCCTCCTCCGCCCCGGTGTCACCCTTGGTCTCGGTGCCTCATTCGACACCCAAAAGCTCGACCAAGCCACCCACAAGATCGGCACCAGCTTCGTCTTCGACGCATAGAGGATCAAACCTCTATTCATGTGGGGGGAGTATGATAGAGATGACGTCTTTCACAGCGGATATTTACTTGCATTGTAGCGGGAACGGCTTGTATGTAGAATTAAAATAACATGAGTCTATTCGTCTCACTCAATAATTAAACCAGATATATCGTGCACCTACCCGTCTGCTGTGTTTATTCTTATTGGCTAATTTGATGGTATTCTTGGCCGCTCTATTTCCTTTCACTTCGCCGCATTTTGTCAACCCCGTCAACCCCTCTACCAAACTTCTCAAACAAATAGCTCGGCACGAAAAGTCCGATGCTTATGATACTCCCAACAAATATGAAATTCGCCAAGGCACTCCTCGTGTCCCCGCGCGATAGAAAATCCTCGTTGACCTTCTTCGACCTTCTTTTCTGCTGATTCTCTTGAGTCCTAAAATGCTGGTCTCTATCAAAGTGAGGCACGTCGTTAGAGCCATGTCCCCAGGCCCGTTGTCCTGGTCCCATACCCCCTTCTTTATACGTCGGTCCCCCCTGGCTATGATCATAGGTAGTCTGCTCCTGTGCCGCGGAGCGCTTCGCAGACTGCGCTCCCCATCCCCCGCTCGCGTAGAAGCTGGGGGGAGGTCCACGGAATTGCGAGCGTCGGCGACTCAAGCCAGACGCAGGACGCCCGCCGGCAGGGCCGGAAGAAGAGTAGGAGCCGGGACGCGCTGGGGCATAGGAAGGGGTGCGCAGGTGTTCGCGGTCGTAGGCCTGGCGTTTAGGACCATCGCTGAGCACGGCGTATGCTTCGGAGATTTTGATGAAGCGCTCGGAGGCTTTTGGATCGTCGGGGTTGCGGTCTGGATGGTGGGTTTTGGAGAGCGTGTAGAAAGACCTTTGTTTTTCGCCTCTCTGTCAGCTCCTGGGCTCCTCTTTTAGGAATTGGGAGTTGGGAGAGGGAAATGATATTAAGAACAGAAGGGAGCTGCAGGAAAGAGACACAGGAGAAGAGAAATATGACTGACTTCTTCACATCCTCCAGACTAGCATCCGTAGGAAGCTGTAGGGTCTCATAATGATTTGGGCCGCCTTGCCTGCGAATAGTGCTGACATGGAAGAAAACACGTTGCCACCGGGGCGCAACGGGAATGAAATACGACCGGAGTGGCATTCCTCATCCCGAAAGCTCTTTGTCTCTCTCAAGTTACAGAATGTCAGAAAGGAGCCGAGTCAAATCGTCATGGCCCAGAACGAGGATGGTCCTAACTCCGTCGGTTTTCGGCGCTAGAGGCTGCGGCTACCGCTTCCGAGAGTTGAGCGGGCATATAATATTTCAACTCGTCCGTCTTCCGCCTTGCATCAAATTTGGTAAGGCAGTTTGATGACCTTCAGCTTACGCTACCTGTAAACTTGGAGGAGATTCAGCACTCGGCAGTTTTGTCTTGTATTTCCTCAGAGCTACGCAGGTGCGGCGCAAAACAAGATGGCGGCGCAAGCGGCTGACGCTCTTGCAAATCTGAAGGGTGGGCCATTCCCCCCCCGCCATCCCGGTCTCAAAACCGCAGCATCAGCTAATTGATTCTACAGTGAAAGACCCAGAAGCAGTGGCAACATCTGCGGCAGCGGCCAAACCCAACGGTAACGATACCAAAGCCGAAGCAGAAGATTCTGACGAAGAGGAGGACGAAAAGGCACCAGCGGAAGGAGGGGCAGATGGGGCCGCCAAGAAGAAGAGGAAGCGGAAGAGGAAGCCCAAGTCCAAGTCGGCTGGAGCGCTTCCTACTAAGCAAACCTCTCCACCTCGAGTGCTGCTTTCAAACTTATTCCCCAACAACGAGTATCCTGTCGGTGAAGAGGTGGAATACCGGGATGAAAATCTGTACCGGACGACAGACGAAGAGAAACGAGCCCTGGATCGGATGAACAATGATTTCCTGCAGGAATATAGATATGCGGCGGAAGTTCATAGACAGGTCCGGCACTGGGCTCACGAGAATATCAAGCCCGGCCAGACTTTGACGGAAATCGCAGAAGGCATTGAAGATAGTGTCAGAGCTCTGACTGGCCACCCAGGTCTGGAAGAGGGCGACAACATAAAGGGGGGTGTTGCGTTCCCAACGGGCGTTAACCTGGATCATATTGCCGCACATTACAGCCCGAACGCCGGGAACAAGACGATCCTGACGAAAGACAATGTCATGAAGGTTGATTTCGGGGTACACATCAATGGAAGAATCGTTGACAGTGCCTTCACCGTGTCATTTGACCCGATGTACGATAACCTTCTTACGGCCGTCAAAGAAGCTACAAATACCGGCATCAAGGAAGCCGGAATCGATGCTAGACTGGGTGAGATTGGTGAGCGGATCCAGGAAACTATGGAGAGTTATGAGGTCGAAATTAGAGGGGAGACTTTCCCTGTTAAGTGCATTCGAAACTTGAACGGCCATGATATTAGGCAACATCAGATCCACGGCGGGAAGAGTGTTCCGATTGTGAAGAGCAATGATCAGACAAAGATGGAGGAAGGAGAGGTCTTCGCCATTGAGACCTTTGGAAGTACTGGAAATGGATACGTTCGAGATGATGTGAGTATTACCTTACGAAGTCTGTTATATCTTACTGATTATCAATAGTTGGAAACATCTCATTACGCAAAGCGGATAGACGCCCCTAACGTCCCATTGCGAATTGCATCTGCGAGCAAGCTTCTCAATGTCATCAACAAGAACTTTGGCACACTGCCATTCTGCAGAAGATACTTGGATCGCCTGGGTCAGGAAAAATACCTGCTGGGTGTACGTGGCCCTTGCTGAGTAATGGGGTATACGTTACTGACATGCATTAGTTGAACAACTTGGTGTCGAGCGGCATTGTAGAAGCCTACCCACCCTTAGTCGACAAAAAGGGATCCTATACCGCACAGTTCGAGCACGTAAGTTTCGCTCTTCTCTGCCTCCAAGAAGCTGCTAACCACCTATAAAGACAATCGTACTTCGACCAAATGTGAAGGAGGTCATCAGCCGTGGAGATGATTACTAAACGACTAAAAGCAAAATCGGGACTGGAGTTTGTATAACGGCAGGGAGGTTATTTCAGAGAAAGAGACATCTCACGTCTATGATATAGAGTCCTCAAGGAATACAAATCTGCTACTCAACTCAAATCTATCTTCATAGCAAATCGTGACCACGGCTCCCTAAAACGTGAAGATAGAAAACCGAGGGGTAGATCAATTGAAGTGGCATGATAGTCGAGGCCCCGTTGTGGAGCGCAGCTTGACGATTGGCTGAAACCAAGCTCCGATCCGTGGATTCCGCTAAAGAACTGAACTGCCCTGGATGAAGATGATCCCTCGTAAGGTACGGTGAACAACTCCAGCTCCAACTCCTTTTCCTCCACCATCCGCTCATTGAGCAGCAGGCACGTTTCCCCATGATGCCAGCTTCGACGTCCACGGTCACTACTTCACGGGAGGGCAAGGACGAGAGTTCAGCCCGGCTACGAGCCCCCCCTGAAGACGAGGCCGCCGAGACAGCCCCTCCATTAGAAGTCAAAGAGCATGATTTCTTCTGGACCTATACTGAAGAGCCGCACCGAACACGCAGACAAGCAATCATCAAAGCCCATCCCGAGGTCTGTCTCTTCTCCCTCCTCCAATTCTCCTCCCAGTCACTAACCAAACTCCAGGTAACGAAACTCTGCGGACCAGAACCACTCACCAAATATGTCGTCCTCTTCGTCGTCTCCCTGCAAATTACCTGCGCCTATCTTCTTCGCAACACCCCTTTCCTTTCATGGAAGTTCTTTCTGACGGCATATGTTGTTGGTGCAACGGCCAACCAAAATCTGTTCTTGGCGATACATGAGATAAGTCATAATTTGGCGTTCAAATCTGGGAACGCGAATCGCGCCCTTGCAGTCTTTGCGAACCTACCGATTGGGATTCCATATAGTGCTTCATTTAGAGTACGTGCTCTTCAGTTTTACGTGTTCTGTTGATAGGGGAAAGGGATGGACTTCCATGGGAAGCTGAAACTAACGTCTGAACAGCCATACCATCTAACGCACCACAAATCCCTCGGCGTCGATGGGCTCGACACTGACCTTCCCACCGCCTTCGAAGCCATATTTCTCGACTCGATCCTCGGAAAGGCCTTTTTCTGCACCTTCCAGATCCTGTTCTACGCGCTGCGACCCGTCTGCGTCTACAAGGTCCCATTCACCAGCATCCATTTCATCAACATCGGCGCGCAGGTCCTCTTCGACTACGTGCTCGTCAAGCTCGGCAGTGCGAATTCCCTCTACTATCTGATCCTCTGCTCCTTCCTCGCCGGCTCGCTGCATCCCACCGCCGGCCACTTCATCGCCGAGCACTACGTCTTCGAGCGCCAGCCGGCCACGGCCAAGGACCCGCTCACCCGGACCCAGGTCCCGGAAACCTTCTCCTACTACGGCCCGCTGAACTTCTTCACGTATAACGTGGGTCTGCATAACGAGCACCACGACTTCCCCGCCGTGCCGTGGACGAGGCTGCCCAAGGTGCACGAGATCGCGAAGGAGTTCTATGCTGATCTGCCTAGGCATGATAGCTGGGTGCATGTGATTTGGCAGTTTATCTGGGATAAGGAGGTCGGTATGACGTGTAGGGTTAAGCGGAAGGAGGGCGGGAGGAAGGTTGGTGGGTGGACGCAGGAAGAAGTCCAGGCTTAGGATCTTGGCCAGGGAGGGGTTGTATTTATGAATGATGGAAAGGGTATATAGAGTATGCATTGCCTGGCGTTTGCGGAGGGCTTGGGCTTGGGTTGGTTGGCTGCTTAGACCACATATAAATTTCACCTCACCTTTCTGGGAATATGTTGAGGATTATGGATTGGCATTCTTCGTATTCATTGCTTTTTCAGAAACCAAGCTACCTCTAGTTATTAATGAAAGGTTCCTGACTGAACGTATGAAGAGCTCCTCCCAATGAATGACCACGCAAGCAAGCTGTAATTCGCGTAACAAAAAAAGAACTGCAAAGGGGGAAAAGCATCCATCCGCTGAGGCGCTAGAGTACAGGTGTGAGATATTCGTCTTCGTCCTCATGATCAATCAATCGTCGCTGCAGCCGAATCGCTATGCTACTATCTCAGACTCTCCCCTCACGCCCACCACGAACCCCCTTCAAATCATCTGTCGTAACCCCAAAAAAAGAAGCATGCAGAGGGGAGTGATCAAAAGAACAAATACGCAAGCAGAAAGCTAATCAAGCAGAGCGCAGCCACGACTTGCAGCGGCACGCCCTGCGGCTCCTGAATCCGATTAACAACCTCGTCGACGGTCTTGTCGCCGCTCTCTCCCTGCGTCGCCTTGCGCAACCGTAATCCGCCGTCCTGTGCGTAGCTCGCGATCGTTGCTTGCGCTTCTGCTAACTTGGCCTTCATATCCTCGTAGCTGGGCGAGGAGCTGTTTAGGGTGGGTGCGGAAGTGGAGGTGGATGAAGGGTTGCTGGCGGACGCCTTGGCATCTGCGAGGGATTTTGCGTTCGATGGTTCATCTTCGATTTTCGAAGCAGGCCCGCTAACAGAGCGCGCGTTCGGTGTGTATGTTTCTTCGGGGGAGGGCGAGCGGAGGGCGGGGTGTATGTTGCTGGGTGATAGGTGCTATAGGGGGTTAATTTGGAGTCAAGCACGGACATAGCGCAAGCTTACAGTTCCATCTGAGCTGTATCCACCGTTCTTTACAGGCGTAGCTGCTGGCTTCTCGGCACCTCCTGCTGGAAGATACGCAACGCGGATCTTCTTCTCTTGGACGTAGGCGCGCTCAGTGTCATCAACATGCTGCCACTACTGCTTGTCAGCAATTCGCAAAACTGCTAGTATATCCAATGTATCCTACAATTGACCCGACGTTGTCAAACTCCCTGTCAGGTGTGACAGCAACCGATTGAACCAAGAACTTGTCTCTGCATTTGGCGTCAAGGGGGGGATCCTGTTTCATAGCCTGCAGAAGAACTGTACAGGTCAGCACTGAGGGTCTCCTGCTAGCGCTTCCACGACTTTCACATACCAGTAACTTCGACCTCCTTTCCAGGCTCGACTCTTCCCGAGTTTGGGCGGACGCAGTATCTATCTCGTTGTCAGGGAGAATGGAGCTATGACGATGTTTGAGGGACATACTGTTTTGGCGCGGTAGTCTTGACCTGTACAGAAAAGAATGATCAGCAGTCCGAAAGAAGACTCCGAGATGTAAGAATCGCATACCTTGAAGGCGATAGGTGTATGGTTGGGATTTCTGATCCTCAAGATTTGCGATACCTCCTGCGTAAATGGGCCTGCATACGACTAATCAACATTGCTTCCTTCAGGATCCCGAGACAGACATACGCTGGAAGCCCAGCTCTGTAGGTTCGATTTCGACCGACATGGTTACGGGATTGCTGCGTGGAGCCTAGAGACAGTTATGCGCTTTGAGGGGGGGAGCTGGTCTTGGTATCGATCCTCGGTCAATTACAGTCCAGGCGAGGGAAGCGCGTAGTTCGCACGGCGATGTAAGCGGATCTTGCGAAGGGGGGGCGATAGGTAAGAGAATGTTGCAGATTATGTAGGACTGATCCGGGCGAAGAAGGGTCTGGAGGGAATGAAATGTCAAAGGAAGAGGCAGATCAAGTGCTCACTTTCTCTTGATCCCATGCAACGCAACATACGGTACCTAACTCCGTCCATAGGTCATTGTCCAAGCTGGGAATAGCGCCAAATTGCCTGTTTGCTCTGTTTGCTCGGAACTCCATCACCTCCCACATCTTATCGGCGTCCCTTCTAGAATCCTGTCTGGCGAGGAAGGCTCTCGATTCTAGTTGATACTTTCAAGGTCCTAAAATTCAGATCTTCTCCCTCATCTCTCCCCAATTTCTCCCCCACTAGAGCAACCCCGCATCAGCCCTACGCACAAACATGGCGACTCCGTCGGACCTGAACCAGCTCCTAGAGATGGGGTTCGAGAAGCAGCGTGCAGAAATAGCAGTCAAGAAGAGTGGCGGCTGTACGTTACTCTCTGGCCTCGATCTTACTCCACTCCAGATGCTAATCTTCTGATACAGTACAGGGCGCCCTGCAGTGGCTGGAGGATAACCAAGACAAGTCGGTGGAGGAGATCCTCGCGTCCGCACCCGATCCAGAGACCGACCCCAGCATCGAACCTGCGGCTCTCAAGGAAGGCGAGGTCGCGCGGTCATTACAGTGCGATGACTGCGGGAAGAAGTTTCGTAGCATGGCACAGGCAGAGTTTCACGGAACCAGAACGTACGTGCACCTACCTGTCATAGCGGGGTCAGATTCCTTTGACGGCTAACGGATGAGGATGGCACAGTGGGCATGAGAATTTCTCGGAATCGACAGAGGAGATCGCTCCCCTGACCGAAGAAGAGAAGAAGCAGAAGTTAGAAGAGCTGCGAGCTAAGATGGCAGAGAAGAGAGCCAAGCAAGCGATCCTAGACAAAGAAGAGCAGAAGAGGAACGAGGTATATATTCTCCTTTATACACATCTCACCACTCCTCTCTCCTGCCTCCTAGTCACAACCAGCTAACAGATCCCCTCCAGAAAATCAGAATGAAATCCACAAAAGAAGTCCAAGACGCGAAGGAGGAGCTTGCAAAGAAAGAACAGATCAAAGCCGCGGCCGCCAAACGCCAGGAAAAGCTCGCCGACATAGCCGCCAAGAAGCGCATCCAAGAGAAGATTGCCGCCGACAAAGAAGAGCGCCGTCTCCGCGCCGAGAGGCAAAAGGCCGAGCGCGAAGGCCGCGCGCCCCCTCCTGATCCCTCCCTGGCCGCCGCGCCCGCGCCCTCGGCACCCAAACCGGCCGCGGCCCACACGGAAGCAAGATTAAGACTGCAGATGGCGAGCGGCACGGTCATGAAGACGTATCCGGTCGGCACGACGCTGTTTGAGGTGGCGCAGGCGATCGAGGCGGAGAGCGGGACGCCCGTCACCAGCTTCACGACGACGTATCCGAAGAAGACTTACGAGGGCGGGGCGGACCTGGGCATGACTCTCAAGGAGGCGGGGTTGGTCCCCAGTGCGGTCTTGATCGTGAAGTAGTAGGTTGATATATGGGAACGCTCTGATGACGAGGGATGGATTAGGGGATACGGGATGGATGGATGGATGGATGGATGGATGGATGGTCAATGTAAGAGGACTCGACATAATTGCCAGAGGTCACGGATCGGTGCATGGCTGGAGTTGGTTTCGTTGGTTTGGTTTCGCTATGATGCATCGGGGTGTGCGTCAAAAGGGGGTGGGCCGCTCCCGATGGGATGAGGGATGGGGGGTATAGGGGCTGGTATATAGCTCTCATATAAAGAAAAAACCCGCGTCCCAAACTCCATTTCCCAGAAGCAGTATTCCAAAAGTAGCAGCAACAGCAACAGCAGCAGCAGAAGAAGATGAATCGAAATAAACCCTTTTAGAGCCAGAGAGCGCCAGCGCCAACATATCTTGCTTACCTTAGTACTCTATCCCGCTCTAAATAAAACAAAAGACTGGAAGGAAAGAAAGACAGAAAGACACTTACCTAAGGTACTCACTCAACTCTATAACTCCTCTCCAACCAACTTTTAGATAAGGTATTAAAATACTTTTCCTCCGAGAACCACCCCCCCCCCCCCCAAAACAAAAAAAAACACAAAAAGTGTGCCCATCACGAAAGAGCTCTAAATATACATATTCCAGGACACGAAACGAAACATGGCTCTTTCATAAGAATAGTTAATTCTCACTCAGATATTTTTGATCCTTGGGGTGTTGAATAGGGAAAGGGGAAAGAAAGGGGAAAGAAAAGAAAGGGGAAAGAAAAGAAAGGGGAAAGAAAA